CCCCGCAAAATTGATGGTCTGAAAAAGCTTTTAAGCTGCCAATGGCAAACTTTTACCAACCAAACACACACTCGCACAGAAACTTTTCAACTTTTGAACCCTTCGTTATTTCTATGTAAACAATTCAATTGCATAAATATATTTGCCAAAAAGAAAAATAAAGGAAAGAGAAATACAATTTCACGTAGCGACAAATGGTGAGGGCAAGAAATAATTTTAACAATTTGATTCAATCAAAGTCGCAACGATATCGAATTCTGGGAATCGGAATGGCTTTGTCACCTTTATAAGAATGGAAACTTTGCCAAAAAGTTATTTAAAACATTTTCCCTTTTTTTTGTGGCCCCCTCTCGTACCGTTTTCCATTCCAGACTTTTTCCCCATTGTTTGCGCTTGAAGAAAAATGCGTTTTTCATGCTAATGTCAAACCTTAATAGATGGGGCTCCCTTTCCTCTCTCTAAGAAGTCATTTTCCGTGGTCCTGGTGGAGCTGCTAAACATGTGTTCAGAGATTTTACTCGTGGCATTTCCATTTTGGGGATAAGCGTTCGATGGGCCTTCATTGCCTGAATTATTTCACTCTTGAGAATTTTCGATTGAACTGAATTGAAGGGGCGTGCCTTAAAAAGTTTCCTGATTTAGCAGTAAATTGACCCAAATAGTCGCCTAAACAATTTAAGGAGACTTGACTTGGTAGCAACTTGGTTTGTTTAAAGAACATAATAAGTTTCTCTTTCCAAAGTTATTTACTTTGGTTATTATGGAAACCCAATTTTCCCTTTTCCCTAATTAGACTTGGCATGCACCTTAAGTACAACTTTCCATTCATTTTAATTTCCATTCATTGCAAACCATATTTATCCGCAATAATGGCCAGAGCTGAGGCCTCCGATAATGAAAACAATAAACATAACTTGGCTCATACATATGTGGCCACAAATAAACAAATAAACACAGGCAAAAAGGCCCAAGACATCTTGAGAGAAATGCAACAGCTGCAAAACCCATAACAAACTGCACAAAACAAAGATCCTTAAGGACTTTATATGTTAGCATACATTGTGATGACGTCTTTTTTTTACGGCATATTTACTTTTGCTCGTTGATGTGGCATAAAAATATTTATTAACTGACTCGGAACAGAAATGTTGACTTGACCCGACCGCAGGCGAAGAGGGAGAGAAGTCAGGTCAAGGATCTGGATTTCAGCATGTTTGCACTGGCCTCGAGTTCGGTTTGGGGAGCAGTTTGGACAGGACAATTGATGGACAAACATATTAGATATATGTGTATATATCTATATATATGCGGGCTAAACACAGACACTACAACTATGTAGTTCGGTTAACTAAAATACACACACACTCACACAGATGCCGGACAGTTATTTGCTTTTATGGCAGACTGAGCCTGCCCCCAAAATCACTCCCACTCCAGTCAGTCTGCTGCTGAACTCTGGACAAGCCCTGTACGTATACGTACGTCAGTTGGTTGAACAGTTTATCCTGCATATAAACTTCAACAACATACACAACATGCTCCCGGTTCTCCTCTCCTCCACTCCCTTGCCTACACTTTGGCCTACAACTATTTCCGCTTACTGCTAAACAAATCCCAGTTAGCAAAACATTCGGTGTACGTTGCGGGAACAATGGACGTACAACGCTGCGTATACGCAATATTGGCATTTGGCATATTATTGGAGTTTCGTCATTGAATTGACGGATTGAAGGGGGCTGGTGGGCAGGCACAAAGGGGGGATGAAGAGGAAATGTGGCAAATCGGGGGGTTAAGGAGTTCGGTAGCACAATCTTTAACCCAGAACTCATTTAATATGTTGACAAGTTGATAAATTGTTTTGCATAAAGCCATTGGGCGGGTCTTTAATTGGACTGAGAATTGATACGATTGACACCGAGTTGGGAATGAGAATTGGGCTTTTTGAGAGAGTTTTATGAGTGGATGGATTTAAGACATAACATTTGATAAGGGACTAACAGGGTATTTCGAATTAAGAAGTAATATTATTATACTCAAACATTTATAAGCCAGACAAAAAAGTTTAGGTTTCTTTAAATAGCAATTGAAAAATCTGTACCTCAGCCAGTGCAATGCTCAACAAGCCTCAACAATTTTCAGAGTTACTTAACACTTTTAAAGTTTTAAAATAAATATTAAATGCCCATAAAATAGTTATAGCAGCACATGAACGTATATTGGTTTCTCGGTCAACACGTCTGAAACTTGGCCAAGAGGGTGCCAAGTGATATGAGATAACAAGCAGAAACAAAAAATCACAAGAAGCACATAAAAAAAGTCTGCGTGAAGAAGATGTCACCAGCTGTCGCAAACAATCTTAATATTTGATGCTGAAACACACCGCATCGCAGCAGCTGTGATTCCAATGGGAAGTTTTGGTCCTTACAGGCACACATATTCTAGATTTCGCCACTCACTGCCCAACATTAACAATTTAATGCATTTGCCAAAAATAAAATGCATAAATTTGATATGCTAAATTAAACCCGAAACAAGGATCCAACTTAGAGTGATGGCCTGTGTGGTCCTGCATACGAAATCAGTTGGCTAACGTTGATTATAATGATGATGTTGATGGACTCGACTTGATTTTGCTCTGATTTAGATGGGTCCGAGATGGATTGTAGGGATTTTTTTCTTTTTTGGGAGATGAGATGCCATGAGATCCCTGTGACTGTAAAATGCCAGAAACAATTTAATGCTTCATTGGCAAACGCCGCATATGTGACCCCTGTGACTGACAGCGCAGACTTATCCTGGTTTTCCATTCTTTTCACTTTTCTTTACACAGCCCCTCGCTTCCCGGAACTTGTCAAGCAAAATCGAAAGGAATCGAAGAAAGAACGGCAAATACATCGCAACTCTGCGATAAACATATGAAAAATGCACATGCGGTGAGCCAAGTTCAATTCCAGAGGCCAAAAGTTTACGCCACTTAATAGAACTTGACGCAAATTCAATTACAACATTGGTCCCCGCACCCAATCACACACCCAGACACACACACACTCAGCCATCGGGTGAGGGAAAAACTTGCAAAGAAATTTGCGGAAAAACGCTGGCAGTCAACTTTTACCCCCGAAACCAAAACCAAGGCAGAGTGGACCCCTGACGGCATTTACTTATACCCTAAATTAAGGGTATATTATATGTAATTATTATTTTATAATTATTATTTAGTCAAATTGAGGATTTATTGGAATGCAACTAATGTAATCATGAGAGTTCAAGTGATTTAAAATAAATAAATAGTTTACAAGGATTTTTCAGTCGAACCTTGGTATAAATGTTGATGAAGATGCACAGAAATTCTCGTGGACTTAAAGCCAAATAAAAACATTTCCAAACATTAAGCCGAATATATATTCATTTATTTATATTTATATATTTCAAAATCTTTTAAAATCAATTCCTTTTTCTATTGAAAGAGTGTTCCAAACACACAAACTAAAAAGGAATTTCCTTCGATTTATTTTCTTAAGATTCCTGTAAAGACTGTCACAGCCAAGGGCGGTTTTTCATTTGTAGCTGAGAAGGCGATGTATATTTAGCTAAGGGAAAACTCCAATTGAAATTGAAGTTTTTCTTGGCTTGCGGGCAGAGTCACTTACTTCAGCTTCACTTTACTGCAATTAGCAAATAAAACTTGGCATATTTTCGGGGGCCAAATGAGGCGCGTGGTTCTTGAGAAACTTTTGCAATCACTTTCGTTTGCATTCATTATTGGCCCACGAAAAAGGGATTTCATTTTGTTAGCCGCCCCTTGGCTTTGGTCAACTCGAACGTCAGGAAAGAGATACGAAAATCCTTTTCTTTTCAAGTTGAAAAAGTTTTTGTTTTCCAATAGATTTTACTGATGGAATTTTAGAGTTTAACTTAGAATGGAAAGAAATGGCACAAAAGTTTCGAATTAAAATTAAATTTTTATAATATGTAAATTTATATTTTTCTAGAATATATATACCATTATAATATTTATGCTTCATTGATTTATATTTTACAAAATTGTAAAATATTTCTTAACGCTTTAAGTTTTTCTTTTACATTTCATTCAGTAATATACGATTTTTTCCGGATATTTTTAACGGTAACGGAAACAAACATAAAATTGCACAAAATATGAAATTTTGTTCAAAAATAAAGTGTCAAAAATTTATTGTATTTTCAAATTTTTCTTAAAATTGATTGAAAAAAACGTATCAATAGTATTCTATCCAACCGAAACTTACATTACAAATAATTCGTTCAGATTCAGATTCAAAAATAAATTCTTGCACATACTTTGACCAAAGACCTTAAATTTTAAAAGTAATGAAACCACCCATAATACGTTTATCAAGGTTTTGGCAAAGATAGTGAAACCGGCTTAGCAAAATTCTGTTGATTAGTAATGTTTTTTAATGAAATTGATAATTTTAAAGTGAAGTTACGTATTGCCAAGCTGTTTTTTTTTATTTCAAAATAGGTGTCATAGATCCGGAAACGATAATGCAAGTATGAAAATGTAAAACTTGGTGGCCGACTCCTTTTTATTAAAGAATTATTTCTTTTAAATATAGGTACACACTGGTGGAGGTGTTGCCCACAAACAGCTCCACCTATTGGTACTGCTTTTATAAAATATTATCTTCTACACTGCTTTATATGCTCTGCATTATCGACAGTGCCAATAAGAACAGTGAGGACCCGAACCTGGCAGTGGAGACTAGGTACTTACCCTATTCTTAAACCATCTTACGATACACATAAAATATAAAAAATATTAAATACAAAATTATTCGAATGAAACATTTTTAATAACAAAACTAATATAAACTTAAAATATTTAAACCTATACAATAATTTTTATAATCGCAAATTAATGCTATTTAAAATATTTCATTTACTATAATTCTTATCGATTTTTCTTATCGATGTTTGTTTTTGCTCCACCTCTAGTTTCAAGAGGTGAAAGCGCGGCGATATACCGATACAATTCGGTGATAGGTTGTGAATTCTGTGTAGTTGTTGTTTTGATAAGAGCGCGAGCAAATCAAACAAATATAACGGCGTCGTGCGTTCAAGCAGGTATACACAACGGAATAAAATATTGTTAACGCCGCACAGAATTTAAGGATAATCAGTTTTTGGAAAACTGTTTGCTGTGAACGTGAATGTGAGTGTGTTGCAGGGATAGAGACAAACGGTGAACGCTTGGTTGGAGCAAGGGGTGGGGAGCGGAGTTGGCGGCTGTGCAGTTATTTCTTTTCAGGTTCACTGCCTTGCTTCCGCTCCACTTTGCTGGCCTTTGTTTTGCTTTTGTTCTGGTTTTTACCTGCGTTTACCTGAGATCTAGAATGTGGAACTAGTTACCTGTGTTTGTGTGTTTGTGGCGGACTTGCAGCCAAAAATCAAGTTGGTGTTGGTGTTGTTGCTGCTAGAGTTCGCTGCAGTTTGTTAACCCTTACCGCGCCACTCGTCGCCCGGATTCGGCCAACACTTTCGACTTTTGCGTCTCGGCTTCGAAAATAGAACAAACGGTCAATAAAATGCTGTGCCCGGTGTGTGTGGGAATTCCTTACTCCCGTCTCTGCTCCCATTCCCGTTCCCGGGTTGTGTCCACGGACGGGTTTCCGGAATTAGCCGATGGCACGCAACCAGCAAAGATGTATCATTATGCACACATGCATCCGCACACAAGCTAGGCCCGGCATTGACGTCCAGTCAGGCCCAGGCCCAGGCCCCATTCCAGCCCCACTGACCCCCATCCCATCCTCCGCCTCCTTCGTCGTCTGCTTCCGTGAGCAACTCCCCACCAGGTGGTGGCCAGAAAGGAAAGGGCAGGCACAGTGGGCGCAGATAGTTACAAAATATACTAACACTTTCAGTAGGATATACTGGGATGTAGGGTTTATAAATTAAATATATTAATTGGGATATTATATACTTAATATGCTGTTATTTATAATTTTTGTATAATCTTTATTATAGTATTCATTGCTTATTTGTAATTAGTAAGCTATGTATTCTGTTGAAGCCCTTTGACTATAATATCTAGAAAGCATGATGCTAAACAACCTTGTTTGGTTTTATAAGTCTCTCAAAAATGTCTCGGAATTTATTATTCAATTTCTGATCATGTTCTCCTCTTTTTACGATTATCATATATTTAGTCCTTTCCTCATATTCTTTATTTTTGATACAATTTTTGATTGCTGCCCTCTGGGATATTCCCAAGTTTTTGTATAATTTGTATAAAAATAGGATGACTATATTATATAGCTACCATAGGTATACAAACTTCCTGAAGCTATCGTCCTTTCTTGTTTAGATTACTATGTATATCCCTACATGAGTTCGTCACCAGACCACTGTGCCTATAGACATGTCCGCCACCTTTGACAAAGGTTTATTGACAAGGCGTTTTTATCGTCCTTTTTACGCGTTTGGTCGAATGTATATTTGATTACTCCACTCTCGTGTCCCGGCGACAGGTGCGCAGGTGATATTTTTCACTGGACTCCTTTTGTAAAGCTCTATATGAGTGTGTCCATGTAATCAAGCTATGCCACTGGCCAGTGGGCCATTAGCCACTTTTTGCCACCGCTGACACAATTTCGAGTCGATCGATTTCGTCGTGGGTTTATGCTTCTGTCCGTGGTCTGCATATTATGCCTACGGCAGGGCAGGGCTAGTGTCATTCCACTAATTGGAACAGCGACCTCTTCTAATTGAAGAGTTCAAACTGATCGGCTGCCACATAATTTACTAGAAATATATGTACATAGGGAAGAGTTTTCAGTAGACTGAATGCAAGGGTTCCAATCTTTATCAAAGACAAAGCTGAACAAAATAAATTTGCTTTTTTCAACATATATTTACTTGGATTGCTTTGATAATATTTATGCCCAAGATAAGATAAGACTCCAGTCAAAGTTGCCTATAAATTAGAATCGCACTAAGAGTCAACTCCAGTCTAAAATTAATTTTTTCAAAGTAAAGTAATCCTTAGCATAATGACTGTGTACCAGTTTGAAAAAAGGTATAATATTAAGGCAATAAAACTAACATTGTGAAATAACATCGAAGCAGGAAGTATAAATCTTTATCTGTATATCAGTTAAATCTTTTAAGAACCACTAGTTAGACTTTAAAGACATTTTTAAGGACTTAAACACATCCAAATTACAAAGCAATTTGTGCTCTTGCACCATCCTTATTCTGCAATGTTATTTTCCTTAGTGTTTTTCTATAGCTCCTGAACAAAAAAAAAACAAATAACAATGAGAGTTACCAAAGTACTGCCAAATTGTAAATTGATTCTTTCTATAATACTTTCATCAGAATATGAAATATGTAAGTCCCTTAAAATTGTGCTAAGTTGACTCCGTTCCGTCTGGCAGTATTCAATACTTTGTATTGAGTATGATTAATTTCTTAATCTTATCTTTACAAATTTATTTACTTGTCGTTGGTAACTTGGACCTCTGGTGACTGATTAGATTTTGTTCGATTTTGTGTCATCTGCATGTTCACAATATCGATTTGTGTCGACCCGCCCGCACCGTATACCCTCGATGCACTCAAAGCAGGTCGTCCTTGCAGCGAATGTGCAGCACCCCTCCCCCCTTCCGTTATATCCATCAAAATAAAATGTAATAACAAATAATAATGCGCCTAAAACTAGGGCACACGAACACAATGCAGCTGGAAACGAAATGAAAATGGCAAAATGCAGCAACGAATGAAAATGAGGCCCTTGCCTCGTTGCTTCCATTTGCACTTGACAACTTTCGCTCTGGCCCCAGTGAAGTGGGCGGCCGGGCAGGTTAATCCCCAGGCAGACGGAGGTGGTACCCTTCCGGAGCGACAGTGTCCCCGGTGGTTAAGTGTGTGCTCTGATTTGGGGGTTGGCCTGGCCCGGACTGTCCAGAGCAGAGCTTTCGCTTGGAATCCAATTCGTACTTATTCGGAGCCATGTGTGTGTCTGTGGTTGACCGTTTTATTGATTGATGTGCGACCACCGCCGCTGCCGCCGCGACCCTTGAGTCGTTGTCCTGGCCAATTGATTATTATTCCTGATTCCACCCCTTTTTTCCTTTGCAGTCCAAACAAGGCAAGCAGCGAGCGAAGTAACGAATTTTGGAGCATAATGGCATCCGGCGGCTTGGCATGTGTCAAATACTTGACATTCTTTTGCAATCTCCTGTTTGCGGTAAGTTTTGTAGGCTACAGCTTAATGAGAACTATGAAAAAAAACGAAAAAGGGAGTTTTCATAGATTTGTATGCATTTCACCAAGAAATATTAAGATTTTCTAATAAAATAATAAAACTAATCGGAAAATCCATTTCCCTTTCCAGCTCACAGGACTTCTCATCTTTTTGGTGGGTGGCATGGTACAACTGAACTATGCACACTATTCGAATTTCGTTAGCGATCATATTTGGACCGCACCCATAATTTTGATGATTGTCGGTGCCGCCGTGGCCATCATCTGCTTTTTGGGTTGCTGTGGTGCATTGAAGGAGAGCAGTTGCATGATCCTCAGCTTTGCAATTCTCGCAGTGGTCATCTTTCTGTTCGAGATCGGGCTAGGCGTTGCCGGCTATGTGAAGCACACGGGCCTGCAGCAGTTGATGGAGGGCCAGTTCAACACTACTATGAAGCACTACAAGGACCGTGACGACTACCGAGATGCCTGGACCCTGCTCCAGACCGAGCTGGATTGTTGCGGCACCTACGGCCCCACCGACTGGGAGGTTATCTTTCCGAACAAGACCCTGCCGCCGGCTTGCTGCTCCGTGATCAATCTGAGCGAGGCAAAGGAGTGCACCGCCGTCCACGCCAACCAGCAGGGTTGCTTGCAAAAGCTTTTGGGCATTTTGGACTCGAAGACCCTAATCTTGGCGTCCGTGGTGCTGGCAGTAGCGGGTATTCAGGTGAGTCTATAAAGTACTCAATCATAGCTCTTGTATTAATTCTTGACTCTTTAACAGCTGCTCACCATACTGTTCGCCTGCTGCCTGTATCGTTCGTTTCGCCGGAGCTACGATCACGTTTAGATTACGCAGCGAGGATCCCGTCTGTCGCATTTGAGTACCGGGAACACACCAAACCAATTTTCGTAGTTTTGTAGTTGTCTCTAAATCGAACACACAATCACCAGCACTCACTCACGCAGAAATCGATTCACAACCAACTCATGTGTCTCACTCGCCGCCCACGGAAGGCTGATTAGTACTATATTATCTACAAGAATCTGGCATGAAAACAATATTTGCAACACAAGATTGCATGCCAGAATATACATACAATCTCATTCCATTATTTGTTAAACATTAAAAATATGTTCGGATTGGTTTCTGTTTATTTTGTAAGTTTATAAAATCGAAACTCATCTTCTGATTAATCAAGAACATGTATAATTAATTACATGTATTGCAATTTGGATATTATTTACTCATTCCCCAACAAATGCCAACATATTTTGCCACCACACACATATTCTCAAGCATATCGCCCATATATTCTCATCATATACTGCATACATTTAACAAAGTGCCCTTTTGTAGCGATTTTTAAACTATATATGTAACATTTAAACCGCATTTTTAGAATATATATGTAGGGGTGTGTGTGGCTTTTCCTCCCTCCAAAAGAATACCCACCAGTTGACTCATTTCAAAGAATTGGATTATCACCAAACACTATCAATTAGTATCCGCACACACTTTAATAAATGTGTACCCCAAATAAAGATTTAAGTCACTAAGCATACTCAAAATGAAAAGTGCTTCAGAACGAATTTACACTCTTGAGATCGAATAAACCATCCTTACATCAGATAATTCTTGCATCTCTGAATCTTGAGGCTTTAATAATGGACGATCACAGTAAATAATGAATTGAATCGATATTATTACCTTAATACACAGAGGCATATTAGCAATAAAAACATAAATACACAATTTTCTAAAACTGTAAAACTGAATATTGATAACTACACTATATGTATGCATTTGAAATATATGTATTTGTATTCGTATTTAAATCTGTGTTAAAAAAAAACCAATGTGCAGCACTGAAAACCCCATTAAATAAATGAACAATTTTAAATCAAAAATAAAAGTTACTTATAATTTTCGTTAAATGTATAAACAGCACAGTGGGATACTATTTAAATCAGTGGTGTTCAAAGCCTTGACTAGCCAGGCAGCAAATTACTAAAAAAAACTGAATAAATTTATATTTATTATATATTATCATATTATCTCAGATAATGCAAACGATATTGTATTAAAGTCTGGAATATATTTTATTACAATACCAATTATGAACTAAAACTTTAAAAGAGTATTTAAACATCATAATCATTGTTACCATTGGTTTCACTTCAAATTCTGAATTCTGAAAAATGCATTTTCCACCCGCAAGTGCAAGTACCACCCCGAATGGTTGCTAATAACAACAATGGGATCCTTCCCAGTTTGTTTGTTCAATGAAAGTCAGTTGGCTGTTCTGTCTCAGCGTCAGTCGAAGTACACATTCGACCCAAGTAATAATTTGTAACCAACTTTGGGTTTCGAATCCCAAATAAAATGTCAGAAAAAGTCGCAGTTGTGCCCGCCCGCCGCGAAATAACCGGCTTGAATCGTATGACGGAAAAGGGGCTAAAGGAGCTTTGCAAGAAGCACAAGCTATATCAGACTCCGCGCCTAAACGATGTTCTCTATCTGCACTATCAGGGTGAGTAAACAACGTCGGCCATTAAGTTGAAGATCATTTGATTGATAAGTACGCACTTCACAGGCTTCCAGAGTATCGAGTGCCTGGAGGAGTACACAGGGCTTAAGTCCCTATGGCTAGAGTGTAATGCCATATCCGAGATCCAGGGATTGGAGCAACTGACCAAGTTGAAGTGCCTCTTCCTCCAGAACAATCTGATCACAAATATAGAGAATCTGGATGCGTGCCGCGAATTGGACACCCTGAATCTGAGCTCGAATCATATTCGCAAAATCCAGAACATCGGCAGCGACATTTTGCCAGTGTTAAATACTCTAAACATAGCATCGAACTACCTGAAGGACAGTGAGAGTCTGGCGGACTTGGTACAGTGCAAGACATTATCTGTTCTGGACTTGTCGAACAATCGCATTGACGATATTCTGATTGTGAAAATTTTCGAGCAGATGCCCAATCTCAGGGTCCTGGTCCTGCAGGGAAACCCAGTGGTCTCGCGTCTGCCACAATATCGCAAGACATTGATTCTGGCCTGCGTGAGTCTATAGTAAAACATATTTATAAAGATTTTAAATACTATTTTTAACTAACTTTAGAAAGAACTTACTTATCTGGACAGTCGTCCTGTTTTTCCTCGGGATCGGGCCTGTGCTGAAGCCTGGTAAGCATTTTTTATTCATGAAAATACACAAATCGAGAGAGCCTAGGTTTAAAAAGCTTAGAAATTATTATCAAACGAATGTAACACCATAAAATTAGAATGACAGCTCTAAAATACTTAAAGGCCATCTTGCTGCAGTTTTCAATAATTTTTCGACTACTGATCCATATACTCATAAACATGATTAACATTTCTAGGAAGCGAGAGGGCTATGAGGGCGAACGCAAGGAAAACTGTCGTTGGAACCGCGCTGAACGTCGCAAAACCCGTGAAAGCGTAAACTGTAAGTCAATTGAATATATTTTAAAAGAATTCTAATTGAAACAGTCATTCCATGCAGGCACCATTCGCATGCGCAATAAGCATCGTCCTCCCGACCAGCAGAATCCGCTGCTTATGTCCAGCGATTCTGAGGAAGATGAAAAGGCGGCTGCGATTTCTGCTGAGAAGAGCCGCATGAAAGCCGAAATGGAGAACGGCAATGTCGATGATTTGTGGGATGAGGTCTCCGGCGAGCAGAAGGAGCAATCCGTCCACAGTGCCACAAGTTCCAGTTCGGCCGAGGACAACGAAAGCACCGGCTCCCAGGCCGATGAAATGGCTGAGAAATTGAGTAATCGCAAAAGTATACCCCTTGAGGGTCGTCCTAAAGTCCTGTACGAGGCCGAGGCAGGCGACGTGCAGAGTATCCAAAAGCTGGTCCAGCAGGCAAAGAAGGGAAATGTAGATGCCAAAGAAGATGATAGGGAACTTAAGGATGTGGAAGAGACAGCCAAGCCCAAGGCGAAGCGTATATTGATTGAAGAGGGAAGGCTTGAAGAAGCAAATGATGAAATTGCTGAAATTGAATCTACTAATTCCACTAGGGATTTCGTAGACCCTGAGTCAACAGGTACTGGTGAAAACGACTTGCCAAAACCTCCCAGTGATAAGGACTCTAACCAGCAAGCGTCCTTTGAGATTAATGAAGATTCCGTTCCCCTATTGGACAGTGAATCCGAGCAGGATGATTCCGAGGGTCTTGAACATACACGCAAGGCCCTTAAAGTAGTATCTGATAATAATGAGCTGGGCACGGATCCAACGGCAGAGGAGATTAAAAACAAGCTGGTTAGTGAACTTTATGAAAGTTTCGGCGATGAACTCGATGACGACTCGAACGACGAGCCCCTGGAGCAGCTCCTCAATGAGGACACTATCAAATACAAACTTGAAGACAGGGTTTGCTGTGAGGAAAGCACGACCCCTAGGGACTTGTATCAGAAAGACGGTGAGCCATGCCTTCCGGTCAAGAGCAAAGAACAATTGGTGTTCGAGGAGGAAAGTGCTTTTACCACTGAAAAGTGTGCTCACGATTTGGAAGAAATAAGTTGCCACGTGGATGAGGATCTGGATGAACTAAGGCAATCTGTTTACTTTTCCGAATCACAGAATGATCAAACAGACAGCGAGACCGACGAGGAATCCCTGAAGCCCTACCTGGAGGCAAAGTCACCTATTCTCTTGGAGCAATTTAGTGAAAGACGAAGGCAACTAAAGGAGAGGGAAGAGGCAAAGACTATAGGGGAAGTCCAGCCAGAAATAACTGAAACAAGCACAGCTGATGACGATGACAGGCGAGATCAATTCATAGCCAAGATTTTGGACGACGCTACGGATAATGTTCCCAAGCGCGTCTTCGGAGCTGGATGCGATGTCCCAAGTCATGAATGGTCCTTAGAAGAACGCATGCGTCAGTTGCAATTGGAAGCACCGAAAGATGAATCTGATGCAGCAGTTAATGTGCTCCGACAACCAATATCAAGCAAAACCAGTGCCGAGCAGGCTGAGGAAATCTGCCAACAGATGGATAAGCAAATGGCAGAGGAAGAAAAGGAGCTTCGAAAGTTGCTACAGGACTTGGAGGACGAGGCTGATGCCATGTATAACATTGATACGACGGTTGAATATGAAGAGGAAGTAACCATTGAGGAGCAAGTCACCATACAAGAGGAAATAACCATACAAAGGGTTGACGTTGAGGGTATTTGCTCCTCGCTGTTAAACGATCTAATTGATGAAGTGACATCCAATAAGACTCTAGAGTCTGAGAAACCCAAAAGCTTTGAATTTGGTACCATTGAGTCAGACGATGAATACAGCTACTCCGCGGAGCCGCAGCTAGAAAAGTTGGTACCGCCCGAGCTGGAGGACCCAGCTGGCGGTAAAAGCCTTCGAGAATGCCTGGACGTGTTCCAAGACTTCATCACTTCCATGGAAAATCCGAAAGAACCATTCAAGCTGGGTCGTGATCCTAGCGCATGTGCACAGAAAATTCGTGCAGCTCAAGAGCTTTTGAAGTCTAAAAACTTGGCGGAGTTTAACTCGGACACGGCTGAAAGCCTAGACGCCAAAATAGCCAAGGAAGCTGAGAAACGCAAGCGAATGGTGGCAGCCTCCGCTTCCCGCTGCTTCGCTCAGCGCGATAAATATGAAGACACACTGGAGGTGGTGGACAACAAGCTGATGGTGGTCAAGAAGGATACCGGGGAGCTGGAAGAGCTGCCACCTCCGCCAGCCCTCATTAGTGACACCGAGTCGGAGGACTACGACACGGCCGAGGAGGAGGAGTATACTCCGGGAAAGCAAGGACTGCGACGTCCGTGGACCACCCCGTACAAGCCAAAGCCCAGAAAGTCCGAGGAGCATCTGGTGATGGATGCTCTGCAGCGAGCCCAAATGGAGACGCTCAATAAGAGCGGAAAGGAAGAGGAAGGAACAGAGGCGGAGGGCACAGAGGGGGAGCCGGTGGAAGATGTGTTCTATTCGCTAGAAGCCATGACAACGTTTGGTAACCTGGACACGGAATTCTTCCAAAAGTTGGATCTCAAAAGTGTCCCGGATGAGGAGGCAGAATGTGCCATTGCATGCATGAGGAGCTACAGCGAGCTAAAGGCATGCATGAAGTCCGGATCGAAACACTTGGAGCTGACCAGCGAGGAAACCAAGATGCTTCAGTCGATGATCACCAAGGAGGAACCTGAAGATAAGCCCAAAGATCCCAAGGTGGATGAGGCGGATGAGCTCCTGAACAAAATGATGATTCGCATGAAGGAGATCGAGGAACGGGAGCGTCAGCAACAAGCGATACCGCCAGCTGAGCCCAAGGACACAAGTCCCATTAAACTCTCAGTTGGTGGCTTTAAGCTTTTCGAGCAAAAGGGTAGCATTGACTTGGAAGATATAGACAACTCGGATAATGAAAACGAAATGGAACTCAAGACAGTAACTCCGGAACAAGCTGACGAAGAAGCCAAGGTAAAAGAGGCTGTGCCAATTCCACAGGACAAAGTTACAAACGAGCCAGTAGACAAACAGGAGTTAGACGCTCCTCCTGTTAGACACAACCGAAGTATTGATGATGATGTTCAATCAGATGCCTCTACCGACTACGAATCTGGGGAAGAGGTAGCTGTGGTGGAGCCACCAAAGCTTCCTGAGTCTGTGCTAAAGACGTTTTTCTCCGAAGGATTCGAGGCAGACTTGAGAATGGCTAACGAGCTAGAAGAAGCCACACGTCGCAACCTCTGTAGCCTACCGCCAAAAAAGCAGAAAGCAGATACAAAGTGTACTACAAACCCAACTGAATATCAAACTTTAGAATTAACTGAACTCCCTTCATCCTCAACGGATAAGAAGCTCAATCTAAGGACCGAAGCTAACCCCAACTTGACAGAAACTAAGTCCAACCAGAAGAAAGTTAAACCCGGCACTGAGACAGCCATGTCCGAACTGGCCGTCAATGCCAAGGCCAAGTGGGCAAAAATAGCCAAGAGATTGAACGAGTTCCTCGATCCCGATATTATTACAAAGCTGAATAGCCAAGAGTTTGGTGAAAGTGATGATGAGGATGATGATTTCGAAATGGATGATGATTTTGCCACTCCCCTAGATGTTATCAAAGAGGAAAGTGGAGCCCAGGAATTCTCTGGTGTAAATGAGAAAATAATTATTCCCGACAAAAACATTTCGAATGATAATATTGGAGATGGAATCGCATCCCACAATCCTAAAATGGGCGAGACTGAACTAGTTGAAAAAGGAATCCATATAACTGAAGGAGAGACTTGTGATGTGTTGCAAGAAGCAAAATCACCTAGTGAAGATCAACATACCACGCAAACTTCCTCAGCAACAAAACCCTTTTCAATCGATTACTTTGAAGGCTCAGAGCCAATGGATTCCGACCCTAATGCCTCAATTATCCACACAGATGTCCTCAAGACCGAACAAATTGAATGCAACCTGGAAATCCTGACCGAAGACGGAGACGTGGTGGTCAAAGAAGTCAGTGTCAATGCTCAGGTGACCTTTAAGTCGGATCATGTCTAAGATGCGTTGTGGTATAATTTCTGAAAATTTATATAGTTTTTTTTCTTTTTTACTTTCCATAAGTAAATAAATCGATGAGCATTCCAAAAAAAACACAACTCGATTATTATTTAAAGCGCCCCACAATGATAAGGGCATGTAGAAAGTTCAGACTGGAATCCAGTTCTAACCGGCCGCCCATCGTTCCCATCTCAGGAAATAATAATAAAATCTAGTAAGCACTTGAGAAGCGATTAGACGGACTTCGGCTATACCGTTTGCCCCTATCAAAATTGGCACATTTCGAACCACTTGAAACCGGATCGCTGCTTTCTGGTGCATCACATAAACCGGATCGTTAGATCGCCGGATCGCCGGATCGGCCCCGTTGTTTGCTCGCCCGTTCTTGGCGGAGGGCAATCGTCCGGGTTATCACCCGGCTACCACTGATTGTGCCGATCGCTTCTCTGCTGTTTCCAGTACTACTAAGCAAAAAATATATTTCTAGTTTTTATGGACAGGCCCCGAAATTTCACCACCCATCAGCTGTTGGGCGCGTGCTCAGAACATTTAACTCAGTATTTGTTTTATAAACAATAAATGAATACAAAGTCGGTTGCATAAGAGGCATTATCAGTGATTTTTGCTATGGACCCCCTGTGGGGAGATGGCAACAGCTACGACTAGAGACTGAGGTGGTCAGATGGTTTATTTTTGGAGGCCGGTACGCTCTTCCAATTTATTGCCATAACATTTCCACTGCACCGTTGAACTCGTGCGGATGTTGTCGATAAGCAAATGGTTTTTTTGGCTAATCAAGTTCATGCGATAAGATACGAAGCAAATTTCGCTTAACTGACCCAAACTGGTTTTCCTTTACGCCCGGGAAGGTGTGATAAATATTGTTTATCTTATCATATGGTTTAATTCTTAATAGGGTAAAACATAATACAAAATTGGTCAAGGTTAAGCCATGAAGGGTTATTAAGAAATATAAATATGATTTTGCATCATGTGCAGTAATTACTGTTTCCTAGAAATATATTTTTTCTTCAGTAGAGAGACTAAAAGATCTTGATCTACAAAGAACTAAACTGCATAAGCACTATTAAATATGTAACTTTAGCAGCCAATATCTGAAAAATAAATTATATATATAAGGTAAGACTGATAACAAAAATGCTGTGTTCAAACTCACCGACATTAGTAAAGAGTTATCAACGTTCATGAAGCCTTCGGCATTAATGATCAAAACATTATGTTCAACTTGCATGGTAAACTCCATTAAGAGATCATTATATGCCGGTTCCCTCTGGAGAGTCGGATGGCAGGTCAAACCCCTGACATAGCTACCAATGAGCATGTTCTAAAATAAGAACAAAGCATCAAAGATCTTTTATATATTACATATTACTTTCAATAATTACTGACACAAAATAGTGCCTTAGAGTTTAATGGATAGGTAGTTTTGAATGCTGAGAAATACTGATAAAGAATATCTATTTTCGATTTCAACATGGTTTTCTTTATGCTTTGTTGTAATTTATGATTATACAATCCGAATCCAAGAACTCATCCAAATTATCTTTAATACATCTTCACTCACCTGCATCCTGCAGAACTCTCCGCAACGGCAAAGGGCAAACAAAATGGCGAATGTGGGAATAAAAGTGGAAATTGTGGCAATAAGGTATGTGTTGTCGTAGACCTCGGCAAGGACCTGCTGTGTCCAGTAAATGTTGATCGTGCTGTCTAGGAACAGAACCACGAAGATGCTTAGGATGGACCAGCCAAAGAGGTCGTTGAAGTGCGTGAAGAGCTGATAGAGCTCCATGTGGCTCTGCTTCAGTTCCAAGAGGAACTCCAGGGAACAGAGCTGCTTGCAGTTACCGTCCAAGACACAATTGGCATCCATCATGTGGCAGTTGAGTACGTCATGTAGCCGATTGCCCAGAAGCCTCATGTGATGGCCCAGCAGATCCACGTAGAGCAGCAGCAGGACACACTGCATCCGGATGACCAGTACAGGTAAAAGCGATACCCAGAAGTAAATCAGGGTCACATTGAACGAAACATATGCCGAGGGTATTACCGCCACCAAGCAGATGGCACCGAGTCCCAGAATCTTGGTATAACACTTCCAGCTCAATCCGCCCAAAGGAATCTTCAGCTCACCCTGAAGCCGGAGACCCAGGTACTTGAGCTCCTGGCAGAACTGGTAGTAGCCGTCGTATTGGATCGTCATTTGCACCAGGACCACGGTCATTGCCACGATCTTGGCCACGAACACAATCACGTTGACCATCAGTGAGAGCAACTGCTCATCCGAAGCCGGCATAGCAACCGAAACTATAAACATGACCACGTTGATGAGTATGAGGAAAACGGAGTAAATCCTCTGCAGAAACTGATACCGGGCACATTTCTCGCTCCAAGGCACTAGGCCCATAAGGGCGAAGTACTTGAGGTACGGCTGCAGGGAGTACAGCATGCTGGGGGCTTCGAAGCCAACTAATTGCCATTTGGAGCTGCAACCCGAACAGCTACCTCTCTTGGCACAAGTTTTAACTTATTCCTAGATGTCAATTAAAGTCGACAATTAGCTAATTGATAATTTATCAAGTTCTATCTTAATTAGCTGAGCTAAAATGGAATTAAAAGATTAGAAGCGAAACAGTTTAAAATATGGGGAAAGTCTTTTACAATCAGTTAAAATAAAATGTATACATTTCCTAAATAATGGGTTATAAACATATTATAAACTGCTAAAGACAAAACATTGTTGTAGCTTAATAAATATATAAGTACATTAAAAAGGTATTTATATAAGAAAACCTTAGTAAAGGAATATTTTAGCATTCTATGTGTGATTTATTGAAGGCCTTCTAGGTCGCAGATCTAAATATTTCCAATGCATTACATCCTTCCTTGAATATTGCGAACCTAAGATGCATTAGGATCATTTATCGAAATGCGTAAGTTGATCTGTACATAATCTTTATCCCATATTTTTAACCAAAAAAAAGAAGTCCAATTCATGAAGCTGAAAATGTATTTTTTTAAAATCACACATTTCTGTATTTAGTTCAATAAATAAATATGTTTAAACACCGAATTTATTTCGCTTTAAAATAAACAATCGCAGTGTGTCGCCACATCTGATTAGTTTAAAACGCTCTACCTTTCACAGATGTGTTAAAAAATATATGTAGAACACTCTATCTCGATTAGTTCCCTCTCTCACAAGTCTGTGGGTCAACTGGGAGTCAGATTACATTCGTGTAAACAATCCAAAAACCCCCCTAAACCAACTGAATCGAAGGAAGTATTTCTGGTGAATCACACACCCAAGCTCTATAAAGTGTCTCAGTTTACATTCGGAATTCAAGTTCCGACCATTTGGCGCAATTGGAGGCTTAAATACCAAAGAAGTATCAAGTGGTCCGGCCCTCTCCGATCATGCTAAATCGACATGCACACGATTCTGCAGCAATTCCCCGGCCCGGATTGATAAGAAATCTCTTTTTGTTGATTTAATTGTGAAATATGTGTGAAGTGAGCCCCAGTGGCAGTGCCCCACCAACGGCGCATGTCTATGCTGCTTTCAGTTTGAGTTTTTCTATTTGTATTTTTGTTTATAATCACTTGATAACGATAATGAACTGATCGCCGTCTAATGCCGGCAAGGTATAAATACGACCGACTTGCTCAATCGATTTCAGTTGATAGTTTGCCGGCCCTCAAAGCGTTTGGCTAGTGCATTAAAATATAAAAAAAGGGAAAACTGTGAAAACGGAATAATCTTTACTAGTGATTTGCTAAAAAAAACCAACAATAAAAGTGTGAAATCCGAAAGTGCTGAGTAAAAGTGTCAATAACTATGGCTGTTAGTAAACGTTTTTAAACTAAACTGTATTTAGTTTTCACAATTCAAAACCTGATTTATATTATTACTAAATTGGGCTCAATGTGCGGCAATTACAATGAAATAATCTTATTGATCTAATTTGATTGGAACATTTAAATGATTTTTTACTAAACCATTCAAAAGCTTCAATCGATTTGATGTTTAAAATCTGCTTATTAAATAAAAAGTGTTATTTAAATATTTTCAAAATAAATTATTACAATTTAGCAGCCTTGACTTAGTCTTATTACAAAATTTTCAATAATTGATGTACAATTTTACAACAAAAGAAATTAATTATATTTTAGCCATTAAAGCCGAGTGATTAATTTTATTTAATAATATTTGAAAATATAAATGTATTCCTTAAAAGGAATAATACGAGATTAGTTGTTGACCAAACATGAAATTCTCTTGTTAAGTAAAGCTTATAATAATTATTTGTATTTTTAAATTTGTATAGAAATTATTTAGTTAAAGTTTGAAAACCCGTAAATTGTATTGGTAATTTTTTTCAATACATTAATTAACATTTTGGCTCTTTAAGGATACAAAAAGAGATCTGCCCAACTTTTCTTCTTTCTTTAATATTATATACTATTTTGGAAGTATTCCTGTAAATTTATATTTATTTAAACACATTTTCTTTTATTCGCTAAATTAATTAATTGTTATTTTAATTCAATTGATTACTTTAATTAATTTATTGAATTTTTAAAAATTAGCAGCAAAAACTCCGCATTGCCATTATTGGCCAAAGCAACTTCGCTGCTGACGTTTTGGAGCTGCTTTTGGAGCGATCGAACATCCAGGTCGTTGGCGTCTTCACCATTCCCAACAAGGGCAGCCGCGAGGACATCCTGGCCACCACTGCCACAGCCCACAAGATTCCCGTGTTCAAGTTCGCCAGCTGGCGTCGCAAAGGCGTCGTGCTGCCCGAGGTGTTGGAGCAGTACAAGTCCGTGGGCGCCACCCTCAATGTGTTGCCCTACTGCTCGCAGTTCATCCCGATGGAGGTCATTGACGGGGCACCACTGGGCAGCATTTGCTACCATCCGTCCATCCTGCCCCGCCACCGTGGGGCCAGCGCTATTTCTTGGACTCTGATCGAGGGCGACGAGGTGGCCGGCTTCAGTATCTTCTGGGCGGACGACGGCCTGGACACCGGACCGCTGCTGCTCACTCGCCAGACCAATGTGGAGCCCACAGACACGCTGGACACCATCTACAAGCGATTCCTATACCCCGAGGGCGTCAAGGCGATGGGCGTGGCCGTGGACCTGGTTGCCAGTGGGTCGGCACCGAAGATCACCCAAACGGAGGTGGGCGCCACCTATGATCCGGCCATGTTCAAGGCGGAGAACCAGGTAATTAACCTGCAGCAGTCGGCTGAGCGGATCTGGAACTTTGTACGTGGCCTGGACTCTGTGCCCGGAGCCATAGCCTCCGTGTTGTTTGCCGATGGCAGCGAGGAGCAGATCCGTCTCTTTGGAGCTCATTTGTACTCGGCAGGACCCGTGATCAATGGTCAACCTCTGCGCCTGAAGGGCTTGGCAAAGCCGGCCTGGATCCACAGCGCCGGCCTTCTAATTGAGGGAACAGACGGTGCCTTCGTCAATGTGAGGCGCATCAAGCGTGGATCGAAGGTGATCAGTGCCAGCGAGTGGTTCCGCCAGGCTGAGCAGCAACCCATCACCGACTTCAGCGAGGATGAGCTGGCCAAGAAATGCATCCTGGACGGCATCTGGCAGGCCATACTCAAAGACACCATCGAGGCATCCACGGACTTCTTTGCGGCAGGAGCGGGATCTATGGATGTGGTGCGTCTGGTGGAGGAGGTTAAAGAGGCCTTCGATGTGCACCTGGAGAACGAGCACGTGTTTATGGCGCCCGTCTTCGAGGAGTTCTTTGGCCAACTGGTGCAGATCCTGCGCCAGGGCAGCGGTGGCTCCGGCGGTAAGCAGCTGGACTACGAGGGATTCACCCTGAAGGCCAACAAACGCACGATCCGTGTTCCCACTCAGCTTTTCATCAACGGAGAGTTCTTGGACGCCGAGGGAAAACGCAGCCTTGACATTGTGAATCCCACCGATGAGACGGTGCTCTGCAAGGTGGCCTGCGCTTCAGCCAATGACGTGGACAAGGCGGTACAGGCGGCCAACACCGCCTTTCACGGACCCTGGAAACAGATCTCGGCCAGGCAACGTGGTCAGCTGATGCTTAACCTGGCTGACCTAATGGAAAAACACAAAGAGGAACTGGCCACCATAGAGTCGGTCGACTCCGGAGCAGTCTACACGCTGGCCCTGAAGACCCACATTGGCATGTCCATTGACGCATGGCGCTACTTTGCAGGATGGTGTGACAAGATCCAGGGCAACACGATCCCAGTTAACCCCGCTAGGCCCAACAATGTGCTGACCTTCACCCGCAAGGAGCCCATCGGTGTCTGCGGTCTGGTCACCCCCTGGAACTATCCCCTGATGATGCTCTCGTGGAAGATGGCCGCCTGCATTGCTGCCGGAAACACTTGCCTGATCAAGCCCGCCCAGACCTGTCCCCTTACCGCTCTCAAGTTTGCTGAGCTCACCGTTCTGGCCGGATTCCCTCCAGGTGTGATTAATGTTCTGCCGGGCAAAGGATCGGAGGCAGGCCAGGCAGTGGCTGACCATCAGCTGGTCCGTAAGCTGGGCTTCACCGGCTCAACGCCCGTTGGCAAGCACATCATGAAGTCTTGCGCCGATTCCAATCTCAAGAAGTGCTCCTTGGAGCTGGGCGGAAAGAGTCCTTTGATCATATTTGCCGACTGCGATCTGGATAAGGCAGTGAAGCATGTGAGTATTTGGGGAATTAGATCTTTATAACCAAAATAATTTATTGTTTAACATTTGTACAGGGCATGTCTTCGGTGTTCTTCAACAAGGGCGAGAACTGCATCGCCGCCGGAAGGCTCTTTGTGGAGGATCGCATCCACGACGAGTTCGTGCGACGTGTGCTCAAGGATCTGCGCACCATGACCATCGGAGACCCACTCAATCGCTCCACAGCCCACGGACCCCAGAATCACAAGGCGCACTTCGACAAGCTGCTGGAGTTCTGCCAGCGAGGTGTGGCCGAGGGTGCCAAGTTGGTGTACGGCGGAGGAAGGGTGCCCGGGCTCAAGGGTTATTTCTTCACGCCCACAGTTTTCACGGACGTGGCCGATGACATGTACATTGCCCAGGAGGAGTCCTTCGGCCCCATCATGATCATCTCGAAGTTCAGCGGCAGCGATGTGGACTCTGTTATGCAGCGGGCAAACCGCACCGAGTTCGGCCTGGCCAGTGGAGTCTTTACCAAGGATATCAGCAAGGCACTTAGCTTTGCTGATCGCATCGAGGCCGGTACGGTCTTCATTAACGTTTACAACAAAACGGACGTGGCCGCTCCCTTTGGCGGCTTCAAGCAGAGTGGCTACGGCAAGGACCTTGGTCAGGAGGCGCTCAACGAGTATCTCAAGACCAAGTGCGTGACCATCGAATACTGAAGCTGGGGATAAGCGGAGTTGGGCCAAGCCCGGGAATGAAAAGACTTAATGTTTTGCATAGCTCATAGTTATAAGAACTCTTATCTATCTAACTAATAAAACCAAAATCGTACCCTAACAACGTTGCCCATTCGAATGGAGGGGCATTGCGGTGGCGGCAGCCCTGTGATTGGCCTGGCAATCGATATTTGCTTGGCCAACAACGACATTGAGGATATCTTGACTTGTGACTTGGCAATTGCACGACCCGAGTACGCTTCACATAAGGAACTGGGGTCCATTGGTTGCTCAATTAATGAGAGACTGGAGGTGCTAAAGAATCTGTGGAGCCTTGAGATACAAGAGAGAATACATATGCCAACTTTGGCGGTCTTTACCAGGTTTCCTTTTTTTATTTACAAGTTTTAGAAAGAATTATGTAGTATGCAAAATCTTGAGAAATCTTGAGAAATGCCAGGCATAATCCATATTCTTTCAGTATTCTCTCTGAAATCTTATTAACATTTCTGTAAAAACTAGTGATGGAATATCTTCTTAAATACATGCCCTTTCTACCCGTATAAAATAATGGATAAGTTATTTGCTTATTTATAAAATAGTTTGCAGAGACCCAGAGCTATCGCCTATGGCGTAACCTTTATGAAACCAGGCTGAACTTCTACTTGTCAAGCACTTAAACTTTGCCATTTGTGCGAAAATTCGCAAGCAGTCGGCAGGCAGGCAGGCAGCTGAACAACGTAATGTGCCCCCAAACGACTTGCACCCCATCCCGGAGCCCGCTTCAGTCTCATCCCAGTCCACCGCCCACACTGTGCCACAATCCCCACGGACAATTATAGTGCCGCCTGGCTTTGCCAGCGCTCCTTGGACTCTGCGAAAAGTTTGGCCACCGAAGTGGGTCAACCTGATCTCCTCTCTGTTTTGGGCGGGCTCTGGTTGATTTCATTTTGGTGCTACCATTTGTGGGCTTTAGTTTAAAGGTTTAAGTGTTATGCCGGTCATATTTCAATTATGTTTATTGCCGGACATGGGCCTTAAATATGTGTGTGTTTATATCCCTTGCCAGCTTAGCAAGCTTTCTGCATTAGCTAGACAAGTTTTTTGTTTGCGTCAATAGCCCGGCGTATACGTAATATGCTGATCCATTGTTTTAGTTTCAACTTGGACATGTTTCCCTTTCACTCGCCCTAATCTGACGGCTCTCCTTCTGTCTGCCCTTCATCCTTGCCAAATCCTTTTTCCAAATGTCAGTCAGTCTCGTGTGTGTGGCCCCAGCTTCCTGCAACATTCTGTAATTGATTTAGCTGTAGGAACATGTGCGTTCCTTGTCCTTCGCATCCGTCGTTCTCCCTCGCATCCTGGCGACCGTGCTGCCCTTGAGTGTCCGGTGTACATTTTCCACTTGTCTCCGGTGTTAATTTTGATTGATTTACGTTGATTGGGGTGTGACACCGAGCAATCCAAGTTGCGGAACTAAATTGAGCCAGGTAATTGTTAATTAAATTGTTAAGAAATTGTGTACTTATACATTAAGTTATGCAAAGACATTTACCGCGACTAGGTTCAATAGATCCTGAACTATAGGGTTAGCTAGAATCGAATTAGTTTCCATAGACCATAAATGTAACTATACCTCAGACTAAAGATCTATCCCAAAATAATTTACTATAATATATCTTATATACTATAAGAGTTCCTCAAGCTAACGACCCCCTGAGAGGTTGAATTTTCGAAAGGACATGCCACCATTGCCTGCCAGTGCGGATATGACAAATTATCCGCTCCTCTGCATATTTCAGTCGGGGGAAATCAAAAACAATCAAGGAGCTGTCACACAGAAAAATTACCCTCAGGCAGGCAGAAATTTCCCGAAATAGCTGGCTGTAATTCTCTGGCAAAGTCAACTGACAAAAGTTGCAAGTCTTAAAGCGGCAAATATAGCGCCAATGTGTGCACAAAAGCCGACGACTCATCATGGCCAATACTCTGTTGTATAACTCGCTGCGCGCAACTTCCCAATCAGCTGAGGAATGACGTAATTGAAGGGAGGGGAAATGCTCTAAGAGAATAAAATAGCTGGCAAACCTATAGTCCCAGAATGCCTGCCCCTCTGCCTTGCTCCTCCTTTTCGCGGTGGCCAAGCACGCTCATCCGGCTCGTGGCCAAAAAACCATTTTTTGGGGGCTTAGTTTTTATATAATTTGGCCAAAATGAACCGGCATCGGTGTGGGGACAGAACTCCGGCCCAAAACTCCACACGGCGGAGAGCGAATAATCAATAAATATTATATTACCGACCGCACACTCTCACAGACCCCAATGCGCAAGACAACGCCGAAATCGCCGCGTTGAAAAACTTGCCGCTGGAACTGTGCGTTAGTTCGGCCGCCTCTGGCTCCGGAGGACGCCTCTGGGCCGGATTGATGGGCTTCTGCGCCGATTGAACCGTATCCGCGGGAAATACTAGTACCATAAGCCAAAGCGGAGAGCGGTGGACTGTGGGCTGTGGGCTGTGGGTGGAGAGAGCGCATGAGCCCGAACAGGAGTGGCCAGGATAGCAGCGGGGTAGTGTTTCGTCCTCTACGATTTATCAGGACTCAGTAATGCGAGCTGTCAGACGCCAGCAAATTACTGCGGATTGAGAACCACTGTCCGTTTTGGCTTTCCCGCCGGATCAGCGATATCCTTAGGCATTGGATAGTTGGTTTTTTTTAGCCTCAAACTGTGGATTGTCAACAGCTTTCTTGGGTATATAATCCTGACTGAGTTTTCAACTATGTAAGAAGCTGCGCCTTAAACAATGGCTTATCCGGACTTTCAAAACTTTACTCACATTCCAAATGTTGACATTATGGGACGGATAAGAATAAACATTTTTATTATTAGAATATAATTAAAAGATTAAAGCTTGTGGAACCTAAATCGTCCAGAGGCCTGCCGATCATCATATTGAGCGCTTCTAACACGCTTGTTCTAGGCTTTCGCTGACGATAAGCTTGTCTAGAAACGAGCTTACTTTAATTTTGATTATTCCCGATGATCTCATAAAATATAGTACATATATAAACATTATGTTCCATTCATTTATTTGTGTTTCGAGATAAGCAACACACTCTGCTTTTGAAAGAGGGTGTTGAGTGTAGGGACCGCATCTCCTGCAGTTTCACCTGCACTGATTGGGACATGCAACTAGCGGTGCTTTACGCCCACATAGTTTGACAGCCACTGAATGGAACTAACTGCAAATCACAGCAGCAAAAGTAGCTGAAAGCTTGCTCCAACAACAATGCGGGGCCGCAGGGTGGTAGGCGGAACCGCCGCCGACTGTTCTTCCAGCGACTTGGCGTATAGCACCCAGCTGAGCGGAAAGCTTGAGCAGAGAGCTGGCGCTTTCCACGAAGCTCCTAGTCCCGCTCCCACTTCCGCCTCCCCCACTCGACAGCCGCCATTAGCCAGCTACGAGGTGAACCGAAGGCGACCCGATGCCAGCCGAAGGTTCCCGAAGGCACAACGAACGGAAGGCCGATGGCCGAAGGCGAGCGATTGCCAGCTGCAAGCTGCGGCGATGGCCTGGCACTATCATTGGCGTTTTAACTGTGGACGGTTGCTACTCGCACTCGCTGGCGGATTATCGGCATATAGATATACATACATAGATGTTCTGGCATCTATCTACATATATATCTATATATCCAGAGCTATCATGTACAAGTCTGCGTAGAGAGGGAGCGTTCGAAGGCGAAAGAAAACCCATTCTGTATGTCACCCGAGGAATCTCCTTCACTCTTCACTCTCCCCCACAAAAACCACCAAGCCGCTGGTTACATAAAAATCCGCAAATCATCAGAATTAAAACCTGTGTTCGCCCTATATAAAAATGTGACAGAATTAAACGAATTGATTGTGCCGCCGTCAGTTAATTGCAAATTAAAAGAAATAGAAAACACGAAGAGAAACAATTGTGCCAAAGGAGAAAATTTTTCATTGATTACGTCGACGTCAGCGAAAATGGGAATGAGAATGAGAACGATAGCGACAACGACGGCGACGTCGGTCGGCAACGAGGACATTGTGACAGCGGCAGCAAAGATATCCTTGTAAAACTTATATACATACTGGAATTCGATTTTTTCTTAGCTGCCAGCAACAATAAAAGCGAAGCCATAAGGCGGAGACTCCGAGGCCCAGAGCCGTTAAGAAAAACGAAGTGTGTGTGTGTGTGTGCGAAAGTGTGTGTTCGAGTGTGCGAAAAAGTGTTGAAAGTTTTCCAATCATATCCGTGTTTTGTGTATGTGTGCGTGTTTGTGCGAGGGGAATATCAGTTATAAACCATATCGATTTTCAAGGATTCTAACAATTGCACTGTGCGCCAGAAAAAAAAGGTGACCGAACGAACGCCTCTACATTTGTGTATCTCCCTGCCCTGCCTGTGAGTGGGGGCCAGAGCGTTGCCTACTTTGGTGCGCCATGCCCTTTACTGGACTTTCACATTCACATCCACATCCACGGGGGGAGGGAGGCGCAGCCAAGCCGCAGAAATAGAACCAAAGCCAAAAGCAGAGCGCGGAGCGTGGAGCGTGGAGCGAGGAGCACAAAGCGGGAGCCTAGCCAGAAGCCGAGTCGAGTCGAGTCGGGCGCGTTGCGCAATGTGCGCCGCGAAAAGACGGCGACGTCGGCAGAGCAGAAATGTAAGTCAAGCCAGGCGAATGTTTGTGCGTCGGGAATTTTCATTAAAGCCGACAGCAGGAGGTGCAGGAGCGGCGGAACGAGCAGGTCCTGCGATAAGGATAAGCCCTAGCAGGAGTCCCGTTTCGTCCTAATTGTCCTTGCCTCATTGGATGAAGGTATACTATATAGTATAGCATTGCCTGCTTTTGGGCGTCAGCTCTTCAGAGGATTGCAGAACTGCAAGCGGTTTCTGAGATCGGATTTCGCTCCTCCAGAGACCTCCTGAGACCTTTTTAGACCCTCAGTCTCCTCCTCCCCTCAAAACCCTCATTAAGCTGGCGCCCAGCTGTCAACTTTCATGGCTCGGAAACCCCCGTCGCCTGCCATTTAGTAGCTCCCACCTTCGCCTTGCAAAAGCTGCGGCGAAAGCGGAAAAAATAAGCTTCCAAGCAGCGTTTCCAGCTGCGCTCAGCTCGGCTCTTCCCAACGCTCTCTGCGCGCATGCTCCCCTCTGGGCTGGCTTGGCTTTTCGAGGCTTTTTTCCGCGCTCGAGATTACATAACAGTTGGCAGGCAGAGTGTGTGACTAAAATCGGCAGAGGTGACTACAATTTATTTGGCGTTGGCAAGTTCGAGGCATTTGGTGCAACAAAAGTCGAGAAAATTGCAAATAATATATAACAAGACCCTCCAAGGATCTAGCCGCAGATTGAAACTCATTTAATATCCTCTTAAGACAGGCTTCCTCAAGTGTCCTTGTGCCTGCGCCGAATCACGGCTGAGGCTGAATCAGAATTTGGCAAAAGGGAAAAACTGAATACTGCAAATGCCAAGTGGGGAAAAGGCAAAGTTTACATAAGCCGAAAACCATTGAATGGGACTGAAAATGTAAAGGAAAACTCCCAGACCGAAAAGGAACTCGCTTACATAAAGTATAAATCAATGAATGTCGCGACAAAGAAAAGTGTTAAAAATTTAGCAAATAACTTAAATATAGTGAGAGTATCAAAGACAACCGGAATCTACGATTAACGAAAACCCAAGAAAATAACCCATTTCATCCATTATGTCATTGCACTTTGCGAAAAACAAGCATTAACCTTACCTAACAGGTGTTATTCGATCGCACAGTTATGCAATATTATTCATTTCCAATTTCCGTTCATATCTTTCAGTGACGTTGCAAATTAAGCATTAATCTTAACAAAATACTGCTACGAACATTCCAAAAAAACAAACAAACAAACAAAAAATGTTGTACCAACGCAGTTGATTGAGAAAAACTCACCCAAAAAAAAACCAAAAACAAAAAAACAACCCAACAAGTAAAATAAAACCAAAAATCAACACCAATAAATACACATATATAAATAATTAAAGATACATAATATACTCGTATTAGATAAGCGTTCAAAATCTAAACGTCAACTTTAAGGAGCCACAAGGAACAACAAATAAGAATAGTTTAACAAAGAACTAGCTTTATAGACAAGACACCCTCCTACAACCCAAGTGACAAAAACGAATAAGTAATTCGAGTTAAATCGCAAAACCAACCTACAAGCAGCAAGAAAACAAAAGCGTTAACATGGCCGATAAGAAAATTGGTGAATATTATGCGCCGCCGCCAAAAATGGGCAAATGGGAGGGTTTCAAAAAATTCCTATGGAACAGTGAAACTAGCCAATGCCTTGGACGCACCGGGTCCAGTTGGGGTAAGTAACTATCCTAGTGGATTCTTAACTACATGCTAAACTTAATCGAAAACGTAACTTTACATATAGTTTATCCATCTTTCTAATATTCACTTATTCATAAATTTGAAGATACCTTTTTTGGGTACAACTAATTGCTTTTGAACTCGACGGGCAAATATCGATTTGTGCGTTACTACCAGATACGCCCGAAGGCGCCGAAAAGTCACGTACTTAGTTAGGCTAAATAAGGAAGTCAATACGAGAGGTGCACGACCTCCCACTACGTAATGCCAGTGAGTATTGTTGAGTCACTTCCTCGAGTTCTCGCGTTCTCGATTTTGAGGCTTCAGTTCCTCAGTTGTCCGATTGCATAATGCGAACAACCTTGCTGCAGCCTTTTCTCCATATCAGGAATCACAATTTTCATTACATATGGCCACGGGAATTATGACTAATCGCCGGATTTCGTGTGTAAGCGGGTCGTGACAAAAGGAAATTGTCATAAATTTTTTATGCCTCCTCCGCGCTGGAAGCGAAATAGTACTAAAGCCTCTTTATTACTATATGCGCGGAGCCATCCCTTCGATTCTAGATATCTATCGAATAGATAGCATTGTTTGCTGTCTTTTCGCTTTTTATTTATAGTACAAAGCAATTGATAAACCAATTAGATAATTGAAATATCTAAAGCTATATTTAAACAGTAAAATATGAACGAGTTATGAAAATAAAAGCTTGCTGATTGAGTTTTTATCTATTAGATAATCTTGCTGTTATGCTTTCTCTGTTCTTTAGAAGACATAAATAAAGCAGCAGTAATCAATATTTGGCTATAAGCGAATAATGTCAATTTATTTCGTACGTGGCATCCGTATTTTTATTGATATTGCCCCTATATCTTGAAGGAGGAGCAGCCACCCAATCGGCCCTTTGTGGCACGTGCCGGCCCGATGGCTTATATTTAGAAATTCCTCTTCGCTTTCCGAGTACATTTTTAATGAAATATAATGGCATTGTTGGGCTATTGATTGCTATATCGGGTATCAAGGTTTCCCGTAAAAAGCTTTTGCTATAAGAGCGGGCGGAATCTTTTCAATTCTTGAGAATTTTTAACGTTTGAATTCACTCTAATTCAAAGCCTTGTTTATATATCTATTTGCTGAGCTTAATAAATAAAAATTCATTAATTCTTCCGTGGAAATATTTTAGGTTTGAGGTACTTCCGCTATATAACCTTTTTATTTCGTTTCTAAAGAAAATTATATAATACTTTACAAAATGTTAGTAGTAATCTCACAAGTTGAGTTCATAATTGGGTAAAATACAAAATCAGGTGGGGTCGGGGAAAATCAGAGAATTATCTTGATTTTTATTTGGCATAAACATTTCTTTGTTCTCAATTCTTCAAGCTGTGAAACTAACCGTCAAAATGTGATAAATATTTATTGTCTATTATTTATAATTATAATACTTATTTGCCCATTTCCCTTGAATTAGAATCTTTATCAACAGGATATGTCTTTAAAACGAACTTGTCACTACCGAAAGCCAAGTTAAAGTTAAAATTGGCTTTCGAACCAATTATTCTCATTTAATTGGACCCATCAGTTTGCGCTAAAGGTTCTAATGTCTGTTTTTAGAGTGATTAGCCAGAGAGAAATGATACAATGTGTTGTGCACTTTTCAATCATTATAAATCAATGGTGTGTGTGTGAGAGAGTCTATTACCTTTCTGTGGCAGAACACTTGACTGCTGTCTGTCTCCGCAGCTATAGCTGGCTTAGTCGAGGCTACATTGCCTATAACCCAGTTTATTCGCCTGCCACGGAGGCAAACGCAAATGTGAAAACCTACTTGTGGACATGCGATCTCAGTCTCGGCAAAGAAAAAAATCAATTCTAGCCTCGTTGCAGCGGCTTAGTGCTGCGGGCCGGTGCACAAAGGTGGGTCGTTTCGCGCTTGGCTGTCCCTGTGTGTAACCCACTTAGGGTGCAAATGTTGTTGTGTTGCCTCTGCAGTTAAACACTTGCCAGGCACCGCCTTCCTTCCGCCCGTCCCGCTGCCTCTCCTCCAAGATGCGAGGGTGCTGAGCGCGCCCAGCTCACAGTCACTGGGCTGACCTACACCAAAGGCACAAAGGGATTGGACACCTCCGTTCTGCCTGCTTTTTTAGGTTTCCCTTGACGGCTCTGAAATTGCGTTGCAAGCTTATTCAGTGACTGCAGCTGGGGTTGTGGCCCAAAGGGAGCTTCACTTCTCTATTTAATTATTGAGTACTTTTAGCTTGGCTTGTATTTTCATTTATTTATTTGCTTTATTGTAACTATTTTTAACAAAAAAGATAAATTGGTAGCACTGGAAAAATAGTTAATGCAAGTTCAGAAGATATTGAATTTGATTTAGTTCTTAACAATGTATTTTACAACATATTTGATAAAGAAACATTACCAGTTTTGTAAGAATATCATTAAAAAAATTGTAATTTTATATAGTTTTATTATAACCTTACAATTCGCAAGATAATAAGAATTATGCATTTATCAAAAAGTGCTATTAACTCTCACTTAAAACTTTAATGTTTTTTACTTCTTTTAAACTATCTTACAGTATAAAATCTTTTTAAAACACATTCCAAATATAGTTATTTTTTCTTCTTCATGTGTATCACAGAGTATAATGATAATTGCTTAGTCATTGCTTTAGAAAAATACTATATACTTCTTATCATACTTTATTCTCTAAATAGTAAAGATTTTGCGTTCATGAAAATTAAATGTTAATGGTGGAAGATCTTTTCATTTATAGTTACCAAAAATTAAGATATCCAAGCGGAAGCGATGACTTAGTTAATTAAGTTATTTAAACCAAATTGTATGAGATTGCAAGCATCCAAATCTGTGCACTCTCCGGCAATCTGAGGCCATTTGCCAATTGCCACAATTAACATATAACCAATTCATGAAGCATATGGCACTCAATTATTGACATCAATTTGCCAGACAACAAACAGAAAGAGAAACAAGCAGAACAAGGCTGCGGCAAAACAATTAAAATGAAAAACGAAAACGAAGCAATTCACACTGAGCCACGAAAGTTAACCACCACTGAGCTTGCTAAACATCACTCCTCTCTGCTAAAATCTTTGCCCTTAAAATGCACATCACTGCAATTAACAATAGAGTCATAAGAAAATTGCATAAGCTTAAGGAAAATAGAGAAAATGCAAAATTTTCCACATTCTATATAAATCCATTAGGAGTAGGGAATATAAACTTTGCCATTAAGGCACTTGGGCGAAAATTTATTGCGGGAAAGTACGTAATTCAAGAGCAGCCGCAGCTGAGCTCCAATTGATCCATCAGCCTCTTGAAAATCTATTTCAAATAGGCAAAAAGTAGAGAAAAGAAATCTTAATGGAAAGAAACAATAATTAAGCTCAACTGTTTTGACCCCACTTTTCCATTAAGGGATAATTGAATATCAAGTATCCTGGCATTCAATTTAATCAATGGAAACACAGGCACTTCTCTTAATTTTAATATTGGTCTTAACTATAGCCATTAAAAGAGAAAATATTTTTAACATTTTAACAATAAAATTGTATAAATTCCATTCATTCGATTAATTAAATTTAGTTCATCCTACTATAAATGAGGGGCACCTTCTTATTGAAATGTATTTTGAAAAGATTTTATTCTTTATTCTTATAAAATCACTATCAGTTTGCAAATTAATTTACTAAAATGTATAAACAATATACACCAAGCTAAATAATACATTTAAAATACAATATATATGCAAAGCTCTAGGTCTGATCGGCATCTCAACAGGATATGTATGTATTGCTATATAAAAACAGCTATTTAAATCATACCAAAGATCTCATCATTTTACTGTTCAAACGATCTGAGTAAAACATTTTAAAAATAGCCTTTTAAAATCTAAATACTCAAAATGGTTCCATAAAATCATCTGATATCGATTGAAGCTTTTGAAATGTTATTGTCAAAAGACTATACACTATGATTCCCTATGTTTCATTCTTATTCTTAACTTATATTTTATTAGTCGATAAATCTTTAGATATGTAAAATTTGTTCTACTTTTCTTGAAATTCCCAATTTCAAAAATTGCTTATTAAATTATTATTGATTGAATTATTTTTAATTACATACAAATTAAACATGGGCAAAAGGTTTTATTGCATTTAATTGGTACATGATATGTATGTATAAATCCTGAGATAAACTGGGATAAACTAAAAAGTACTTCTTCAGAAGTTATAATACTATACTTTCAAAAACTATTTTTCCGATTTTTGGAATGAAAAAATCACAAATGTGTTTTTTTCGAGAGAATAGCCTATCCTTACCATTGAACTATATATTCAAAATAAGTCTTAATTTAACCTTTTGCGTTGCCTATATATATATATTGTGGTTTTAAATTTTTAAATTTTTGTGCAGTCTGCATATAATTGTATCATAATATAGATATAAAATAATCAGAAACATATCCATACACGACCTATTTGTTTTCAATTTAAGCTTTACGAAAACCAGACGTTTTGACATAGAAATCCGAATTCGCTGGGTAAATTAACCAGAGCCTGTGAATATTAAAGCATGCATTTAAAATTTGACAAGTTGGATATTAATGTATGAGAATTACAATTTTTTCTATACAAAATTGTACCATTCGGTGTGGGCTTTTGAATTTGTTGCATGGAAAAGGACGAGACTCGTGCCAGTTTTCGCGCTACACAACCCGCGGCGTGCTGAGTCGTGCTGTTGACAGTTGAATATGTTTCTGTGCCTTCCTTTATATATTTTCTCATTTCCGTTGGTGATTTTGGGTTGGTCTGTGTGCCACTTTTAATGTTACCAAGTGTGGGTCCTTTTCAGTCTGCCTCTGTGCGTGTTTTTTACTCAGTTCTATTTTTTATTTTACTCAGCAACTGTCAAAATGTAAACACAGAAACGAGCCGTCTCCCACACCGACCCACCTCTTACTTAAATGGTAAAAAATTGTGGCTGAAATCAAAAAATAAACGAAGAAGCGGTGCAGGAAGCGAGAGGAGAGTATATACACGCCCGCTATTCTCCCGCTAGGATATTATGGCATAAAGTGCACTGCAGCTCGCTGCAAATGTCAAAGTTCAAAGAGAGAGGCAAAGAGGGAGAAATGTGCCAGCCGGAGAGCCAAGCCGCAGAGCGAGAGAGCGCCGGAGAGTCAGGCGTACACGTAATAATTTTTCTTAGCTCGCACTGCCCAGGTGCGCTCACACACACACACACACGCAGAGTCCTTCCCAGTTAATCGTCAAACGCGGTGACATGAGCACAAATCAATTGGATTTCCCACAACATCCATAACTCCCCTTTACCTGGCAACGAATGACAGCGTAATTGGATTCACTCTCGGCCTTAAAACCTGCCGCAAATATCAATGAAATGTCCTTGGAAATAGCTGAATTTTATTTAGATCTTGTGACCTAACCAAAAAGGCAGTCTAGGGATTAAACCTGAATTTTGTATTTTCATATTTAAATATATAACAGGTACCAAGCAAATGCTTCATTTTTTACACTGAAAGAGAGAGAGAGAGGAGAGACACCGCCAATCCATCAAATGCAAAAATGTTTTCCTTGTAACTTAATAGGCATCCATCCGTTCGCTCAAGTCCCATTACGAAAATGCAAATGAAAAGCAACGCTACTGGGGCGTATACGTAATATGTAGCTGTGTCGCCGCAAAGACGCCAAGAAACAGGAGAAAAAAACGAAGGAATGAAATGAGTTATGCATACAAACAAACATATAGATAGACATACAGATAGATAGACATACAGACAGAAGGAGAGGATAGTCGAAGCTTGCCGCAGATATTATATATTCATGGCCAAGCCAGACCCACAATCATCATCATCATCATCATCATGGCATTACCCATCGAGGCAACTGCAAATTGAATTTCAGAGCAACCGTGTAATTATAATATGATAAACGGCTTTTCATAAACAAACACAAAATAATGTTTTCTTATATCCCACCATCTTATCTCTATTGATTTCTATATACTGTGTTACTTTCCTCTATATCTTGTACCAAATCTACTAGAGTTCTTGAAGGAAATTTCCAAAACGTGATCAACATTTTCTTTTTTATAGAAAAAGAACATGCTACTACATATTTAAATTTCCAATTCAATTCAACAACAAAAGACATCAACTTGACATGCACAAAAAGCAACGAATCTCATCCCTCCGGCTGAGTAGTTCGCGTATCCCATTCCTTGCGAAAAACAACGAAAAATGAGAAATAATATATAGAAAAACTAGCTCGTTAAGTGCAGAAGCACACCGACACGGCCGCAACAATGGGAAAAGTTTGAATGTCTCTCTCCTGCCCGAGTTTGGTTTTTCTCTGTGTGTCTGTGTGTGTTGCCATGTGAACGTACATTTTATTTAACTGACAAGCGAGTACCATAAATTATGTAAGGGAAAAAATGGTGTGTAAGGGAAAACTGTGGAACAGTGCGGAGGATATCCAATTAGAAGGACCCAAGCCGCAGGAACCAACGCCAAAAGCTGGCCGCTAACTAGATATTTAACGAATACATATACATACAGATATAAGCCGAGGCAGAGCAACCCTTAAGCCCAAAATAGATTTGCAGTGAAAACTTTTCGCTTGCCTACAAAAATTTAAATGGCAGCAAAAAGTCCTTAGAGTCCTCCCAATGCACCCCTCCCCCCTCCGTTCCCACTTGTGACGTAAGTAAGTAGCAATCGGATTTTTAAGTTTTTCTCCTTGAACACTCACAATGCCTCCACAACTGTTGGTCCACAGGACCCTAGCTATATATAGAGTATATGGCAGCGAGAGCTTTCCAGAGCGCCTCGAGGGGCGCACTGCGCAAACGCACTCTCAAGTTGGAAAAGCTCCCCTCGATTTTTCCATAAGAGGACAGGAAAATACCGCATATTATAGAAGAACTTACATTTTTATGCACGCTCTTCCAAGAGTATAATTATTTAAGGACGTACAGAAGCTCCATGAAGAATATGTATATCCTGATCACCATCAATAGCCGAGTTAATCTAGCAATGTTTGAACAACTTTTGCCTTATGGCAACTATTAGGGCTTAAAATTATGTATGAAAGAAATATGTGTTACAGACTTTTTAATTTTTCTATGTTTTTGTACATTATACAAATATTTATCTTTTAAAGGAATTATTAAATAGTTCACTTAAAACATTGGTCTTTATTAATTCATCTAATAATCGTTGAGCTTAAAAATCATCTTCGCTTTCTTCAAAACCTATTCCATGAAGCACTATTTCCCACGATGCTGACTTTGGAAATAATACATTTTTCCCACAGCCCCTTATAGCATTCTGAATGACTTAATGACCGGATAAATAATCCCATTTATCATGTCAAATTCCGTTGATTCCAGCTTTTCTCAATTAATTATTAAGAAATGATAAGCATTTTAAGAAAGCCCTCCTTGACACAGAACTTGCATGGGAAACTAGATACTAATGGGAACAATATTACTTATATTCCACATTTATGTTTGGTTTATAAGTCAATTAAACTTTAAGGAAGGTATATTTTAAACTGCTACTACATTTAATATAACATTCCCACTTAATATCACCTAAGAGTTGGCAATTTTCGATTGATGATCCAAGTAAATATTATTCTCGACTAATTGCGGTATTTGTTTTTATTTTAAACTTTTCAGCGAAAATTCTACTATTCTATATAATATTTTATGCGGCGTTAACTGGATTCTTTGCTGCAATATTTACGGTGTTCTACCAAACGTTGGACAATGAAAAGCCCAAATGGATGCTTGACAACGGATTGATTGGAGCTAACCCAGGTTAGTAATGCTTAATTATTAAATTAATAACCATTAAATTTCGGACAATAAAATTAACACTAATAAGCAAAGCATAAAAAACTTTTGGGGGGATAAGCCACACCCAAGGATAGTTTTTACTCTGTTCCGTGTTAAAACGAAACAAATTTAATTAACTAATTGGATGAAAAGTATATTAGCAGGGGGAGCATAAAATCAATTAGACTTTTTCAAGCTCACTGAGAAAACTCTTTCTCCTCCACTTGGTTTTTCCCTCTTTTAGGTCTTGGCTTCCGACCAATGCCCCCAGAAGCCAATGTTGAGAGCACATTAGTTTGGTACGAGTCATCGAAGAAGGATAATTATAAGTACTGGGTTGATGAGACTGCCCGTTTTCTGAAATGTAAGTAAGCCAAAAGAACCTCAAAGGAAGTACCAATTAATTAAGTATTTTATTAAATGAGTAATGATTTCGAACATAAGTTATTATCAAGACACAAATTGGTAACACTCATTTACGTATAACAAAAATATATAATATTCTTGTCCTGATAAACTGATAGTCACTTAAGAATGTGTTTTTACAACTTAAATATAGTTAAGTATTATTTCTTGTTTGAACATGTCTTCGGATTTTCGAAAGCTTTATCATTTTTTGTTTATGATTCAACACTTTTTTCAATATTTTGATTTTTGATAACCGATAAAACGAAAAGATCACAGTAAGTTTTACATTTTGTGTATAACGCAAGCGCAGTTTTAATATGTATCTCTTGCTATATAAATGTAAATGCCAAAATGCCAAAAATTATGCTATATAATCCCCGCCCGAAGCCGCTTCATGTTGCTAACTATTATCCTATCAAATTGCCAGCTTACGAGGATCTTGAGAAGCAGAACCAGGTGGACTGCAGCTTCGAGCATCCGCCACCAGAGGGCAAAGTCTGTGGCACCGAGGTCGCCAGCTTCGCACCCTGCACAGCCGACAACAACTTTGGCTATCATGTGGCCAGACCCTGCATATTCCTAAAATTGAATAAGGTGAGTTATGGGGGAAAATATATATATCTCAAATTTATCATAGATTCCAAAAAGGAATGACAATAATCAGTGAATGTTTAAGGAGATCCGAGCATAGAGCAATCTATTGCATTCTTTGAACCACAACTTATACATTTTCCTTATCCAGGAAATAATAATTGCTTTTATGACAACTTTATTGGGTTTAACTTCATCGATTTGATAGCTTTTAGGGTTTTTAAAGATTGTCTTTTCTTTTCTGCTGTTGTAACTAGAGTTTAGCTAACAAATCACTTTATTAAACCTCATTTAGATCTACAATTGGGTGCCGGAAATTTACAACGATTCAAAGACCTTGCCCGAAGAAATGCCTGAGGAGTTGAAGCAGCACATCAAGGAGAAGCAGAGCCTGCGACCCAATGAGGTGAGTCTTATCGGAAGAAGATAAAAGGATCGAGTTTAAGCATATTTTATTATCCTGTTTTCAGACCAGCGTTGTCTGGGTCTCTTGCGAGGGTGAGAATCCCGCTGATGTTGAAAACATCAAGGCTCGTGATTACTATCCACGCATGGGTTTCCCACGTTACTACTTCCCCTTCAAAAACATCAAGGGATATATTCCGCCAATCGTAGCTGTGCAATTTACTGTTGAAAGTAAGTATTATTAACTAACTATCACAAAGGATAAAATAGATTGTAAGTCCTTAGCTATTTAGTTCAGGTTACTTCAACGGAAGTGTGTTCTAATTTCAATGTGACCGCGTTCTACGTTTTCCACAATTTCAAACACAAAAAGTGATTTAAGCGGCACACTAAATATTTACAAAGGGGTTAGTGGAAAGGAAGCTTGTAAACTAACAGACACAGGATATGCATTCTCCCTAGCTCTTTGTTATGCATTCCAACAATTTTACAGGAATTAAGCCACATTTCGAAGGGGTAGAAAAATGGGTTACACACAATTGGGAGAGGAAGACACAAGTTTCTCCTTTCTAATTATGAATTGTTTTGAGCCTGAGAAAATGGGGCAACTGGTGGGGTTGAATGCTTCCAAAAACGAGTTGTAAGCCAATTAAGGTCTGTAATTACAGAGTTGTAAGGCTGTGATTACCAAAGGAAATAATTACTGGGGCCAGGATATTTAGTTCTTCTATTTATTTAAGAAAAGCCTACCAGAATGGCATACTTAATACTTCTTCAAGCCATTGTTATAGCCACTTTTTAATCTGTTGTTGTACAACTGTTTATTTTAAATATTTATTAATATTAATGCAATTAATTTACTTAATTTTTAGCCGGCGTCTTGATCAACATTGAGTGCAAAGCCTGGGCCCGCAATATCAACCACGATCGCTCGGAAAGGAGAGGATCCGTCCACTTTGAGTTGATGGTGGACTAAGAGAAACGTTTCCCCAAGGACAGCGGCCGTGTGCGAGGAGCGGCCACCGAGGAGCAGGGAGCTTGGAGCAAGGAGAGCAAGGAGAGCAAGGAGGGCAAGGAGGGCAAGAATAAACGAGGCAATAGGTTGAAGGTTGAACAACACTCAAGTATAGAAAGAAAACTGCAACAAATCCACACACAAAACAAGCGAGAAATGAGTAAAGTGTAGCAAGCAATGGCCCCAAAAAAAGGGCATGCGAGATACAGCAACAACCAAAGACAAAGACAAAACTAAAGGAATGAGAGGGAGAAGCTACAGCAAGAACAAAATGGAAATCTTAAGAAATAAAATTCTAGCGCTATAAAGCATATAAAATACAAGCAAAACAAAAACAAGAAATACCTACCCAACGCTACCAAAATGAACAACGCCCCACACAGAATCACACAAAAACCTTAATTTGTTAGGAAAAATTTGATTTAGTTAACAATTTAGGCGAAAAACTAAAGGTATAAATTTGACAGGCCACTTAAATTAGCGCAAAATATTATATTATCAGTAATAAAAATAACAAAAAAAAAAACAAAAAGAAAAACCAAAAACAAAACATAAAGCATAAAGCATTAAAAACGAAATAAAAACTGTTCTTAAGCCAATCTTATTTGTTTTTTGGTGTAATTTTTGGAAAAGGATCAACAAGAAACATGTAAACGACAAACAGCGCAGCGAAAAAAGAACTTTAAAAAAAGCTAAACGTCAACTGTACTTAAAAGAAATGACAAATTATTTGAACAAAATGCATAAAACCATTATTTATATTTATAACAACTAAATATATACAAATCGATTGTACAATTGGAGCGAATATAAACACAAATATGTATGTTTATATACAAATAAAAACCCACTCCTCCCTAGGCCACTTCCCGTCTCCACCCACAAGAGCTCCTGAAACGCAACTAAATTATTGCCAGGATCCCCAGATATAATTTAGTTCAATTTGTTATAAATGTAAGCAGGACGCAGCATTTTCCCCAGTGAATAATTAACAAAGGCCACATAAAACAAAAGTTGATAAAAGCGATTCTTAAAATACATCATAATAAAGCGAAAACTAAACAGAGGCAAAAAAACTGCAAACAAGAAGGCGCTGCATATTTAATAAACAAAAAATATATAAAACCAAAAATGCATAAACGAAGGCAAACAAAAAAAACGCAAGCCCAGACATATTTAAAATTAATATTCTTCACTTATTATTGAAAACCCCCCAAATCCAAGATCATTAATGGGAAAATCTCATAAAAATATATTAAATATAAAAGGATAATTGAGGCAAAATGAGTAAATAGCTGAAATGAAAGTACAGAGTAACTGGTTACAATAAACATGAAGAGCATATAAAATTAAAATGTATTATGTACACAACCCCCACAAAATCCAACAGATAATACCAATAAATCGAACTTAATTTAACTAAGTTGAAAAAAAACCAATCCGTTTCCATCTCATAAGTTTTACAGCCGGTCAAGTCCACCCCACAAGGAGTACCAAGGACCCTTGAGTGGAGGCCTGTCCTCCCTTTAACTCGATATCCTTTTTGCGGGACAGGACATGGCAGCGAAGTTGCCTGACTGTGGCAGTGCTATTAACTATTAACTATTACTTTCACTCACACCGACGAACAGTTGACTCGACGACTCTGAATACGAAATGCTAATTAGATATTTAGGCCTCAACTAACTTATCTCTATTTTCCCCAAGAAAAACAAAAACGAAAACATGAAACGTAAGAAAGCTCCTAACCGGCATAACGAAAGCTTATTAACTAACCCCCTTTTCCATCCACTTTAACTAGTGTAATTTCTAAGAGACGAAAATCCAGGTGAAGAAACAGAAACAGAAACAAAACGAAAATGTTATACAGTTTTGCCAGAACAACAACCAGAACAAAATGCAGAAATAAATCAATAAATAATAGTTTAATGGAAAATGTTATACATAAATATATATATTAAAATACATGTAATATGAAATGGTATAATAATGCAACTTTCATGAAATGAACTTAAAGTGTAAATGAATGCGGCTTAAGAAATTTAAAAAGTGGAGAAATGAAAAAAATTATACATATAGATGACGAGGCCTCTGTTTGGACCAGAGATAGTTATAAGACCGAATTTCGTCAACCTTCTTTTGGAATTGTAATTGCCATAATTCTCAATTTTGCGTATATCGTTCTCTGGTCCCATCAAGTAAATTTCATTGTGTTATTGAAAGTATATTTTTGAACCGATTTCTTCAGCATCCAAGGACACGTAAAATTGTTTTAAGTATAATAAAAACCAACAAGTTTTCTAACATTTTTGCTAGTGCATGTTTTCCTACGACTAAGCTAAACAACAGATTATGAAAGGAAGATAAAATTAGTTAAGTAGTATAATCAAATGCCGGCAACAAGTGCTATCACTGAACACAATAAAATCGTCTTGGGAGATCATTTACAGTATCCTTTCCTTTACGTATGTATGTATGTATGTATATCCAGGCGACCGCAGGCAGATCTTAACTTTAAATTATATTTCCTATATTTTCGTTGATTTTACCCCTCTATAGGCGTTTGAACTTAGTTTCTAATCCAACGTTTTTCACGCACAAAATTAGACTTGAAGACGATTTCTTTTTGTTTTGTCCCGGCAAAGTGTGTTCCCAAAACCGCCGATAAATATTAATAGGTTATCTAGGGTAATAAAAATACAACATAAAAAAAAACGAAAAAAAATATTTAAAAAACGTATAAAAGATATAAAAACTGCCAAGTTAATGTTTGACCCTCTAGCTTAAAAATCGAATGAATTACCAATTACCAATTACCAATTTCTTTCCTCAGTTCAGTCTCAGATCCTTCTCGCCTGCCTGCGGTTGCAGGACACTCACTCGTACCACGTTCCAGATCCAAAGCCACTTTACCACTTTGCAATATTTCCACTCTTCGTTAGGCGGCAACTACTAGCACACAATTTAAATGAATTATATTTAACAAGCATATATATAAACTGCCATTTTTTACACCATGTGTATGTAAAAAGAACAAATAAAATGAAAAGCAAAAACTAAAAACAGTTAAAATGACATTTTTGTGTGTAAACCGACAAACAGACAAACCGCGATCAAGACACCAGGCGACAAACAATAAATGTTCAGAATATTCGAAAATACTTTTTTTGAAAATTGTTCAAAGAACTTTGCTTATTCTACAAATTTCAATCAAATCAGCCGCAACCTCTTCGAACATCAACAAGAAGAAACATAAAGGATCTGCGTTAATGAAATTGTCTTGATCAAGGCCATTTTCCAGGATCGTTCGAAATACTTTGAGTAGCTAGTTTTTTGGGTCTTTAGTTCTGAGGATCTCCCACAAACACATGTGTCACACTACGGCGTATATAGCAAACCAAAAAGTATAATAAAGCAAATCGAATATAAAATGGTTTGAAGTTGAGTTTCACTTTCATTTGCAATTGGTTTTAATACTTACACACAATAAACGAAAAAAAAAATATTGAGACATTAGCGGCAGTAGAGGAAAATAAAATGTAATAGAAAAATAAAAAAGAGAAACTGTATTAAAAATAAGCTATATAGAACTAAGCAAGTATAACATAAAGTCATATATATACTTATAAATATATGCAAATGTTATATACATAAATGGTAAATAAAATGAAGAAACAATGTAAAATTACTTTTAAGTATGCGTACATTATTGACTTTTGATTTAACAAACGAAAACCCGAAAACACAACAGTTAAAAACAAATATGAACAACAACAACAACAACCACAGCCCACAAAACACGCGAAATTTGCAGAAGCTTAATAACTTTAGTTTAGAATGAATCTAGTGAAAACCGCAAATTATAATAAATAGTAGACATTATAAATACTAAAACGACAAAACCAAAAAAAATATATATATATATATTAATATATATATTTTAATTCAAGAAAAAATTCCTGCGTCTGGGAAGAAATTAAACAATAAACAAAATTACATTTTGTTTACTTTTGAAATTCAAGAAAATTCTAACAAGATTGCTTTAATTTAGGTTAACAAAAATCCTTCATAAAAATCACAGTAAAACTAAAAAAAAATATATATATATATGTGGGTAACAAGATGAAGAAAAACAAACACTGCTTTTTGTATTATTTAAGTTTAACTATAAAATTATAAATATTAAAAAAAAATTAAAAAATATAAGCTGTAATATTAAAAGGAACCTACAACAAAAAGAAGTAAATGAACATCAACAAAGAAGGAAAAAGAAAACGAAAAATTTAAAGAAAATGAAAAAGAACAACAAAAAAAGCTACATAAACACATTGAAGAAAAACCCTAAAAATGAAGTCGTGTACGAGTAACGAAAAATGAAATGTTTGAAAAATTTTACTGAATTCAATAAAAATATTATGTTGATATGGAATTAAGTAATTCCAAATAAACAAAAAACAAATATCTTTTGTGTTTTATTTGTGCCGTTCCATTGGCATTTTATTTATTATAAATTTTTATATTATAAATTTGGTAAAAAAAATGAGTGTTGCATGGTTTAAATTTTCGCCTCGCCGACCACCTTCAGCTCCACCGTTAGCAATTGCTGCGGCACATCCAAGTCCATCAACTGCCGCAGGTCCTCGAAGCTGATGAGGATCACGTTACTATCCGTCCTGATGAACTCGCCACATGCCTGACTCGCCGGACACGGCTGGATGGGGCGTGCCCGCACCTGCTTGGTGTAGTAGCGAGCCGAGTTGGCAGGCTGGACCAGCAGTCGCAACGAGATGACCACATCCTGGAGCGGAGTGATCGCCCAGATGGCCAGGACATCGTGCTTGCTGCCCCCCTTGGTCTGCCACAACATGGAGTGCTGGGTGCGGCAGGCGAAGACCAGGAGGGCGCCGTGCTGCGAGAACTGTCGGTACTCGGCCGGCAGGTGTGTGTTCCGAGGGCACTTGAGCGGATTCAGGCCAGTGCGTCGGAAGCCAAACACTCCCAGCAGAGTGTGGACATCGCTCACCAGGCTGCTGACATGGCAGCTCAGCGAGACACGCTTCCCCGTCACCACCTCAACGAAGGGGATGCCCAAGCCTGATAAGTGGTCACGCAGGTAGTGGCTCAACAGGCCGCTCGGGTCCACTGAGCAACAGCATCCCTGGATCGGGCAGGGCACCAAGCGGAGGCGGTCCCAGGGCGATTTGCCGGGCGAGATCACAAAGAGCTTGCTGCGTCGGTCGCTGGGCGGCGATGTTAGCGATCCGAAATGGCACAGCCGCAGCAGCTGCTCGTCGGAGGACGATGTCACCGAAACGGGCAGACGGTAATTGGAGAAGTGCTTGGTGTACAAGGGCGGCTGCTGTATGTCCTGCTTGCGCTGCTTCCGCCTCTCCTGGCGCTTCTGGTTCCTGCTCATGGCATCTGATGAAGACGGATCTCTCACGGCGGCAGACATGGTCTGTAGGCGGCGAGCTTGGTGACGGGACGGAGGCTTCCGGCTAACACATAATTTTGATGGCGCCTTGGAACTGACACTGACAGACTACTCAATGAAGCCACACATTCCCCATTAACATTTATTATTTAGTTGGGCCGAAATCCCGGCGGTACTGCAATACCGGGCCAACCCGCGACAGAGGTGGAGCAAGCTCCTAGCACTCCGTCTATTTCCAAAAATCAGTTTAACATTTGTTGTCCTCCAATGGAGGAACTATCAGATGTTAAGCTGATAAGAACAGATACTACACTTTGATCTTAGCCATAAGGCCGAGAAGCGATACCTGACCTAGCGAGTTGCAGGGGTCTCCATGGGACATCTGCTAGAACCAGTTGGGAATCATATGTATATGCGGTTAACTTTTGTACATGCGCAGTGCAATGCATACTTTTGGGCAGACCCAGCGCCGCTCTTGGTGGTTGTTGGTACTAAATGACTGAGTAAGCAAACATATCCCAACATATTTTATTAAACTATTTTAAATTAGTGATAGAAAATATTTTTTTTAAGAAGATAATCCCTACCAAAGTTGAAAAAATTTTCGTTTTTTCATTAAAAAAAACCTAACAATTCGATTTGAACCCCTCTTTACAGAAATAAGTATTTAGATAATATTTATTAGAAAAAAATATGTGTTGCATTAAATGCAGTATTTTTTTAGTTTTAAGCCCTATAAGTTCCAATTTCTCAATTACATGAACGGCTTTGAAGCAATCTACCGCAATTTTTATTTTTTACTTCCAATATTGTCTCTATTACAACAAAAACAAAAAAAGTAGTTTTAAACCAATAATTATTTTAAGTTTTCAGCAAAAATCGTTTTTATAGATGCTTGTATAATGTGGCACTAAAAGTATGCGACAAATTTTTTAAATTGTACTTTAGCTTTTCATTGCTTGTAATATATTATTTCTTGCCTGCCTTTAGACAGTATTATAGAGACCATTTTTTAATAATATAAGTTTATAAATTTGATTTGTGTATAAAAACCCTCAGAGTGCGCATTTGGGACAACTATACGTAGATATTCAAAGTTATCTTTAAATTTTTTTTTCAATTTGATCGGAAGTGGTACGTGGAGGTACCCTAAGTTTGAAATTACAACTTGTAAAACATGGGAAAAAAACTGTTTTTTTTTTTAAATTTGTTTGTAAAGTAATATGTGTAATATATAAAACAAACATTTTTTTTAATTTTGGGTTTTACTAGTTACATTAAAAGCATTTCGATGTGACTATATCTGCCCGCAAAGGGGCAGAAAATTTTTTTTTGCCATAAAAAATGAAAAAATAAAACGCAAATATCCACTTTGATCAGCTGCTATTTTGTATCTCGTATTGAATGGAAAGTAATAAATTTTGAGGAAAGATAGCTTAATCTATCCTGAAATTGTTTTTTTTCTAATTTTCTTAAAACCATTTTTGACCCTTTTGGCCAAAATCCCGGCCGCCTGGCCCTAAGCGCCATGGCTTAAATCTGCCGTCCCAATAGAATGGCTCTTTCAGCTACGGGGCTATTACCACAATGATTTACATTAGTATTTTATCCCAGAGTTTAAAAACAATTCCATGAAAAGATTCGGTGGGAATATGCTACCAAAAGAGACCGCAAGTAAAGAAAACACTTCAGTTGGTGGAATATTTTTGGCCATGTATTTTTTAACTAAGCTAAACATTGAAACATAAAACTTGAACTTGTACTTATGCATAGTAGGTATTAAATAAATAAGGACAAAATATTATCGGAGATTACATTTGATAAAAAGCAGCAACATACATACTTCCTGATGTGAGCATTAAGCTTGCGTTACATTTCTTTGTACATACACAATACATACAAGGTTTGGAATAACATGTCACAATTTATCTTTGCTATTTTTCGCCTCACATATATTTCTTATAATTTAGCAAGTTCTTAATTGAATCAAAATGACGGCTTATTTTTCTCTCAACACTTAAATAGATCGAACGTACAGAGTAGAATTTACAAATTTTGAGCTTACACATACATACAATTTAGACTTTAAACATACGTTAATTTAAGGTTATTACCAATATATATATATGTAAATAACTTTCATATTATATAAGGCTTGCTAAGAGCCGCGCCTGTGCGACCCGCAGCTATTCAAAAATTGTACTAGAAAATAAAAGAGGGAGCCGCCGGATTCGAATCCGCAGCTGCTCATCGCTCTCTGAACGCAACGTAACAAAAATTAGGCGGGCGTGCAAATAAGACGGCACGAAACACAAAACAAACTAAAATAAAACGTTCAACTTAAAAACACAAAAACACTATTTGGAAATGGCTTCCAGCTGCTAGCCCGCCTTCTGGGTTTGCTTCTGCCGCTGCAGGGCCTCAAAAGCCTCGATTTCCTTCTTTTCTTTGGCCTGGTTGCGACGCTCGTACTCCAATCGGTGCGAGATAATGCGCTCCACAATACGCTCGGTGGTCATATCATTGCCCGAGTCGATCAGCTCGAAGATGGCTTTCGTCTTTGGCAGGGCATACGGATCTATCTTGCCATCTTCCAGAGCAATGGGTGTGCCGCCATGGCAGACGACATCGATTTTGAAATGTTCCAGCAGCTCCTCGGTGACGCAATAGGGTGCCCCAATCACAACCTCATTTACGAACTGTGAAAAGAAGATTAGTGTTAGGTTAAGAGATATGTATCAAGAAAAATAATGAAAAAAATCACGTCAAATATCGATGCAATATCCTTAGTTATGTTGTCTTACCTTGCAAGCCAGCACGCTGAGTACGCGCTCGTGCAGATTCATAATCGGATAGTTGCTGCCCTTGTACGAGTTGACCACGGGATCTGTGTGCAGGCCGACAATGAGGTAATCGCCCAGTTTGCTAGCCTTCTCTAAAAAGTCCAGATGGCCAACGTGGAAGAGATCAAAGGCGCCAGCCACATACACCTGAAGAAATTATAAGGGTTGGAATTATGTTAAGGGAAAGATATATCACAAGGAACTTACAATCTTATCACCAGGATTTGGGGACTTTCCATCACTGAACTGTATGATCTTTTGGGTGGTCGGCAAGAACTGACTGCATCCGGTCCATGGACTTTTGGCTGCCGAATCTTGACCCATGTTCGATGAACCTGGATGGGATTTCATTCGTCTTTTTAAAATCGTCACTGTTTTTGCAATTTGATAGTTTGTGTAATAAAGCAACGCAGACAAATGAGCAGAGTGTGTAATATATTATATAGCGGAATTTACGTTTAGGATTTTTGATTTTGATTTCATATAGGATGCGGATTTTGGATATTTGCAGGAGGCAGGTCATTTTGATTTTTGCATTATGAATTCATTTCACGGTTTTCATTCATTTCATTGAGGTTTTAGCATATATTTCATAGGCATTTCATAAACATTATATAGTTTTTTTTTTTTGGTTAGTGGTAAACAGTGCGTACATAGAAATAAAAGAAGAGAAAGAGTAAAGTTGTAGAGAGCAACATACATAAATCAAGGAATTAGTCAACGTTCAAATCTATTCAAGTCTTTGGAATGGGAAAACTTATAAACTGAAAGCATAAATTAAGCGTGCGTGGCCCTAAAATGTTTGTTTTGTTCATACTTATAACTGAATTCGACCGATATCGTGTTTATGCACAGCATGCAGGCAAATTTATAAGAAATAAAAAAAATAAGAAAGAAAAGGGAGTGCAAAAAATTTAAATGTTACAATTAAACGTTAGTAATTGTTAATTGTTAAAAACTTAAAACACTAATATTCATGAAAATGTCGCACAAATCATGGGATTTTATGATTGCTGTGATTTTGAAGGACATTAAAAATTAAACATAAAAGGTATGTAAGAAGCGGAAGTGGAAACAAGCGAAAGCTACCTTCTTTCTCAATGTCATATTCAGCAGTTCCCTGGCGGAAATGGTTGCGGGTCAGCAGCAGCATACGACCTACCAGGTCGGTGGTCGAGACTCCAGCAGTACGTCGTACTTCCCTAAAAGAAATCGATATATGTCAATACAAATTCGATTGGCGAAACTAGAGATTATATATAGATCAATTTCACAATTTAACATTTTATATTCTGAAATATGTGTGTTTGAAACATTGGAAAAATTTTTTATATTTTATATTTTCGATATAAATTTGTTAATAGATCGAAATACATCTCTAGTCGAAACCTGGCTATACATACTTGTAGCGGTTAGCTGACTTGACCAAATGATATGTGTCCACTCCCTCCGCGGTCATAGTAATATCATCTGTAATTCCAAAGGGAATCTTCTTAGCAATTGTTGTTAAGAGTTATTTCTATGATGCACTCACCTCCATGGACACAGAAATCACAGTTGTTTTGATCGAGAACCTCCAGTGTGGTGACATACGGAGCTCCGAGAACCACTTCATCGACCCATTTGATACCCTTGACCATCTTGACACGCTCCTCCTCGGTGAAGACAGGCGGTCCCTTGTGTTTGGTGATTTCCTCGTCGGTGTGAATGCCCACAATTACTTTGTCACCAAGGGCTTTGGCTTGTCGTAGGGAATTGGCATGCCCAAAGTGAACCATATCATAGCTGTTTGGCGGAAAGATAAAGTTCAATTAGTGGAGTTGTTACACAAGTCGAAGAATTGTATGAAGAACAAGGTAAGTTATCGAAAAGTGTGCCGACAAGAGCAAGATGTCACCTTATCACACGACATGGGAGGGACATGGGGTTATTGCTACCGGAAATGTCTATGGCCTATCAGGCTGTCAGATAAATTCAACAACGCCGACCTTCGCGCCAAGAGATTCTAAGAAGCTGAGTGCCTTATAATGCAAGCGCATGTCGCATTCCCAGACCAGTTTTATCCAGTTTGTATTTGAAGAATATCTATACTATATGGAGTGTGCAAGTATGTATGTTATTTTAAAACAAAAAATGGAACAATTTAAAATAATATTTGCTTGGACAGTCCCCTTTAGTGAATATAACTTTGCTGGCCAGCCAGCTTAAATCGAAGAACTATTTGATTTTTTCACTAAAAGCCGTCAGGCGAAAAGCCAGGCACTCATGTGGAATTTAGCCATTAACTTGTCCGGGCGTGTGACCACACAATTTACATAATTTACAGACAACGCGATGCGATGTGTGGTCGAAAGCGCAAATGACCAGTAGCCGAGTTGCTATAGCCAGACGGTAGCTCTTGTGTGCTCCAATTTGGCGCTGCGTTGGTCAAGATTGCTCTTTGGACTCGATCATCAGAGTTGGTACGTTAAAAATCGTCAATGTTGAGAGATAATGATGATGATGATGATGGAGCAAGCAACCAAGGTAGCGATTGGCAATTTTAATTGCAATTGTGCGGGCACATATGTATGTAGCTAGTAAAACATTACACATTCCATCGATTCTAAACTGTATGCTTGCCTATAGGCGCACACGTGCCCAGAACTAGGTTTGTTTTGGCTTTGGGAAAGCGATAACACATTTGTGGAGACGTGGGGGCCGCTCAAATTGCACTCAACAACAATTATGTACTTATTTGGAATGGAATTTTTGCCACGAGAGAGACAATTATGAACATCATCACATCATCGCCTTGTGTATACAACATTTCAAACTTCGTTTATTAATATTATTTGTCCTAAAGATGATTATAATTATTTAAAGTGGATATTGAAAGTGATCAATTGATGCAATTAGAAAATTAGCATCCCGACATTATAGCTTTTTTATATACACATTTTGTACTGTAATTTTACTTTTAACAAGTAAGTTAATGAGGCTACGTCTAGAGGTAACCTAACAACTTGACTAAGTACCTTGATAAGGAGTAGAAACGTCACCATTATCAAGCTGGTCATCGACAATAATATCGATATGCCCCTGTTGGTGGGAATGTGAGAGGGAGCCGGCAAAAGGCGATAAAAGAAGGGGAAGACGACTATATAATGGGAATGAGAGAGGGAGCCGGCAAAAGGCGTTAAAAGAAGGGGAAGACGACTGTATAATTAACAATTAGCCGGCATCACAACGATAATACAACAAAGTGATCAATTTCCTCCAGCTGTCCCAGTGTCTGGCACCGTCACTTCGATGGCTTGATAAAAGCCAAGCAACCATAGAATCTACGTCACGGAACCCAAACATAATGAAGAGAAACAAAAATAGAGCTTTTATTATATACTATATGTACATATGCCTAAAAATACACGAAAGATTATGCAGGTGTTGCTCCCAGTGATAGTAATCAACCGGGGAGCAGGAAAGCAGCTAGTAAAAACGTGGGCCATTCATTAATCGGGGCGGAGAACCTTTGCTCCCGGAGATTTTTGCAGCAGAAATCTGAAATCTGTGCCGAGCGCCAGGGAAGCAGGCAGAAGGCACAAATATGCATAGCATTGTACTCTATATGTAGAACAGACCCAGGGGCCGCTTAATCAATTGAGTGAGCAACGGGCAGCGACACAAGCTACAGCAACGAGAACGACAACGACAACGACAACGACGACGTTGCTGATTAAAAAAATATCACGCGATTCTTCGTAGAATTTGTGCTCTGACGACGAACCCCAGGCTGGATTCCGTGGGGCCTGGGGCCGAATCCCACCCAACCCTGTGCTCTTACAGTGTTGTTACGAGAGCCCCATTCATTTGTTTTTCACTGGCCCCCAGGTTCATTGACTTGCCCGAAAGGAGGGACCAGCGAGTGCTGGAGAAGTACTTGCTTGCGTCAATGATCAATCTCATCTGCCGATTAGAATATTTGGCTTTGCGGCACAGTACATGTGCTCTCGTACATCGCTGGGTTAATGGGCAGATTCCACAAAAATATAGCCAGGCAACCCGGGTGCTTGTTTATTTTTTGAGTTTTGCAGAATGGCAGCTGATGTGGTGTATGTTTTCTAGGTCGACCTTATCAGCTGGAGGACTTCCACATTGACAGGGTGTGACCCAGTGGCAGCAATGGCAGCGGGATTTAAGGGAGAACAGATTGTCACAAATAACCCCGGAAATGCCTATATACGAACATTCTTGTCAGGTTCCTAATCAATTGTTTTTGGTTATTAACTATAAATGATGTGACAAATGACATTAAAAATGAAAATAAATTGTACATTTGAACTTGACATTCGGAATTTGAAGTGCGCAGCTTAGGCGAATCTTCCCCTATCATGTCCCATCACTGTGAAGTCATTGAATAGTAATATATAAAAATGGCGTTAATTACATTGTTATCCCTATCCTTAGGTTTAGCGTTTAGGGAATCGTTGAAAACTTTTTAAATACCTTTAATATAACATCTGTATATTCTGGCCATTAAAAGTATTAAGAAAAGTATAATCATCCAGAGTTGATCTAGTCGGTCTGAATGATACACATGTAGATATAAAGATAGATAGATACATATATGGCAAGCATTTTTTCCTGTAGTAGTATATTAATTCATACGTACATGTATATATATTCCTAAACATTCCTAAATTACAGAATTTATACGAATATTTGTTTCCCAAAATGCATCCTCCTAACAATGTAACATTAATTTTAGTTTGAACCCTAATAATAGCAGATCAAATTAATTTTTGTTCCTGCAGGAGTACATAAACTTCAAAGCAACGATCGATTTTTAGATGTTATGACGATCAAGAATATATATATTTTTTTCATATAAGAGAAACAAATATCATACATAATCCCTTGTCCTTATATATTTTAGGGTAGTGTGAATGGCCCTACCCAACCTCCAATTGTGATGCACTATTCAGTTTTAAGGCACATAAGTAAATGCCGGATGAAGATGACGACGACGAAGATGAGAAGACGGCAAAACGTGCCAGCATTGTGGGTCAATGGCGGCAGCATGAGGTGGGTTTGAGCAGGGCATGCGCAGGCCCGCATCACGTGATGTTTAGGGACAACCGGCGGTCTGCCGCAGTCAACATGGGCCACGTAAACGCAGCAGCCTCAGAGGAACGAGAGAAGAACGGGAGGAAGAGTAAGGCGGATGCCGCTCTTCCGATACAGTGGGATACACAGAACGCTTGCACAGTTTATATACAGAGAATCGTACGATGATTTTATTTTCGTTTTCTGGGCGTGTGCCTTTGTTTATTCGGCGGGAAGGAGAGAATACAGTGTGCAAAGAAGGAGGAGAAGTGAGAGGGCGAACATAAACAATAGATGTATGTAGTTTTATTTATGTATAAAACGTTCAGCGGAAACCGCAATTGAGGAACTTTTTGTACGTCTGATAAAGCAGAATAACTTGTTATGGTAGGCCATCCATCTACAATTCGTATCGCTGTCTACTGTCTAATATAATTCCGATAAAGATAAACCGGTTATTATACATTGCACCAAAACTAAATGATAGAATCTATAATTTTAAAAGAAAAAAAAACTATCTAAATATCAGTTCTCAAAAATCATGTACATATCTACATTCTTCAGTTATCTATCATATTATACAATTCACTAACCCATCTTCCTCAATGTCTTTTTAATAATAATCACCATTTAATCACCATCAGAATAGTAAACAACTCTATATAATGGGAATTTATTGAGAGCTTCTGACTCTATAAAGCAATTTTTAAATTTTAGTTTGACCCCTGACATACAACCCACAAAGTGCGGTAAAACTTTATTAAATTCGTCACAAATCGGTGAAAAGAATGGATATTAATACGCCCAGGCAGGCCTTGAACCTGAAATAGACTTGGGCCCGATGAAAAAGAGAGCGGATATTGCGCGGACTGCAGTGCAGACGAATCCCACAGTTCCACACATATTCGCTAATCAATTCTAAGAGACCCTGAAATACTCGATTTCACACACCAATAGTATTTATCACCGGTTGATTACGACCACGGCCCCGCCGGGGAGCAGACGGAACCTACGTGGAATTGTTCTGCTTTGACTCACTGTGCCCCCTACCCTCCGACGAAATCCAGTAAAGTGACGCAATGGGAACCGTTACTTGCCCTACACAGCTCCACCGGCGGCAGGTGGAGTGTTCCCCCGTGACTCACCAGCCGTCGCACCAAACGCGGATCTCCTTCTCCTTGGAGCTGCCGTTGCGGCTGACGCAGCTGTCGCCATTAGCCCGCTTGTCCTCCATCGCAAGCTTATTATTGAATTTTCCAATTACAATTTAGAACTGTGTCCGGCACTAGAAGCACATCGGACGCGAAGGCAAAACGAAAGACGTTGTTTTTGCTTTGTTGATTTGATTTTTGAGGCGGAAACTCGACGACGTTCACACTTCGAGAGCTGTGTATGTTGTGTTCTGAGCTACGGCGACGCTCCCAATATTTATTTCCCGAGCTACTCAGTTTTCAGAGTATTGCCTTTAGCCTTGCCTTATCAGCGCGCGGGCGCATGGAAATGTTTCGGTTCGATTCGGTTTTGGGATTGTAAGAGGCGGGTGGAGTAACTTGCTTGAATTTGTTTTTTTTTTATATATTTTTATTTCTTGCACTGAGTATCATCGATACATCGATATGTGATAGTTGCATGAGCGTTGAATTTAACTATCGATGGCACTGTTTACGATTTATTCTCCAACGTTGAAATAACGGATAACTATATTAAATTTAATTGTATCTTAATTTTAATAATTTATTCCTTATTGTATTCTAATTTTTCTTTATTGTAATATTTTTATTTTCAAATATTTGTTACTATATTTGACAAGTTATTAATTCAATTTAATCCTATGCTTTTTAATAAATAAATGCATAAACACATTACCTGCCAGTCAAGTTTTTTTTTTTATATTTATTTTTAAGAATTTGAAATATGTAATAGTAAGCTGTAAGGGTAAACACATTAATAGATACCGCAACGCTGAGAATGTTGTCCATTTGTTAACGTCGTATTTGTTCAATATTTAAAATTAGTTAAAATTGTTGATGTTGAATGTAAAAAATTTTGTTAAAAACTTGTATTTTAAGTTATCTGCATATGTATGTGTACCTTAAACTGTATATGAATCTGTACATGCATGCATCTGTTTCTGCAAAACAGCATATAAAAAAATATTTTTAAATTTGAAGAATTTCTCTCCCCCTTCCAACTAGCAAATATAGCTATAGCTATATAAGGTGGTTTTTGGAATTAGAAAAAACAAGGATTTCACACCAAGGCCAGTTTGGTGTTCCTTGAGTATTTAGATAAAAGCAAGAGTCTGCTGGGGCTGGAAAGATAGAAATAAATAAACTCCAAAAGAAAGTCAATAATTTAAGGCGATATACAAAAGATCAAATATTTTTACTCAACGTTTCTTAAATACAACTGAAGTAACGACACTGCCAACCTTGCCACCAAACTTGAAAGTTGGCGTGGGAATCGTGTGGTGTTTAACGAACATCTCACCGAAGCTCAGCACCAGCTCGTCCTCAGTCCAGTTGCAGGAAGTGATGACAAACAGGCTATCCGAAGTCCTTAACAACTTTTCCACTGTCGCCAGGTATAGGGAGCGCTTTTCCTTGGGATTTTCAGGACAGAGGCTGACCGCATCGTAGGTGCCCTTATCATGCACCACATCGAAACCGCCCAAATCGTCTTGAGGTTGGGTGAGGTCTGCCACCCTGTAGCTGATATCCAAGCTGTTGTCCCGAGCAATGTTCTGGGCCAATTCAACAGCCTTGGGAGAGTAGTCCACTCCGGTCAGATGGGCATAGCCCTCATTGGCCAGCCCCACGAGAAACATCCCGTTGCCACAGCCGAGGTCAAGGACTCGTGCAGCCTGCTTGTCGATCTCCTGTTGCTTCACCAGCCAATCAATCACACGCTGCTGCGAGTCCTCGTCGAACCAGATCTCGCCAACATCGCCGTGGCTCTTGTAATTGCCAATCTCCCGCGTGTAGCTTGATTCCCAGTATTCCTTGGTTCCCAGCTCGGATCCGTTCAGTTCGTTTTCCATTTTTATGCGGTAGATAGATCACATTTATTTAAAACAGCTGATGGACAACAAAGTTGGTCATTGGGATATCGATATAAATATCGTGACTTTTGGGAGCGGGGCTTCAGAGAATTCTTTGCATATAATCCATCATTTAAATGAATAAGGGATTTTAACGACCGCCTCGACTTGTTTTGAAAAAATCCATGCTGTTTCGAAAACTTTGAAAACGAATATATATCGATACAAATCATATTTGTGTTTGGTCATTTTTAGAGGATTTTTGAAAACATACAAATTGTCCGGTGCAGATGGATATTTTTAAAATGCAACCACGGTCACACTGCGTAGTTAATAAAAAAATAAGCTGCTAAATTGGAAATATACAACAAAACACGCAATAAATATTGAATATAAGAAGCTTGGCAATCGGTCTAGCTCTGATAATGTAATCATGATCAGTCACAGTCAAATTGGGCATTTTTTAGTTGCCAGCATCAAGTACATTTGTTTAAATTTCACGTGCTAAATTCCGAAAGAATCCTTGTACAATTGCTTTACGACTTCTCAACTCTTATTGACCACAACGACGGTCTGAGTGCAAAGGCGCGCCATGTCTAAACGAGGAGCAAGAGCGAGCCTTATGGCCTACGTCTCGGCCGAGGAGAACCTTCTGGATTGCTACTCGCCGGCAGGAGGTGATATGGAAGTGATGGCGGGGCCATCGGCCAGACCGGACGCTCGTGCGGGCGTGGTTGACAGTGAAGAGCTGGCCGAGGCTTTCTCGCCGGCTCCGCAGGAGACCCTGAAGCATGGGTCAGAGCTTGACCCCGCCGTCGACAGCATGTTGCACGTGATCTCCGATGATTCGGACATTCATAGCCTCATCTCTAGTGACTTTAAAGGCTGGGAGGAACAGCATCCAAGCACAAGCTATATCTGCGATGGTGAACCCTTCATCTACGGCCTGGGCCGAAGCATGATATCTAAGACAGAAAAGGAGACGGAAGTAGCTCCTCACTGGGCCTGCTGCACACCGGCTAAGCATCCCTGTAGGAGCCAGGATGTCATAGAGATCAATGGTGAGTTCGCTGTTAGAATATATTTTTTTCCCTATTCTAAGCTTAATGTGAAGTGATTTAAAAGAGTTTGCTGATATTAATCTATTTGTCTTCTTTTTTTCAGACTCTCCCGAATCCGTCCGTGATCCAACCATGTCTCTGATGCATTCTGGAGTTCTGCTTACCAACGGTAACTCTGACGAACAGTTTACCGTACAGGAAGATGAATACAATGACGGTCTACAGCCTACGGACGAGGGGGTAGACCCTTGTATGATTTACGAGACTGTGGATGGAGAGAATATGGTTGTTCTGGCTAATGAGCATTGCTGTGAGATTATCGTGGCCACACAGGGCGTGGCCAACGAGCAGGAGTTCGCCCGAGCCATCCTTATGGCCGGCAATGGTTCGACCGGAGCACTAATTGGCCTTCTGCCTGAGGAAAGACATGCGGACGAGCTTAACGTGGCCGAGTACATTGAAGCGGAGATGGTGGAGGAGGATTTGGGTGGCAACGAGGCGCGCGTTTCGGCCGGTAACAATGTATACCTTAGCGATGCAGCGTTGGAACAGCCGCTGGTGCACCAGGATCTGGTCGAAGACGAGGAGAACGAAAACGCAACGTTTGTGGACGATACACCAATGGAAGAAGAGCGTCCTGACATCTGTCAGGTGTATGATGACGAGCTGGAAGACCACGACCAGGACGAAGAGAACGAGGTCTGCATCATCCAGCACACTGCACCAGCTGAGCCGGCCGAAGCTGAACAGGAGGTGACGCCCATGCAACTGGTGTCCAAGAAGCTGCCCCGCGAACACAGCAGCCCCACAGAGTTCCCGGTCAGTTCCTCGTCAATGCCAAACGCTAGTTACAACTACGACTATGATGATGACCTGATGCTGGCCCACACCCCGCTGAAGCGCAAGTATCCGCCTCTTATGAAGAACACACTCTACGCCGAGGCTATGGACCGGAGGTTGGCAAGCATCTGCCAGGCGCAACCACAAATGAGTCCGGCTGAGAAGGTCTCCAGTTGGGAGACTGCATTCAGCAACGAGTGTGTTGCCGTGGAAGATGTGGAAAGCTTTCAGGCTGACTTTGAGAGGCACGAAGCTACTGCTGCGCCTCTTAAACAGCACAGCTTTATGGAGTTTCGCGAATCGCTGGTGCGGAACTTGGAGAAGATCAGCCGAGATATTATGCAAGTCTCGGACGAGTCAACTCAAGAGCAGGCCAGCTCCCAGTCAGCGGAGCGTGTAGTGCATCGGCGCTTACTCCATGTTATGCCCACCGAGGAGACCATTGTTCTGGATGACGATGACGAGGACGATTGCTACGAGGTTATGGATATGGACAAGGCCTCCGTCGCCACTCTGATACCCGAAGATGAGCTGATGCAGGCGGATCAGGCACCGGAAGGCGAGGAAGTCATATTGCCTATTGATGAATGTGAACAGAGGCTGGTCACTAAAGAGACCTCAACTATAGATCTGGACAGTAGTGCGCCTGCACCTACAGCAGCGTTGTCTGCTCCGCATTTGGAACGCATGACGCCGATTTCCTCTGCTCCGCCTCCCTTCTGCACTTCTGCTTCTGTTCCTATTCCTGAAAGAAGGTCAGAAGTTGTGGATCCCGATCCAAGGGAAATTGCTGCACCGTCTTCCTCAGACCGACAACTATCCAGTGTTGTACTCGATGTAATGCGGCAACAGGTGCAGATGCAACAGCAATTTATGGATCATAAGCTGCATCAACAGCAACAGCAGTCACACCAGCAGCATATGTATCGCTACCAGGATCTTCCGGAGGCGCCACCGAATAATCATTCGGTAGAAATACCGTTGGATATGGACGGAGATCAAGAGCCACGTTACATCAACAACTGTCCCACCATGTTTTACGAGCAACAGGAGTTTTGTAACTATTTGGGTCTCACTGAGCTAGCCACGGCTAATGCGGTGGCCACAGCAATGCGCGAACTGGCCAACAGCACAGTGGCACGGCGCTCGCTGCGTGTACGACCCCAGCAACAGCTAGACAGGATGCGAAGCGATGTTCGCGGCAAACGGCGGGATAGGGAACGGCAGCAGGATAAGGAAAAAAAGCAGCCAGCAGTGACTAGCAGCAGCAGCGAGCCTAGTCACTCCGACAAAGAGGACAACCCGCTGCCTGAGGGAGCCAGGTCTGTTCCAGGGGCTGAGGCGGAACTGAATTTTGTCTGTTCGCTGCCCTCCATGAGTGCAGATCAGGAGCAGCTTCAGAAGGGATATTATTACCCGGTGCAAGGAAATTACTCCGATATTCGGGACCAGTCGCCCGGCCAGGAGCGCTGCACGTCTTTCAAGCAGCAGGAGAGTCAAAGGTCACCATATCAAAGGGAGCGACATCGACAAAGATCTTCCCGGGAAAGCGAAGCTCATGTGGACCCGGAGGTAGGCAAAGGGCAGCAGGAGGAAGGCAACAAGCGAGCACTGTCCGTTGAGGCTGCCTTCGCAAAAATCTACAACGCAGCCGCGCCAGCCCAGTCCAAGGTCCTGCAGAGCATGCAGCAACGCCTGCGCCAGGCGCGCGAGACCAAGCCCTCGATCTACATCATTAAGGCGACCAACAATGAACCAGCGCAGCTGACACAGTCCCCCAAGCAGTCATCACCCGACCGACTGATCGATGATGCTGGTAAAACTAGTGTTCCGCGTCCTTCTCCCGTGATCACTCCGGCGAAAGCAAGTCCTGTGAAGGCCGCGTCAGCAAAGAGTGTTCCACCTCAAGCTCCTACACAACCTCGAATACCAAAGGCGCCTAAGCTAAGAAAAGCTGAAACTGCCACGCAACGTCGACGCACCACCGTTACTGCTACCACTGTTTCGGCAAAACAGGTTCGCATTCGGGATCTTGTAACCCGCTCCACCACCCATCTCAACTCAAAGCTCCTACGTAACCGCAAGGTAAATCTGCTCAAGAGCTACGCCCTTTCGGACGAGATGGCCCAGGGACGCGGCAAGCGATTGAGTGGCGGCATCATCACCAACACCACGACCACCTCTCATGGTGTAAAAAAGGGTCACACGTCCAAGATGGTACGGGGAACGGGATTGAAGAGACCCAAAGAAGTAGGGGACAAAAAATTGCCCGAACAGTATCGCCTGCAGGAGCAGCAAGTGGTACCTCCTAACACGCCTCGGCAGATAGTAAGGAGTGTCAAGCCCATGGCGAATGCCAAGACGAGTGCAAGGAAGCCTCCGCCCCTCCGTATAACTAAACGCACTAAGCGTTCACGCGCCAAATCATTGCCGACAGCCTTGGAAGGGGTTTCAGTTTACGCCCCAGTCCCTCTTCATATTTCTAGTGCTTTAGTAGGCACGGATGTGCCACCCAAGTTGGAGGCAGCTATGACCCACCTCCCAATTCATTCCGCATCCCCAGTTCAAACGCCTTATAGCAAGTCAATTCTAATTTACCCCCCTTCGCCAACAACGCCGCCATCGAATCCCAAACTGACCGAGCCGTCGCGTGGCCCGTGCCAACAGGCGGGAAGTGGCGATCGACTTGCTGGGTTAGACGTTCTGAACATCGATTCGATTCCGCCCGGCGGCCTCCTACGACTGAGTGAGGGGTCCTGGGCGCTCTCTAATCCACTCTCTCAAAAGTATGGCAGGGTTTTGTACATGTACTATGAGCTAGATCAGCTTATCGTGCTGCAGGAGATGTGTATTACCTTTTGGAAATACTCAAAAGTCTTAAGCGTATTGCATCAGCCGAAGATCACCTCGCCGGTTAGCAAATCTCCCGTCCCGTCAAAATCCCCTCAGCATCAACAGGAGCAGGAACTGGATGTGAGGCCGCGATGGGTGTACCTGGGGAGGTTGCGACGCATCACGAATGGTAATTATTCTTAATCCTGAATGAATTAATTAATAAATTTATTGTCTTTTCCTCGCGTCTGATCTATTTACAGACACCGAGATCTTCACACCGTACGGCAGCCGCATCTGTGTGCACAATTCAACTCCGGTTTACTTGGAAATGCAGAGCCGGTCGCTGGACCATCACAAGCGAGAGGTGAAACTAACGTCGCTGCACATCAATGTTTACTACTTTTGTGAGGAGGACCTACGACCCCGGATGCACTCGGTTCACTTGGACACTGTTAACTGGTAAGCTCCATTAAAATTCAGCAATATTGATATACATACATATATATCACAAAATTTAATTCACAGCGAAGGGTCACATGTGATCTATACGAGCATAGCAGAGTCGCGATACTTTGTGATGGCCTGGCAGCAAGAACTTGTGATGGGCAGACCGCGGTCGGGCATCTGCAAGTACTCGCTGACGCCTACTCTGGACACGTTGGCATCCATCCGCGAGTTTAAGCAGTTGCGGCACGAGCTGCGTCACATCGAGTGCTTGTCAGAAGATCGCCTGATCGGCTATGGCCAGACACGCGTTACCGTGTGGGATCACCGCAGTGGCGACACTCTGATGAACTACGATCTAGGCCGGCCACTCGGACGCAGTCTTGCCGCCATGCACTACCCTAGTCTAGACCTGGACCAGAGCAGCATGCTGATACTTTTCCAGTACCTCAACGAGCCAGACGAGAGTCCGGCCGAGGTGCACATCATCGCCTGTGAGCTGTCGCACGCCACGCCCTCGCACCGCCTGCTCCACATCCACCGGCTCCCGTCGACCCAATACGATGACGCAATCGAGGCGGTGAATACTGGGGATCATCTAATCATTAAGTCTTCTGCAGGCGGAGAGGCCTGGATAAACACCGCTGATCCGCGGCAACTGATCTATGTGGCGCCTCTGGCCAATGGAGCGCAACGGTTTTACTCGCGTAACAAGTCTCAGGTGATAGAGATGTCACCACAGTCATTAACAGTAGACAGCATCACCAATCACATGCTCAAGCTGGCCGTCCAGCAGCAGTACCAATACGAGATGCCAGTTTAGTGAAAAGTGCACCTAGTATATTATGTTCTTACCCCGCCCAATGATTTTAGCTGAAAAGTGTCCCCATGCCCATTTAAAAAAGAAACGTATGACGCCTTAAATTGTGAACTGTAAGATCACTTAATATTAGTTTTGGTGCTGGTTTGCAGCTCCAAAATATGTAGTTCAAATATATCGAAAACTATCATAAGCTTTACCCTTTACTCCCAATCCCAATCATAATCTTCATCGTCATCTAGCCTAAGTTATGAGTAAGTCAAACCCTGTTAGCCTTAACTAAGCTCTAATTCGGTAATACTTGATTAGGTGTTTTTTTTATTTCATTGAGTTTTTAATTTTTTCTGAAAGAAAAGAACAAAAACACTAGCAGCTTACGTTAATGTTTATGTAATGTATACATAATTAAACATAAATTTAAATATCTTTAATTTACTCTGCTCTCGCCCAGAGCAGCAGAGGATGATGTGTCATATGAGAAGTGCAAAGGAAACACCAAAATTGAAATACAAAATCATGTCATTAAATAGAAACTTATTACATTGTATACACTGTTTTTTTATTCGTCTTCCCTTAACCCTTTGATTTATTCATGTTACACAGTCAAATTGTTCATTATCCTGTAAGAAGTTCTACGGTTTCTGAAAACTGCTGGTAAAGAAAGCTGTAAAGGTGTCTTTTTTGACAGCAGTCGCTCGAAACTATCACGAATCACCAAGAGTCCACAGGTCAGTAGCGGGTCTTCTTCCTATATCTTAGAATAAAGTGTGATTTTATAAGCTTATATTGCAGGAGAAATACAAATTCATGATGGCCAGAACTCGAAAAAACAAAACCGACTCAAAACACTAGTATCCATGTTGCTCTCCATTTTTACATGTTGGTCAATTTTTAACCCGAATTATAAACAAGACTTGTTGACTCTGTTTATGCATATATTTTATACTCGTTCTGTCTGTGAGAACAATCAATTTCAGCTACAAATTTTCTTAACTTATTCTCCCGACTCGGTACATTAACAACTAGTTGTATTCTTACGTTAGTCTTTACTTAGTTTCTCGTTAATTGCTAAGATATAAGATGTTTTATTTACACAAGTTTTACTTACAAGGAAAAGTAAAACTTTCTCTAAACATTTTTCAGGTTGTGTGGCGCCCTCTTAACATAATAGATTGCCACTAGGAAGCTAGTTTGCTAGCCTGAGAACTACGACCACGAAATGCAAAATCCCTAAACTGCGCGCGGCATTCATTCGCTTATGCTTACGTGTCTATTAAAGTACAAGAATTTCAAAATTAGTTTAATTAGTAGCAACAATTTTGAAAAAAAATATATAGAGCTATTTTGGCGGACTACCTTGGGGTCACTACAACTCCTTTTCTGGCTTCTGAGGCGTTCCCGTCGCTGTCGTTGTTGTAGTCTGATTTTGTCGCTGCTCTCTGGCCAATTGCCAGCGCTTGAACTCCACCATTTGCATGACCCGCACGCGCAGCGGCTGTTTCCGTCGCTGTTCCATTGCGGCTGACAGCTTGTTAAACTCAACGCTGTACATGAATACAACTGGAATGAGGACATCGTCATTGCCGTCGCCCGACATGGCGAACATCGGCTGCGTCTCGCCGGAAGAATCCGGCACATTATCACAGACAATTAGCGCAGCGGCACCCGCCTTTTGGGCCAGGCGCGCCTTGCTCACGAAAGTGCAATCGCCCCGCTCGGCGACCAAGACCTTGCCCCTAGCCTCCTCGATATTTTCTAACTGCTCCTCACAGGCACGGAGCGGCTTCGCCATCACTAATTCACCTTCTACAAACTGCTCGCCTATCAGCTCTGGGCTAAAATGTGATGGGCCGGCCATCAGAGCGGTCCAGTCTTGCGTTTTCTCGTCGGTGGCGAAGGCCACAGCCTGTCAATGAAAAAAATTGCGGATATACTAACTTTTTCTGAATTAGAAAATCGAGGTTCACGCACCTGCAGTTGTGTCAACTGATTCATGCTTTGCATCTTGGTCAGCTCCAGCATCTCTTGCATGAACTGCAATCCCATTTCGCCCTCCTCGTGGCTCTTGGCCTAAATGATAAATAAATAATAAATTCAGCATTTATGGGTGAGTAAAAGATGGAGATGACGATAGGTGGAGAAGTAGGAGGAAGCGAAAGTGCCCAAATGCTGACCCAATAATATTTTTCGAATAGTTTTTGGATATCAATATTTTAACATTAAATGCAATAATTTTCCATATTTAAAATTTCTATATATCAAAGTTTTTTATGTTATTGAGCACGTTGTATATGATTGGACTCCTCTAGATATAAGTACATCCCCAGTCGAAACGTAATGCAAACGAAATCAAAAAGCGGAACAGAAATAAAACTTACATTATAGAAACTATGAAACAGTCGCACCTTGCCTTGGCTGCGGTCGCCTACCGAAACCATGGTGATGCCCATGTCGTAAACAGCTCGCAGATGATCAGCATTGCTTGCCTGAAAATCCAGAGCGCTGAGTCGTTTTCCGCCGTTGGTGCGCGGGCACGAGCCCGTAATGAAGTTGCGCAATGGTTTGCGTACTTTCTCAGGAAAAAGCTTATTGGAACTGGGGCAGGTGCGCATGAAGTCAAGGACGTTGTGCTCGTCCGATTGCCGAAAGCCTGAGTGTTGCGATTGAAAAGGAATCATAACAATTATATATAATATATACCTTAAAAATGTACTCACTAAACGTGGAATTCCCTAGTTGGGCAATGGAAAGGGGAAGCAGGTGGGCTTCTGTGGTAAAGACAAATTCGTCTACGTTAATTATCAGATCCTGCGGATCCGAGAACAGCAGGAACAGGTACTTGATTGTCTCGGACAGTACAAATGAGTCCATGCGATCCTCGTGTTTGCCGGTGCGCACATCATTGACTGCCGCGTAGCCACACGATACCTTGGCGTACTGCTGAAGTGTCTTTAGGGCCCGTTTTCCCACCTGCAGGTAGTGGTGGTCGCCAGTGGCACGGTATAGGAAATACGTAGACTCTATGAACTCCGGGCGCAAGGGATGCTGACCCCAGTGTATTTGAAAGTCCACAGTGAATGCTTCTGGAATGAAGGTGTGCATTTGCATAACCTGTAAGAAAACTGAATAAATATCATTGGGTAGTGCAAATAATGAAAAATGTTACCTGATAAAGCATCTCATGCGTCTGCACGGCCGGCTTGAGGTCGCCCGATAGCACCTGCAGACCCGGCCAGAATGCCAACAACGAGTCCATGAAGTTCTTTGACTTGGCGTGTGGCCTATGCATTAGCACATCCAACAGCATGGGCCCCTCGCTAACATACTTCATCACGGCGTTGTAGTGGCGGTTGAAACGAGCGAGGTACTTGTCGTCGCCCAGCAGGACGTAGGACTTGAACAGGTATTCGTAGTAGCTGTCGATTCCAGCTCCCACGCCCGAGTCACGACGCACCCAGTCACCGGAATGGACATTCAGCACTGTTCCCATGAGGTCAGAGCCACGATGCCTCAGCTTCCATAGCGCATCCATTGCGGCGTGGGCTCTTAGCTCGAAAATGGGATCGCCAGTCAGTCGCGACAAAGCAGCGAACTCCAGCAGGATTGTACCCGCACACGCAGTGCAGGTGTCCCGCGACTTCTTCAACTGCGGATCCTTCATGCCCAGGCGCAGGTTAACTCTGGCGTGAGGAATGCCTGTGGACGTGTTAAACGCCGGCAATAGGCGATATCCAAGCTCGCGAGTCATCTCCAGCAACTCGCCCTTGTACCAGTGCATCACATCCGCATGCTTCTGTAGATACTCGGCCAAGATATGAGCTGACAGCAATCCACCGACCATACGAATGTTCGTCTCGAAAACGGAAACGATAATATCGCTGTCGAACTGCACATCGCGGATGACCAGCTTGACGGCGTGCTCGAACTCTGTAAAGTCACCCAGCAGCACCAATGTGTCCAGAGTGTCCACCAAGGTCATGGAGAAGCTAAAGGAAAGTGTAACCAGTTAGGAAAAGCGTCAAGATCGGATTTATTTTGCCTTCTCACTTTCCCAGGATGTCGTCCATGTCGCCACGAGAGGGCGTCACTCCACGATAGCGCCCCTTGCAGGATAGCGGCATCAGCTCGTCGGCGGGGTAAGCGTTCTCCATGTAGGCATGATATGCATGATAAAACATGTCCCGAGCTTCTTCCCTGAAATCATTCGAAACAATTAGTCAAAAAGCACATAAATCTAAAAAGGAAAAAAGGAAAAGCTTGCAATTGTATTATTTAATCAAATTGGAAAACGATTAAAACTAGGAAAAAATGTAATTAATTAATTTATAAATTAAGAATTTATTGGCAAATAGAAATGCAATATAATGTTGGTGTTGAATTATTTTAGCTGATATTTAAATGAATTTTAATTTAAAAAGCTTGTTGGCTTATATTGGATTAAGTCAAATAAATCTAGGCAGAGCTATTCTTAATGTGTTCCTTTTATTTCCTACTCACACAAATTCAATTCTAACATTTTCTTCTATTGTCTGGCCTATAGGTCATGATATTTTATCCGTTTATTTATTTAAGAAAATGAAATCATTTAAAGGTATTTGGAAAAATCCATAACCGATCGTTATGATAACCCTATTCAAACAATGAATTTAAGTAGATAAAGTTTGCTGATTCGAAAGATGGACGCATGTATGTATGTAAGTGATAAGCTAATCTATAGCGGTTCTCTGCGAGTTGGGATTCCATATGTGTTTGAAAAAACTAAATTAAAACAATGTCTAAATTATTCACTTGGGGGAAAAACTACAACAAATAATTGAGGGAATGGCATACATGGGCTTAAGTGGGCTTTCTCTTAATTACCTCAGTTCCGCCCGTTCCTTGTGGGACATGTTCTGCGTGGGCATAGAGGTCTCAGTGCCTAGGACACAGGCCACCAAGATGAGCAGCGCGGCCCCAAAAGTTGGTAGCAGCAGCCGCTGACCGTGGGCAAGGGCGGGGGCGATGGACATGGCCGAGCGATTCATGGTGCCGCTGCTGCTGGTTGCGCTTTGGCTCCGGGCTGTGATCCGCTAGCTGGTAGCGGCGGCGGAGACTACTGCGATTGAGGGTGATGGTGATGATGGTGGTGGCTCGCTTCGGGTTTTGTTTTTGGTTTCGGCCGCCAGACTTGGCGCTGCGATGTCGTTGCCTTCCGTTGTGACGTTGACCTTCACTTTGAACGTGCTGTTGAAACAATTTCGTTGGCTCGCGTTGCGTTGCGTCCGCTTCTTTACTTCTCTGCTTTGAGCCGCTTTTGTTGACTTCGCTTTGGGTCCGTTGTCCGCTTGATTTAACTTTTAAATCATCGGCTGCCACTTAATTAATTCAGCAAACTCATAATTAGCTCTCTGGGCCAAAACACAATCTAACAAATAATTTCGTACAAAACGTCGAGCGACCCAATTTATTAATTCTGACGGTCGTACGCAGCAAGCAGTGCTGTGCACGGCGAGCTGATGATGATGTGGTGCTGGTACTGGCGCGTTCAGCACTTTTTCGTGCACTCGTTCTCCGGTACTTGCATCCTTCTTCACCCTCAGCAACAGTGCACCACCAGTGAACAACACAGCGGTTATTTATAATCTCGTTTGCTGTTTTTTCTGCCCCAATGGCAAAACACCACGACTGCACCGAATCGGAGCACTGGTCGGAGACAATGCTGCTGTTGTTCGTTGCCAGCCGATCGGCCGAGCATCCCAATCCTTACGTGCAGCAGACTTAGGCGAAAAGTATGCTTTGCTGGCAAATATCGGATAGTATTTTCCTTATCAAATCTGTAGTTTCCCTTATTTTAGCACGAAAAAACCACTTGCCGCGGAAGTGTGACTGCGGCTGGAGCATCACACAAAACCAAAATCCTCATGAATACCCTAAAAAACGAAGCAATGTATTACTGTGGAAAACTTGGTTAATGTAGAAATTTAAATCAAACAAAGTGTAAAAAATTAAAGGCAAATTAATTTTATTGGTTTTTAGTTCTTTATATTCCTTTAATATGTACATTATGCTTAATAAGCTGTTAATTGTCTTCTGTTAGTGTGACCAAAGTTTTGAGCGTCAAGCAGTTTACAACAAGCAGTGTTCGCGCTAAATCGTCTTGAAATTTAATAAAATGGTAAACAAAACTCAAGTGAAATATTTAAATCTATCCCAATTCATTTTCAGCGACGGAGCTTAGCGCCCAGCCAACGGTTAAGCCAGAGCTCAGCATCACGGCACTCCTTCACCCCGCCACTGCTGAAGAAAAACAAACGAGCTTGCCAGCAGGAACTGGAGCGCGAGCAAGAGCTGGACAGGAAGCGTCAGAGCTGTGCTCTCCGCGATGCCAGCAATACGATGGATATACCACTGCCCATCCGCTTCACAGCTAACAGCGAGTATGAGCGGGCTATTGCCAAAGTCTTGGCCCGCCAGTTCAAGGTGCCGATAGACAATTACGTACCGGATTACGGGGGCAATCGCTGTCTCGGCGTACGTCGGTGCATCGTCCGGCGACCCCTACATGATCCGATGGCCTGCAACGCCCTTGTGCTTTACCAGCCACCGGCCTACACGGAGCACGAGCGCATGGCAATGGATCCCAGCAAGGTGCTCGTGCACGTGGTGGTGGATCCGTTGCTGACCAATATTCTGCGGCCGCATCAGCGCGAGGGCGTACGGTTTATGTATGAGTGCGTGGAAGGCAGACGTGGAAACTTCAATGGCTGCATCATGGCCGACGAGATGGGCCTGGGAAAGACGTTGCAGTGCGTCACACTGGTGTGGACGCTGCTGCGGCAGAGTGCCGAATGCAAACCAACAATTAACAAGGCCATCATCGTGTCACCGTCGTCCCTGGTAAAGAATTGGGAAAAGGAGTTCACCAAGTGGTTGCACGGCAGACTCCTCTGCCTGGCCATGGAGGGGGGAACCAAGGAGAACACCATTCGCGCTCTCGAGCAGTTCTCGATGAACGCCTCCACGCGTATGGGTACGCCCGTTCTGCTCATAAGCTACGAAACGTTCCGCATCTATGCAGATATCCTCTGCAAGTACGAGGTGGGCATGGTGATATGCGACGAGGGACACCGTCTGAAGAACAGCGATAACCTTACGTACCAGGCTCTAATGGGCCTGAAGACCAAGCGGCGCGTCCTACTCTCTGGCACTCCCATCCAGAACGATCTCACGGAGTACTTCAGCCTGGTGAACTTTGTCAATCCCGAGATGCTGGGCACGGCGGCCGACTTTAAGCGCAACTTCGAGAACAGCATTCTGCGGGGACAGAACGCCGATTCAACGGACGGGGAACGGCAGCGAGCAATCGAGAAGACGCAGGAGCTGATCGGACTGGTCGATCAGTGCATCATCCGACGTACCAATCAGATTCTAACCAAATACCTGCCAGTCAAGTTCGAGATGGTCATCTGTGCCAAGCTGACTCCAATTCAGCTGGAACTCTATACGAATTTCTTAAAATCGGATCAAGTGCGTCGAAGCCTGGCGGGTAGGTTCTTTGAAAACTCTTAGTATTTTTAAATTCAATCTCATTTCTTATCTAAGATTGCAACGAGAAGGCTTCGCTCACTGCCCTGGCTGACATCACAACTCTCAAAAAATTATGCAGTCATCCGGATCTTATATATGAAAAGATCGCTGCACGGGAGAAAGGTTTCGAGAACTCGCAAGATGTGCTGCCGAGCAACTACAAGCCAAAGTAAGTTGACATCGATTAAATATCTGAATTTAATTCTCATAATACTAATGTTTCAGAGATCTCAACCCGGAACTGAGTGGCAAGTTCATGCTGCTTGATTTCATGCTAGCTGCTATTCGAGCCGATGGCAATGATAAAGTCGTCCTTATCTCCAACTACACACAGACCCTCGATTTGTTCGAGCAGCTGGCAAGAAAGCGGAAGTACGGTTTCGTTCGACTCGATGGCACCATGTCCATCAAAAAGCGCTCGAAGGTTGTGGACAGGTTCAATGACCCAGAATCGGACAGTTTTCTATTCATGCTGAGTAGTAAAGCTGGCGGCTGCGGACTGAATTTAATCGGAGCCAATCGACTTTTTATGTTCGATCCGGATTGGAATCCTGCCAACGATGAACAGGCAATGGCCAGAGTGTGGCGCGACGGTCAGAAGAAGCCCTGTTACATATATCGGCTTGTGGCGGTAAGTATTCTATTCTGTTTTTTTTAAGGTAAAAAACTTTTAAATATCTGTTTTAGAGTGGTTCCATTGAGGAGAAGATCCTGCAGCGTCAGACTCACAAAAAATCTTTGTCCAGTACGATCATTGACAACAACGAGTCAGCGGAAAAACATTTTACACGTGACGATCTTAAGGACTTGTTCCGCTTTGATCCACAGGTTCTTTCTGACACGCACGAAAAGTAAGTACAATTTTTTAGAAATTCATAAGCAAAACTTTACGAATCTTTTAATATATTACGATTTTTTGAGAGAAAAGAGAAAACCTTTTTTTGCCTTCCTTGTAGTACAAACTTCTTAAATTTTTTATTAAAAGGCTCAAGTGTAAGCGCTGTGTGGAGAACATTCAAACAAAGCCTCCGCCCGATGACACAGACTGCACATCGCACTTGTCCCAATGGTACCATTGCTCCAACAATCGCGGACTGCCCGACAGCATTCTTGCCCAGGCCTGGACGGACAGCAAATGCGTCTCATTCGTTTTCCATCATCGATCGCAGGCGCAGGAGATTCACTCACACGAAACGGAAGAAGAGGATAAACCGGAGAAACCAAGTATTCGAAAGCGGCCCTCCACGCCCCTCAGTGATGACAGTGCCGATGAGGATTTTATTGGATTCTAGCAATTGTTTAAATTTTATTGTTTATCAGTTTGTTTAACCTGGGTTGCGTTAGCCTACTAGCCTAATCTTAAGTTATCGTTACATTCTTAACAATATTGTAACATTTAAAAAATGGAACCGGCTCACAAAGTTGTTAACGTGCTAGTGATGAAAGCCTTTATGGACTGACTTTCCAGCAAAGAAATAGTGATTTTTTCCCTTGTAAAATACTGATTAGTTGTCAATTATGTATGAACAGCAATACATATTTAAAAATTAGCTATAATTAAACAGCGCCGATAATAGATTGAAAAAATTCGAATTTCAAAGTGGATACTGTTTCTTGCAATTGTCAATTGCTTTAGCACATATTTATAGTTACCTAAAATGAACAGACAGCACCGCTAGCACGTTTTTAATCTCTGCACAAAGTCGCAACAAGGCATAAGCAATGTGTCCGGATTAAAACCCTGTCCTTATTTATGTATACAAGTGGTTGTAAGTATTTAACCATTCGCAGTGTTAACACAGTCAATAGAAGAACACTTGATGCATTCGTGCTATCTGGGAGCTACACGTCAATGATTTTATGCTCCAGCTCCACCCACACATTGCTCTTTTCAGGCGCCTTCTGCAATGGAGTTGGCTGCTGCTGTAGCTCTGCTAGGAAGCCGCTTACTGCCTGGTAGTATCTAAAGGAATGACACAAATTAGAATACAAATTAAAGGCATCTTTACTCAGCTCAAGCATACCCGTCTACTATCCAGGTGTCGTTGTGCGAGCCACCCGGAAACTCTAGCAGGCGCTTCAACTCGCTACCGCACTGAGTATACAAGGCACGCATCATGCGAGGTGGCACCAGGGTGTCCGCAAGGCCCGATATAAACAGAAATGGAACCGAACACGAGCCAATCTTGCTTAAGGAGTGATACTGCAAGAAATTCGAATGGTTTTACAATCAATGATCTATTCGATCTCTAAAAGCTCACCTTATTCTTAAACAATATATTTGGTATATATTTTACAGCGGGATGCACGAGTTCCACAGCCATTTCTCGTATACTGCTGAATGTGTTCTCCACAATCGCGCACATAAGCTTCTGACCGTAGACAGTGTCCGCAGCCACGTCCACCACCACTGCGCCGCCAAGCGAGCGCCCGAACAGGATCAGCTGCGAATGGTCTAGATCGTGGCGAGTATGCAGGTAATCAATGGCAGCTCTGGCATCAGTGACTAGTCCCCGTTCAGTCGGTACACCAGTAGACAGACCATAACCGCGGTACTCGACCAACAGAATGTTGCAGTGAAGGTGATGGTAAATACCCCAGACCTGCAAAACGTTTTGTTAACTGTTAGGATCGGGCCAGTAGATCAATTCTCATTCCAACTTACGTTCTGCATTCGATGACCCATGTTGCCAGCGTTGCCGTGGAAATAGAGCAGTGTGGGCACCGACTTGCAGCGCTCCTCCGGCTGGCTGATCCAGAACGCATGCAGCGTCACATCATCGGGCGTTTTGATGCTAACCGTGATGTGTGGCAGGTTGTGCATAGTCGGAATGGGTATGTAAATTCGAGAGTTAGCGGGTAGATCGGGATGATAAAGCAGCAGATCTTGGGCGTTGTAAAATATCACTGAAATGAAATAATTCTTAGTACAAAGTCATTGCTCCGAATAAAGCATACTTACAGAGGAGTATGCCAATAAAGAGCGCCAACGTCATGTAACCGCCGTAGAAGTAGTAGAAAATGAAACATAGTAGAAAGGCTGCCAGCACTCCGACGCCCACGCCCCGCGACTTGGGAAGAGCGATGCCCACTTCCTTCATGTTTAATGATTATTGTTCAGCTGCACTACATCTCCAATTATCTAATTTAATTAGATTGAAGTCCCAGAACAAGATCAACACAAAACAACAAAATTGTAAATTGTCCACATCTACAGCTGACTGGAAACACCTGTGCCGTGCCAGTAGTTATCGAATGTAGTCGATATTTTAGTACCTTCAATGTGACCATGTTCACTAAACATATTTTTGGAGAGATTTCCCCAGGTGATGTATCAACGTGCCAAATTATATTTTTAAGCCAGATTTTAATCAGATTAGAGAATCTTGGGCTTCTTAAAGCATGTATTACACATTAATTTGCATGCTAGCCATATTTTTCTCTCCAACGGTGGTTCTAATCTTTTCGATAGAAAATAATATTCTATCATCATTCCACACACTGCGAAATTCACGTATTAAATTTATCTGGGGATTCTAAATTAGGTAGTATCTATACGACTATAATAATAATAATAACAGATAAAATCGGCACTGATAAAAGCTGTTTCAATAGTAACCCCAAGGCCGCTAAAAAATATCGTCTAAATGACTGAAAACCTACTGTGACTACAGAGTTTCTATGTAACGACTTTTTAAACTGTTTAAGGAAAGGTCCAGTTGCTTAAAAAATTAATGATTGTATAGGAAAATACAAAAGAAGGATACATGTACTTCGACTGAGTTTTGATTAATAATTTACCGGGTGACTTGTTTGGGTTGTTTCCTATCTGGCTAAATATATCGGCGATATATAGCCGATATGTTCAGTAATTCAATCGTATACGGATTCTCCTTAGTAAAAATTAAAATTAATTAAAGTAAGAAAGAAAAAGTTTTTTTAATATCCATTTAAATTTTAAAAATCTATTAAACAATTTGAATATTATAAAATATTTTATATTTAAATGAAAGAACTAGAAATTAACCAAAACCAACCATATTTAAGAAGTAATACTTAAACTAAATATATGCATGGTTTATAAATTAATATTATTGCAACTAGAGTTCCCATCCCCATCGCATTCCGACCACCTCTAGTTTAAATGACCCGGCCACACTAATTCAAAATGGTGGCGATATTTCTGCTGCGACGCATGAAAAAAAAAACGCATGAAACGTGAAAAGCGATCTTTTTGTGTTGGAAAAAGTGCATTTAAGAACAAGTGGCTTGCGGGAAAAACATAAACATTTGAGAGTGACCGTGTTCAAGTGTATTGGCTGTATTTAATGAGCGCTATAAGGCAACTGGGGGTGCTACCACGACAATATAATGAGCCAGGTGAGTAGGCCTTGAAAAAGCTGTGAATGTCGAACGTCGGTGTGTGTGAAAAAGTTGAAAAAACGATGAATTTCTTCCATTATTCGAATCGAAAGGCTTTAAATCAGTTTCATCCCAGTCGTCGTGTGAGTATTAACTGAAAATAACTGCTACATACAAAACACACGCTCCGTTTTGTGGGCGTGGCCGTTCAGCCCCAGAGTCCATAGAAGTCTCTTCGCCGTGAGACACCCGCACTTGACTAGCTGGTATTGTGGCTGCGAGCGAGGCATTTGGTAAAAGTAAGGATTTTCCCATTTAATAGACCGTGTTGCATCGTTCTGACGACTCCCGACTGTTCCCGAGACTCCTACGTGGCACCCAGAGTGGATTTTATGAAAATATTTTGGGTACCCATTTTCGCAAATTCTGATCAAATTCGAAATTTTCGGTTTGTTTTTATTGGATACCGCTATAAAACCGCTTTAAATTCCATGGATTTCGATGGTTTTCCTTGCAAATTGAAAATTTTCATCGATTACGTAATCATAAACCACAAGGTGCAAAGATTTCTTTCAAAGATTTTTATCCAAATTCCTTGGGATTTGGAACCCGCCAAAAAGAAGCCGGCATTTATTTTACTAAAATAAGACCTCCTTTTCACAGGAACAATCGTTAAAAATTATTTTTTCCCAAGTTAAGAGGCATAAATTCTTATTTTTTAAGACTTTTTGATGGAAAAATAGTGCCAGGAGATCGAATACCCAGTTGTTTTCAAGGATCTCTAGTAGTTCTACTGTCCAGGATCCATAATTCGTGTTTTCCGCCATTCAGTGTCAATTACTCGGATAATTCCTCGTAAAGCCTCCCAGGACCATAATGGTTTCTTGGTTTTTCATGGCTGCTTTAGAATAAACTAGTCTTTAAATTAATTTCTGGAGAGGATTAGTCCTGGTAACTCAATACCTTGGTTGTTCTTAAAGACGTTTCCACCCTGTTTACTTTTTAAGACTTTTTAGCAATGAACTTTCGGAATAAATTGTAAAAAAGAAATCATTTTATTAGGAAGTTGGTCCTTTAAGAGTTAGACCTTTTTTCTGGGGAGGATTGAAGTCCTTTCTTTCTCAAATAGATTTTTCTGAGCAGACGAAGTATTTATGCTAAAATTTTAAAGGTTTTACCGCTTTAAGCAGGTATTTTGAGCATTTTCAGGTGATCCATATAATGCTAGTTCTTTTGAATCCTGCATCTTCGACTGATTGCCATATCTTTTTGACAGGCACTCAATGAATCGGCGAATAGTATTGGCTCAGACGAACAAGATGACACCCGGGAGGCGGCGAATGGCACCGATGACCATAGTGGCAGTGGCAGCGGTAGCGGCAGCGGCTCCTCAGGCTCCGATTCGGACTCGGACAGCTCCTCTGGTAACTCCAGCGATGGACGCAGTTCCGCGGAGCCGGAAACCAAATCGTCGACGGTGGCGTCAGGTTTTCCACCAACAGCTGCTGCTGCCCAGGCGGACAGCAAGACGAATGGATTCACAGATGATCAGGAAGACGACAGCTCCAGCGGTGGGTCCAGTGGAAGCGACTCCGATTCCGATGCCGATGGTCAAGCCGATCACAGGGATCAGGGGAGCATCAACAATAAAACAAACACGAGCACCAGCAGCAGCAGTTTGTCAAAGCCGGAACGAGATGACGAGGACGATGAGACTGAGGCTGGTCATCAGCAGCCAGCCAGCGAGGCCTCTGCCGACGGTTCTGCCAGTGATAGTTCTGCCAATGTCTCGCCAACATCCTCCAGCAGCAGCAGCGTAAGTCGGATTCTAAGGAGCAGATTGCGCTAGGCATTCCTAACATGTTCTCATCACCAGGAGGATGAAGAGGAAGACTACAGACCCAAACGGACGCGCCAGGCGCGCAAGCCACCAGCTACTGCTGCGGACAAATCCAAGCGAGCTCCAGCTCCCAAAAAGAAGAAAAGAAAACGTGAGATTGTTGTGATCCTTCTGTTTCTTCATTCGCTTTCACAACAGCTTTTGTTTTCATTTGCCAGCTGGGATTCGGACGAAAGCGATGAAAGCGAGGACAGTGATGACGACGTGTCCGCTGCGTCCCAAAAACGTAAGCCCGCGGCTACTACCTCTAGGAGCAAACCGGCACAGCAGCAGCAGTCTAAACGCCGGGTGAAGTCCTTTAGCTCGGAGGACAGCGATGATGACGATGCCAGCAAGCGGTAATGATCTCCCTGATTTCCCTCATGTGGTAGCTTCATTTTTTTCCCCTTGACCTGACCTGTACCCAACTTTTCTTAATTTAAGCAGCTGCGCCACCCGTCGCACAGCCGCAGCTGTTAGCTACAAGGAAGCCTCTGAGAACGAGGAAACCGACTCTGAGGATCTGCTGGAGTGTGAGTACGACGAGAGTCAGGCAGCCGCATCTGCTGCCGCCGCCGAGGAGGAGGAGAAGTGTGAGACGATCGAGCGCATCCTGGCGCAGCGTTTGGGTAAGCGGGGATGCACCGGCAACCAGACAACGATCTATGCCATTGAAGAGAACGGCTTTGATCCGAATGCGGGATTCGATGAAAAGGCATCGGAGGCGGAAGCAGAGGTTCAGTTTCTGATCAAGTGGAAGGGCTGGTCATACATCCACAACACCTGGGAGTCTGAGGCGACACTGCGCGATATGAAGGCCAAGGGCATGAAAAAGCTAGACAACTTCATCAAAAAGGAGCAGGATCAGGCATATTGGCGCCGCTATGCCGGGCCCGAGGACATTGACTACTTTGAATGTCAATTGGAGCTACAGAACGAACTGCTGAAGTCATATAACAATGTGGATCGAATCATTGCCAAGGGCTCCAAGCCGGACGACGGAGCCGAGGAGTACCTGTGCAAGTGGCAGTCACTGCCATATGCAGAATCCACCTGGGAGGATGCTGCTCTGGTTCTGCGCAAGTGGCAGCGCTGTGCGGAGCAGTTCATCGAACGGGAGAGCTCCAAGTGCACACCTTCTCGTCACTGTCGCGTGCTCAAGTATCGCCCAAAGTTCTCTCGAATAAAGAACCAGCCAGAGTTTCTCGTGCCGGGACTAGTGCTCAGAGATTACCAGATGGACGGTCTAAATTGGCTGCTCCACTCGTGGTGCAAGGAGAACTCTGTGATTCTGGCCGATGAAATGGGCCTCGGCAAGACCATTCAGACTATCTGCTTCCTCTACTCGCTCTTTAAACTGCACCATCTCTACGGACCTTTCCTGTGCGTGGTGCCACTTAGCACTATGACCGCCTGGCAGCGGGAGTTCGATTTGTGGGCACCGGACATGAATGTAGTGACCTACCTTGGCGACATCAAGTCGCGCGAGTTGATCCAGCAGTATGAGTGGCAGTTCGAGGGCTCAAAGCGGCTTAAATTCAATTGCATCCTCACAACCTATGAGATTGTTTTGAAGGACAAGCAATTTCTGGGCACTCTACAGTGGGCGGCACTGCTGGTGGACGAGGCCCATCGGCTCAAAAATGACGATTCGTTGCTCTATAAGTCGCTAAAGGAGTTCGACACCAACCATCGTCTGCTAATTACGGGCACACCGCTGCAGAACTCACTCAAGGAGCTCTGGGCCCTACTACACTTTATCATGCCAGAGAAGTTCGATACGTGGGAAAACTTTGAGGTGCAGCATGGCAATGCAGAGGACAAGGGCTACACCCGACTACACCAGCAGCTAGAGCCCTACATCCTGCGCCGAGTGAAGAAGGACGTGGAGAAGTCCTTGCCAGCGAAGGTGGAGCAAATTTTGCGAGTAGAGATGACCTCGCTGCAGAAACAGTACTACAAGTGGATCCTTACCAAGAACTTCGACGCCCTGCGCAAGGGGAAGCGCGGCAGCACCTCCACATTTCTAAACATAGTTATCGAGCTGAAAAAGTGCTGCAACCACGCCGCTCTCATTCGCCCCTCGGAGTTTGAACTAATGGGTCTGCTGCAGGATGAGGCTCTACAGACGCTGCTAAAGGGCTCCGGAAAATTAGTGTTGCTCGACAAGCTGCTGTGCCGACTTAAGGAGACGGGCCACCGTGTGCTAATCTTTTCACAGATGGTACGCATGCTGGATGTCCTCGCTGATTACCTGCAGAAGCGTCACTTTCCCTTCCAGCGCCTGGACGGCAGCATCAAAGGAGAAATGAGGCGCCAGGCTCTGGATCACTTCAATGCCGAAGGAAGTCAAGACTTTTGCTTCCTTCTCTCTACAAGGGCCGGAGGCTTGGGCATTAATCTGGCCACAGCTGACACAGTGATCATCTTCGACTCTGACTGGAATCCGCAGAACGATCTACAGGCCCAGGCCAGAGCCCATCGGATCGGTCAGAAGAACCAGGTTAATATTTATCGCCTGGTCACCGCTCGATCGGTAGAGGAGCAGATTGTGGAACGAGCCAAACAGAAAATGGTGCTGGATCATCTGGTCATCCAGCGGATGGATACCACGGGACGGACCGTTCTCGACAAGAGCGGCAACGGCCACTCTTCAAACTCGAATCCGTTTAACAAGGACGATCTGTCGGCTATTTTAAAGTTTGGCGCCGAAGAGCTGTTTAAGGACGAGCAGGAGCACGATGACGATCTAGTCTGCGACATTGACGAGATCTTGCGTCGTGCCGAGACACGCAATGAGGACCCAGAGATGCCAGGCGATGACTTGTTGTCTGCCTTCAAGGTGGCTAGCATAGCAGCCTTCGAGGAGGAACCAAGCGAGGCGGCGGTCAACAAACATGCAGAACAAGATGCCGCCGACGATGAGGACGACAGCAAGGACTGGGATGACATTATCCCTGAGGGCTTCCGAAAAGTGATTGAGGATCAGGAGCGCGCCAAGGAAATGGAGGATCTATACTTACCGCCGCGAAGGAAGACTGCAACTTCTGCCAATCAAAACGAGACCAAGCGGGGGGCAGGCGGAAAGGGAGCCAAGGGCAAGCAGCAAGCGGATGATTCGGCCGACTCAGACTACGAGCTGGGCTCTGAGGGCAGCGGAGACGATGGTCGACCGCGAAAGCGGGGACGGCCAACGATGAAGGAGAAGATCATTGGCTTCACAGACGCCGAGTTGCGACGTTTCATCCGCAGCTACAAAAAGTTCCCCGCCCCACTTCACCGCATGGAGGCAATCGCATGCGATGCCGAGCTGCAGGAGAAGCCGCTGGCCGAGTTGAAGCGCCTTGGCGAGATGCTGCACGACCGCTGCGTTCAGTTCTTGGACGAGCACAAGGAGGAAGAGAACAAGACTGTGACGACGACGGATGAGACGGTGGGTGCGAAACAGCGGCGCGCCCGCGCTACCTTTTCAGTTAAGCTGGGTGGGGTCTCATTTAACGCCAAAAAGCTGCTGACCTGCGAGCAGGAGCTGCAGCCGCTTAACGAAATCATGCCCAGCGGTGCTGAAGAGAGGCTGCAGTGGAGTTTCAACATTAAGACGCGAGCCCCACTCTTCGACGTCGAATGGAGTAATGAGGAGGACACGAAGCTGCTGTGCGGCATCTATCAGTATGGGATCGGATCCTGGGAGCAGATGAAGCTAGACCCTACGCTCAAGCTCACGGACAAGATCCTGTTAAACGACACGCGCAAGCCGCAGGCCAAGCAGCTGCAGACCCGTGCCGAGTACCTGCTTAAGATCATTAAAAAGAACGTTGAACTGACCAAAGGTGGCCAGCGGCGTCGTCAGCGTCGACCCCGAGCATCAAGAGCGTCCACCAACGACGCCAAGTCTGTGACCGGCCATCAGGCAGCAAGCAGCTCGAATGCCGACGGTAGGTCGCAGGATGCAGACGAGGCGGTCACTGCCCCTGAGAGTGCGGGTGCCAGTCATATAGATCACTCAACCTCCTCGCCGCACAACATCCCTTCCTCTGATCAGGCCAGCAGTGGCACCGCCAAGAAGACCAAAAAGTCCAAGGTCCGGTCGAAAAAGAATAGCGCCTCGGACAACAACGGAAACAAGCCGATGCACTTTACGGCAAATAATGAGCCGCGCGCCCTGGAAGTACTGGGCGACCTGGATCCCAGCATATTCAACGAATGTAAAGAGAAAATGCGTCCAGTGAAAAAGGCCCTAAAAGCTCTGGATCAACCGGACCTAAGCCTGTCCGACCAAGACCAATTGCAACATACAAGAGATTGTCTGCTACAGATCGGCAGGCAGATCGACGTATGCCTGCAGCCGTACGGTGAGCCGGAAAAGAAAGAATGGCGCAGCAACTTGTGGTACTTCGTATCCAAGTTCACAGAGTTGGACGCAAAGCGTCTTTTTAAAATCTATAAGCATGCACTTAAGCAGCAGACGGGAAAGGAGGAGGGGAAGGGCAAGGCCAAGGACTCATCGGCGGGTAATCCCAACAAGTCCAAGCGCAACGGGATATCATCTGAAAAGGAAAAGGACAAGGATCGGGACAAGAGCGGAGGTAAAAAAAGAAAAAGGACAAGGACAAGGAACGTGCTAGTAGTGGGCGTTATCTGGATACGGGAACGCCTTCCGCGAGCGGGCGATTCACCAATGATTCTCCGCTAAAGCGAAAGAGAGACGAGAATGATGCTGCTGACACTAGTAGCGGTACATCTGGAATTCCCGGAGCTGGTGGCATCAGCGAACAATTAAAGTCCATGTCGTCGTTTAAGCGACAAAACATGGAGCGCCATGAGGATCGAAAAAAGCATCATCGTGGCGGCGGCGACTATTTTGGCGCTAGTGGTGCACCTCCAGGTAGTGGTGCTGGCGCGGGCTACGAAAGTGGCCGTCGGCAAGGTCTCAACTCGCCCTCTACGCCAAATAGTAGTCGAGGGGGAGGTGGTCGAGGCGGCTATGAGCCACCACCCGCTCCATCCGGCTACACGCCGGAGATGGAGCGGTGGCATGCCCGCGAGAGGTAATTGTCTGGATTCTTTGACATTGTGGACATTTTTTTCTAATTCATTTTACTTCTTTAAATAGATACAGCTTGGAATACAAGCGCGATCGCTACGATGCTGGGTATGCGCGAAGTGGCGGAGCTCCTGGAGGAGGGTACCATCGGGATCATCGAGAACGCGAACGCGACCGCCGTCCCGATAAACGCAGGTAACTGTCACTTTACAAAGCATTTATATGAAGTGCAATGCAAGATTAGCCATTAATGTAACTCCTTAATTCAGATTCCCTTCTGGGCATCTCCCGCCGCATGCTTACCCGAACCATTACCTACCGCCCAACTACTATATGCCGAATGGAGTCGTTCCCGGATTGCCACCACCGCCACCATCAGTCTATCGCACCGATCCTCGCGGCTATCCTGTGATGCCGCGTGACTACCCTGCCGACTACAGACGCAGTAGCGAATACGAGCGACGCACGCAGACCTAAAGAGGAGCCGGCACGGAACACCCGAGTCTTTTGTATATAAAATACCTAGACATAAGCACATATGCAAGGGGAAATTCCTCTCCGAGCAAATGAACCTGCATACAATATACGTTTAGCGTTGCCCCATATACATACATCATGTACAAGTAAACGTAGCGACTATATAGACTATACATAGACTACGTATTGTCACACCCATTCGCACAGGGCAAACACTGCATCATCATCATGAATCGAGCTGCAATTCTCGGCCTCAAACCCTAATCTTAGACAACTATTTGTGTATAAATCAATATTTTTCTACTATTAAATTGTACAGCAGCAGGTTATGGAAGTGTGCAGTTAACAGAGTCGTTTCAAAAGCTTTTAAACCAACAACAAATTCTCACTATTATATTTATGAATTAACTTATACGATTGTAAAAACACAGAATCAATGATAAGGATGATGAAAGATAGGAACAGCATGCTAAGAATTTGTTTTTGTCTATAATGCATTCATTTATATTTACCATAATATAGAAATAAAGAATAACAGCGAATGATTCAGAGAAGTGTAATTTAGTTAAATTTAAAGGTTCTAATAATTACGATAAAATATAATATGTTGTAGTGTCTGAAAACAAATATATGATGTATATCAATAAATTATAAAATATATATAAAATTAAATTGATAAAACAAAAACATCTGCAAATGGTATTTTTTTTTTAAAGGGGTTAAAGAAAGGTTACTAGAAATTTCGCTATCAAAATGTTTACTTATTTTATCAAAACCGAAGTGGCCGGCCTTTTACATTTAGAGTCGTCGGAGCTTATTAAAAAGACCACTATAGTCGGTGCATTTGCATTGATAAAAAGATAAACAAGATTTTATAGGCCAGTAAATTGGCTTATCTATTGTAGGAATATCCTAATACGAATTTTGAAAAATCTAAAACAGCAGACTAACTAGAAATACTTTCGGACTTGTGTGAGAATTTTATGTTTTATCCATTTTCTGTAATTTTTATAAAATTTGTAAGCACCGGTTTTAATTGTATAAAAATATATAAAATCATGCATTTATTCGTGACACATTAAAAATACGGCTTGTTTAAGGATGTATGTAAGTGGCCATTTGGAATCCAAACGTCTTCCAGTAAGGTCAGCATTTTCGTTGGGCCGGCGAACCAAGTGGTCTAACTTGATGGAATGGAATGGCCTGTTCCTCGGCGAAGGCCAAGAAATCCATGCCATAATGCTGTATGAGCTTGGTTAGCATTGCAACATCTGCCTCCGCCTGGTGAGCATTGTATGCTGGTCGGTGGAATTTACTAGTGTATAGGCTTCCTAATTTGTATTTAAGCCGTGGTGGAAAGCGCTTCGTCTCTGCACACTTTAAACCACTAAACAATTGGCGTCTCGATCGGAAATCCTGCGTTGTACGCTTGGTTGGCGTCGGCGAGCTCAACAAGTCATCGTCCTCATCGGACAGTTGCTTTCGTTTCGCAGAAGCTTGCGTGGGAGTTAGAATCGGACGCTTTGGCGTGGTTTCATTCCTAGTTTTCCAGTCGATTTCCTTGATGGTATCATTCTCTACGTGCTGAAGAATTTCGATATCCGCTTCGCAAGGTACCGGTTCCGGTTTCTCTCCGTGGTCCTTTTGCTCTGCTTCACCAGGAACTGTAATGACACCTTCATTTCTAAAGCGCTTATCGTCAATTTCCAAAAAAGCACGAAGTGAGTCAACACATGTCACGGAGTGGGGGAACTCCAGGTTCACCTTTTCAAAGGCCTGCCTCAGGATGGGAAAATCAAATCCCCAGCCATTGTGGGCCACCAGGCAAACTGGAGCTGGCAAATGCTTTATAAAGCTGATGATAAGTTTTGCGGATTCCTGGTCAAGTTTGGATTCCCGCTCAAGCAGATAGTTGCTCAGACCTGGTAGGAATATATTTACACAAATATTTGTTGTGAAATTAAATTACTGTATTGTTTGTGACCCACAAACCTGTGTGTTGCTCTGCCTCTGGATGCACTCTCATAGAAGGCTGGAATAGCAGATTTAACTTGTGCAGAACACGCGGTGGCTCTGGCAGGATATTTTGATCCTCCTGATTTTCACCCTTGACATCTTTATTCGTATAATCCTGGCTCAGAAGAGCGGCTTCAAAGGCGTAAATACACAGCTCCGTTATGCCAACGCGATTATTATTGAAAGCAGGCAAGTTCGTCGTTTCCAGATCCAGGACAGCAAATGTAGAAATCTTGGGCTGATCTCCCGAATTCTGATTCACATTTAGTGTGTTAAGAGCCATTTGTAAGTTGTGTAAATATTTATATGGAATTTAAAGTGCATTGTGTTGGCCTGACAACTTTGGCAGGTTTACCAACTCTGGAAGCGATGCTTAGAGATGGAACAATCTCAGTATCGTGATAGCTTCGAATTCTCCTTGTCAATCGTTCTATAAAAACAGAATTTGACTAATGAAACAAAAGCCTGCTTTAAATTAATTTAAATTAAAGAAAATTGTCTCCCAAAGACAAGGGTGATCCAGAAATCAGACTTTTTCATCAGATCTAATAATCAATATTGAATATATTGATATATATATATATATATATATATATAAATCACCCTTGTCTTTGGGAGACAATTTTCTTTAATTTAAATTAATTTAAAGCAGGCTTTTGTTTCATTAGTTATATATATTATATATATATATATATATATAATATAATATATATATATATATATCAATATATTCAATATTGATTATTAGATCTGATGAAGAAGTGTGATATATATATATATATATATCAATATATTCAATATTGATTATATACATAAAAAATTATATGATACATTAGTAAATCCTGTTGGATCTTACTATTTGAAGCTTTTGGACTTTTACGAAAATGTATCAATTGATATTTTTAATGAATTCCCTATACATACAAAAATTTTTTTAAAATTTTGGGATTTTTGTAATAATAAACACTAAAGTTTAATTGACACTTTGGATGTCGTGTCACGAACAAGAAGGATTCGTTTCCAGTCTCTAATTAATGACTAAAAGTTACTTTTGCCGGTCTAACAATTTTCGGTGAGTGCTTGCTGCTGTCAAGTTGCATTCTGATTTTCGTTTTGCTGCAGGTAATTCCGTAATGGACTCCAACTACCAGCAAACAAGGACCTGGATGAACAGCCGCGGAGCGAACAATACCAGTTCCACCTCATGGGTCGGTTTTCTGTCGGAACGCGATCCCGAGCCCGAGAGGTCTTCTATATCATTGGCGGGCTGGTCCCAGTATGAAAACACCTCTCGTCGTCCCCTTATGTCAAATGACATATTACCAGCTCCACAGCGTTCCGCCGGCAGTCGTTGGAGCCGCGACCAGCCTGAGTGGAACGCGATTAGAGGTGGTGGGCCACCGGCCGCACTAAATTCGTGGTCAGGGCCCTCCAATGGGAACCCAAGAGTGATGCAAAATCAGCCACAGCAGCAACAGCCTGTGCCAAAACAGAGCAATGTTCTGGAGCCACCAAAGCGAAACGCTGATGGCTTTCTTCATGGATTCAACAGTGCTGGGCGCGACTGGTTCTATCGCTACTTGAATATGGGATGCAGTCCGGAAGAGGCTCGAGATAGGGTCCTAGAACGCAACCGAAACCATCCAGAGTCACTGGACTCTACTGCACGTGGGGGACGTTTTCCCGACGCCAAGGCGCAGGTTGACCGCAGGAATCCTACTAGTGAACGCAGGCGTCCAGTGGAGACTGGCTCAGAAGCGGTGGATAATGTTCTCAACACCTTAAATGGGGCCTGTCTCAAGTGGTACAATAAGCATCTGGAAAATGGGTTTACTCCGGAGGAGGCCATAGCTAAAGTACTGGAGCACAGGCGGACTTTTTCTGGCAAAAGACCAGTGCAATCGTCAACAGATTCAGGCGGACGAAAGCGCTCTGTTGAGAGCAAACCTAAAGAAGATCCCAAAAAGCCAAAGAGAGGCAATGAGAGCTTCCAAGCCGAAACAGTGAACTCCGGAAAGGATCATTTGGCAGTGGCAGTAGTGGCCGACGACTATCCAAATTACTACTTAATGAAGTCCGAACTCACCAAGATCGAGAACGCCTTACTGGAGGAAATGAAAAATGGCTGGACTCGCAGTCTTAACTTTGGAGGCCTTAAATATCGCCCGGGTATGATGGTTTTGACCTGTATGGACGAGGGCTCCAAAGAATGGCTTGAGCAGGTGGTGCCAAAGATCACCGCCGTACAAGGTGTACCCCTACGGATATATAAAGAAGACGAAGTACTCAATTTCAAGGGTATAACTTTCTATGTACCGCGCTCAGTTGACGAGCCGGACGACGTCACGTTACGTTTTGTAAAGGAACAGAACACTGATCTTTTGTCTGGAAACTGGGCCGTCGTGCGCAGCAGCCTATCAAGGTCAAAGAACGGAAAGGTAATGACCCTTCGAATTGGCGAGAAGTCGCTGGATCTGCTTAACAAGCGTGGCATGGCTATTAGCTACCGCTTTGTTCAGCTGCCCTGTCAGATTTCCAAAGGACCGTTGTTCTTGCCGTCCAAGAAGCAGAAAGAAGTGGACGAAACTCCTGTCAATCCTCCTGAGATTGATCTTACCGCAGAAGATGAAGATATAGAATTTTCTGAAATGACCGTTTTGGACGAGGTACATTGTGATGACGACGATGGGAATGAAGCTGACGAGATGGCTGAAGAGGACGAGAATGGTAATGGAGAGTACGAGCAGCAGGGCGAGGAGGAGAATGAGCAATAAAAATAATTTAACAGCAGAAAGACTGCATTACAGACGGAACGCATCCAAAGGTAAGAACAATAAAAACAAAAGAATAATTATTGTTTTAACCATGTCCCATTTTCACATAGAGAACAACATTTAATTAAGTCAATTTGGATTCAATGGAAGACAAGATTTTAATAGATAAGCAATCTCATCGACATCCACCTATTACAAATGATTTAACTTAATGATAGCAAATGCGTGTTAAATGGCCAATACTCATAATTTGAAATAAAGTATTGGCCATATGATTTGTGATTTTCGTTAAAACACCAACTATTACCGTTGCTTCCAGCGGTACCAAATACAATGTGTCCTTCCATAAAATTGAAAGACCTAGAATACACGAATATACCAAATATAATATTTAATATCGACTTTATTGTATTTTAATACAAAGCAACTAACAAACACAACTTATTTAACATAAATTCGTCTTCTACAACTGCAAGCTTGTCAATACTTATTCTGGGAATAAAAATCAAAAGATGTGTTTAGCAATTTTGATGTACTTCTTTAATTACATTCGATGATTTTAATGGCACCCAATCAGAGGAACGGCAGCACCGAGCTAGCCGCTACCACCAGCTACCGACTTGGCGTCGTCAGGAGTCCTGGGGTCTTCTTCTTCTGATGTTCGCTTAACTGAAAATTCCAAATAATTGGCGCGTGTCGCAGCTTCATACTCCTGCACTAAGCAGTCCACCGTCTCACGAGATTCATCAAGTTCATTCAGGTCTTCCTTGAATATGTCCTCCCGCTTGAATTGGTCGAGAAAAGCGCCGCGCTTGCGCAGCTTGTCGTACTGGTTAAGTGCCCGCTCGAAGAGCGAGCAGATGCTGGTGTGATTGGCCAGCATCAAACCGGACACGCGATGGTTGCTCTGCACGTACGGCGAGGAACGGGATAGGGCCACCTGGATGGAAGTAGGACCCCAAGGGATGAACTGTGCCATCTTGCGGTCCCGAATGCGTTGTAGCGACTTGTGCACTTGAGTGGGATCCACCTCGCCCTGAATGATGTTTAGAATGGAGATGTAGCAGTGGTGGTTCGTCTTGTCCGGCCCCGTCGACACCATCATATTCTTGGGCTGAAGCAAGCGTCGCATCACGTCCAATACGGTGGTCTTGCGCACATTCACAGTCTGCAGGCTATTGACATCCGAATCACCGGTCAGTGGCGTGTAGCCAGTCATAAGGAAATGGAGCTGGGGTGTCGGGATCAGCGGAGCCATTAGCCCGATGAGATTGTTGTTCATATAAGAAGGGTAGCGCAGGGTGGTGGTGCTAACGCTCATGATGGTGGAAACCAGGTTATTGATTTGCGAGAAACTGGGATTTTGGATGTGCAAGCGGTCGCAGGCAATCCGGTTTAGAGCCGTGTTGTCCAGGACGACGACACTATCTGCAGCACTGGTCAGGCGGCGTAGAGTCAGAAGTGAGTTGTACGGCTGCACCACAACATCACTTATCTCGTCCTGGTTGGGGAAAACACTGAAAGTCTGAATAAGTTTCTTTGGAAAGCGATCTGCCAGGCGTTCCATTATAAAAGAGCCCATTCCAGAACCCGTGCCGCCGGCAATGGAATGGCACAGTATGAAGCCCTCGAGCGAATCGCTCCCATCGGCCTCGCGATCTATGATGTCGAATACTTCCTCTTGAAGTTTGTCGCCCTGACTGTAGCCAGATGCCCAGTTGTTGCCGGCGCCACCACCGTGCTTTGATAGGTATACATTCTCCGTATTGTAGAGCTTGGAAAAGGAACAATGCTTTCAATCCACTAAATTTGCGCTTTCGCCGTTACACTTACCTTGGAATATGCGGAACTCATTATGGTGTTGATCACCCTCGGCTCCAGGTCCAGCAGCACGGCCCTCGGAATGTAGTGGTCATCGTCTGCTTGGTAAAAAAACACATCCTTGCGGTCCATACCATCTGTGGCAAAGTCCTCCAACACGCCGCTGGGCGAAATGCCATGCTCCAGGCACAATCTTTTCCAAAATTCAAATCCAACTGCAAGTGATTAGCATAAGCAGGGAGTCATCTTTCCACATTAAAACTTACTTTGGTTGCCGCATTGTCCCAGCTGTAGTGTAATTATTTCGCTTGGCATCTTTAAGCCTTTGAATAGATCAGGCGAATGGCGCAAAAGGTGGACTTCGTCTTCTTTCCAGCTTTGTCTGAAACTTGCCCTTTGCTACAATTGTGGAATCTTTCCGTAGTTAGCTATTCAAATTGACAACGAAACGAGCAAACAAATAAACAAATTGTGTAAAATATTTAAAAAATTGCCGCAGCGGGGATGTATTGCAATTTATTTTAGCCAGTGTTGGAGAGCGCTACAGTCGTCGTGCATGCTCGAGAACAAGAAGGTGACGGACTCCCTAGTAGCGATTTGATAAACTTTTCGAAATTTGTGTGCGCTGAATTTGAATTTCAAAGATTCAGTTTTCAGCCCTTCATTTTCCTATACTTCTGCGCTTTTTAAATATTTATTTAATTTGGACAATTTTCGTACGCCTATGAAAATGCGAGTGTTACTGAAACGACATAAGTAAAGTGACAGAATGAGCCTCAATATTATGAGTTTTATTAAATAGTAATGAGTAAAGTGCCTAACAAAAATTAAATGCCCAATTTTTTTTTTTGAGACGGACCAGAGAAATCGTTCAACTTCGTCCCTTTTCCAGCACTAGAACCGGCTTTAAGTATCGCCGCGCGTTACCGCGCAGTCTTTTTTGTTGTTTTCGGTCCGCTGAAGGGCGCAGACAAGCAGACAGGACAGAAAGGCAAATTCTGAAATTACATTAATGCAATCGTGTCTGTAGAGAGCATTTAACGCGTGCCACACTATTGCATAATGCCCCGCGCCAAGACGGTAAAGAAACAAGCGGAAACTGCGGTGTCTGAGCCCGCTGAGCCCACTCCAAATGGCAACTCCCATGAAAACCCATCAACCGACTCTGCAGTCGGGGCATACCTCCGACGAAGGGAAAGCCACGCTCAAGGAAAGCGTCTAAGGCCGCGGCAGCTGTGGATGTTATCGAAATTGAAGCGGAAGTCGGAGCAGAAAAACCGCTGCTGGCAGCTGCACGCGGCAAGAAGAAACAGCCAAAGGATACGGACGCCGAAATTGCAGAAGTCAACCCGAGGGGACGCGGCAAGAAGGCAAGTGCTAAAAAGGTAGAGAAGGTTGATCCACCCGCGGGTAAGGCGCCCAGGTCGCGGGCCAACAAGGAGTCTACTTCCGCCCCAGAGGAAGTGGCACCGCCGGAATCGTCTAGGGGTCGTTCAAAGCGCGAAAAGACCCCTGTTGTCGAGGAACCAAAAGCAAGGGGACGTAAGCGAAAGGAGTCTTCAGTAGAAGCCAATGGCGGTGAGTCGGAGGTGCAGGCAGCTGAACTACCAAAGCGGAGGGCCAAGAAAGAACCACCCCAGCCGCCGATCGAAGAGGAGTTAGAACAGGAGCCAGTGGCAGCCCCCAAGAACAAGGTGAAGAAAGCTGGTCCAGCTGCCAAGCGGCAACGCGGAACCAAGGGACTGGCTGACTCGGAAATCACAGCTGCCCTTGAGGATGAAGAGGAGGAACCGGAAGCAGAGCCTCAAAAAGCGGTAAATAAGCGAGCCAAGAAGCCGAAGGCTGAACGACCCGACGTCGGTGCTGATGGGGACTCTGGTACAGTCCCATCCAAATCAACCGTCACTAAAAGAGGCAAGAAAAAAAATGCAGAGGAATCTGCTCCAGAAAACGGCATTAGCGCCGAATACAACAAGCCCACTAAGCAGCAGGCAAAGAAGAAGAAAGAGGAGGATGAGCTGCCGGCCCCGCCGACCAAAAAACGCGGGCAGCAGTCGTCGGTTGAAAAGGAGAACAACGAGGAGGCTACAGAGCAAATTGCAAAAAGCAAACCAGGTGGGAACTACCTCCTAATAAGTCAAAATCGGCATCATTGTAAATTTATTTACTCCTACAGTTCCCAGCCGGAAAAGGGGCGCCGCCAAGGCGAAGGTTATCGAGGATGACGATGAAGGGGAAAGCTCAAAAAGTATGAGTATGGCGGAGCAGGCCGGTTGCGGTGGTGCTGCCGTATTTAAAAGCTTGCAAAACGTGCTCAATTTATGTTTTCCAGCAGCCAAGAAAGCTAAAAAAGTCGTGGAGGGCGGTGTTAAAGAGACATTGAATAAAGATGCCTTCGCCCTGGCCGACGACAAGGAGTTCAATTTGAAGATTTCCAGCTGGAATGTGGCCGGCTTGAGGGCCTGGCTAAAGAAGGACGGCCTACAATTGTTGGATCTTGAGGAGCCGGACATTTTTTGCCTACAGGTAAGCGTAACCATGGAAGGATTTCAATCAGTCATTAATTTGATTTGAAATCCCATTGATGGCAGGAAACGAAGTGCGCCAACGAGCAGCTTCCGGAGGAGGTGACCCGGCTGCCGGGATACCATCCATATTGGTTATGCATGCCTGGTGGCTACGCCGGCGTTGCCATTTACAGCAAGATCATGCCCATTAATGTAGAGTACGGCATTGGTAACGAGGAGTTCGACGACGTGGGACGCATGATAACAGCAGAGTACGAAAAGTTCTATTTGATCAATGTATATGTGCCGAATTCAGGTCGAAAGCTGGTTAACTTGGAGCCGCGTATGCGCTGGGAAAAGCTATTTCAGGCTTACGTGCAAAAGCTGGACGCTCTTAAGCCGGTGGTGATCTGCGGCGACATGAATGTTTCCCATATGCCCATCGATCTGGAGAACCCGAAGACGAATACAAAAAACGCCGGCTTCACAAAGGAGGAGCGCGACAAGATGACGGAGCTTTTGGATCTGGGCTTCGTCGACACCTTTAGGCATCTGTATCCCGACCAGAAAGGAGCCTACACATTCTGGACATACATGTCGAATGCGCGAGCCCGCAATGTGGGCTGGCGTCTCGACTACTGCATTGTATCCGAGCGATTCGTTTCTAAGCTAGTGGACCACACAATTCGCAAGCAAATGCTGGGAAGCGACCACTGCCCAATCACCGTATTCTTCAATATTTAGGATGTACATACATATATACTCTTTGTGTTTCTGCTTGTGTTTAAGGTCTTAAGGTCTACTACTTTGTGTGTGAACTGTTTTTCGTTTTGGTGTTGTACATTTTGCGTGTTTATTTGATTCCAGCGTGACAAGTACCGATACATTACTTTGTTGTAGATCAATCATCAAAATTTGTATTTTTTAATAAAGAAAACACATCACAATCTTCTCATCTTAGATCTATATTGGAATCTCTTAGATTCAACCAATTAAACAGAAGTCTTGCCCTATGTGGCCCCCGTAAGGTTATGTGTACGACTTGATAAAAAGATTATTTAAAAATTTTATAGGGTTCATTTTCATTGCTAAATTTTATTTAAAAGTTTCTAATGATTAGACTATTATGTCACAATTAAACCTATAAAAAGAAATATATAATTTTATTTCAACATATGTTTTTAATCTTCTCCAAAATATGTCGACTATATATTTCAACTTTCTGTTATAATTGTTTTTTTTTATTAAATATGAAAATATAATCATACAGCCGTGATAAACAAATTTTGAAAGTCAAAAAAGTCAATCACCTTAAATTAATAAGGTCGAGAAACGCTTAAAAGCCGTTTATAAAACTACCTTGCCAGATTTCGCAGTAAAATTCAAATGCTTGGGAAAGAGTTGCCAGTCTGATCGAGGAAAATCGTACTTTTCCCCAAGCGATTTCCGGGCACACTATTCCCGCCGTTTTCAACATTTCCCTCCTAATTTGCTGTTTGTTTGTTTTGTAAAATGGATTTGGCTCTTGAAAATAAACAATTGGCCTCCACGGAAAAAGCCAACCTTTCGCCCTTAAAGCGAACGCTCGAGCTGGAGGAGCAGAGTGAGCCCTCGGTGCAGTCGGCAGAGAAGCCTCCGCCGACCAACAAGGATGAGCAGCAGTACTTGGACCTCCTAGCACACATCATGGCGAACGGAGAACGTAGGATGGACCGCACACAGGTGGGAACACTGTCTGTGTTCGGCGCCCAAATGCGCTTCAATATGCGTGGCGACTCCTTTCCCCTGCTGACAACGAAGCGTGTGTTCTTCCGCGCTGTGGCCGAGGAGTTACTATGGTTCGTCGCTGGCAAGACGGACGCCAAGCTCCTGCAGGCAAAAAACGTTCACATATGGGACGGGAACAGCACCAGGGAGTTCCTGGACAAGCTTGGTCATACGGACCGGGCTGTTGGCGATTTGGGTCCAGTATACGGCTTTCAGTGGCGGCATTTTGGGGCAGAGTACCGGACGTGCAACGACGACTACAGCGGCCAGGGCATCGACCAGTTGCGTCAGGTGATCGAGACAATAAAAACCAATCCGTCGGACAGGCGCATTATCATGTCTGCATGGAATCCCCTGGACATACCAAAAATGGCATTGCCGCCATGCCACTGCCTGGCGCAATTCTTCGTCTCCCAGGACCGTGGCGAACTGTCCTGTCAGCTGTACCAGAGGAGCGCTGATATGGGCCTGGGCGTACCTTTCAACATCGCTTCCTACGCCCTGCTCACCCACATGATAGCCCATGTGACTGGTCTGAAACCCGGCGACTTCGTTCATACCATGGGTGACACGCATGTCTACCTAAACCATGTGGACCCGCTAAAGGAGCAGCTGCAGCGCACGCCGCGCACGTTTCCAAAACTGGTGATCAAGCGCAAGGTGCAGGACATTGAGGACTTTCGCTTTGAGGACTTTGAGATAGTCGATTACAATCCCTACCCAAAAATCCAGATGGAAATGGCCGTTTAGGCCATAAGCGCCACTATCAAGGAGGAAGTGATTCCATTAAAAATGTTAAAATTGCTTATCCTATGTTATTATTCCCAATTTTAATTTGGATTTTGTATGTTAATTCGAATATTATCCATAGATTGGATTTCGTATCTAATTTATAAAAAAAATCTAATATACTTTTGAGAAACATAAAATTAAGATTGTCTAAGCCATTGTTAATTATTAAAAGAAGAATAAAATACTTTTTAAATAATTGTGCTCGTAGAAAATGATTGAAGTGGGTTCATGGGAAAACAAAAATGGCTCTTTTTATACCCTTTCCGGGTATTATAATTTCAGTCAGAAGTTTGCAACTCATTGAAGAAGCCATCTCCGACTATTAGAAGTAGATACATTCTTGATCAGCATAAACAGCCAAGTCCGTCTGTTCGTTTCTATGCAAACTAGTCCCTCAATTTTTAAACTATCTGAATGAAACTGAAGTTAGTCTTCTATATTCTCTCACTCGTATATATGTATGTCGGAACGGACCGGATCGGACGACTATATCATATAGCTGCCATAGAAAATGTTTACAAAAAATTCTAATTTTATCAGTTTTCAACAGATTTTTATCAAAAATAGGCAAGTTATATTAGTCTACAATTTTGTGTAAAATTTTATGAAAATCGGACTACCATATCATATATGTAGCTTCCATAGAATTAGAGAAAAATGCAAAACTTTGGATGTAAAACTGTAGATATAATACAGGTGAATGAAATATAATCAGGCATTACTTCATTGTTTTTTAACATGAATATATATAATTTATATTGTATTAGTTCCTAGTGATCAAAGTTCTATCTGCAAGGGTATATAAACTTCGGCAAGCCGAAGTTAGCTTCCTTTCTTGTTTTTCTTTCTTGTTTTTATGGGTTACTATTAACCACTAATAAGTAATAACTAGTCTTTAATGAAAAAAATTAATTATAATTCCATTCGGGCGTGTCCTCGGGGAAAATACTGGTCCTCGTTTACTGCATTACTTCTAAGAGGTTCATCAGATGGGAATTATAAGGATAGCAGAAGTTTTTATATTTATAAATTTGACGTCATGTTTCATAAGCTTATTGAGAAAAGAAAAACAAAGAAGTTGTGAGAGCACAACCAGCCTAATCTTGTGGGTTACTTATACATATATTAATATTATTTAAAAACGTGTAACGCCTGAGAATGACTCACCAGTTTCGTGTGTGAAATACTAAAAGGGGTTTCTTATAGAATTCATTCCCACAGCCATAGCCCATCAGTAATACATCGAAGGCTTGCAGAGACAAAACGTTATTTAAACACATCATTTCATAGCTTTATTTTGAATAAATTGTTGCTTTCATTCATCGTTCGTCGTGTGTAGTGTGTGTTTTTGTTTGTTGTTTGTAAATTCTCAGATTAATTCATAATGAAGTATAATTGATTCTTAATAAATCTTGCACAGAGTAAATACCGTAAATATGCTATATAAATTTGCTTGACATTTTCCGCACTTAATATTGTGAGTTCGTTTCGGTTTCTTGTTGTGTTTGCTTGTTTTTAAGTTAATTGAATAAAAATTTGAAGGAAATCGTTTAGGTTTTGTGTCCATATGAGAGATAGAGAACTCGACAGTAAGTAATTCAATATATAATTTATGCACTTTAATTTAAACTGGAATTATTTGTTATCCACCTTCTTCTGTGATGATTAAAGATAAATACATATTTGCTACTACAATACGCGATACTGTCCACCAATATTTTTCGACTATGTATATATAACGACGAGAAAAAAACCTTCCATATGCATATAGTTTCCATATATACTTAATATGTGGCTTAATGCCTCATGCAAGGCTAACCCAATAGACAAATATAAATGAGTTTGAATTTATTAATTATAATCGTTATGTGGAATTAAATACATGTTCGTTAACTTACGTTTTTGAGCTTGAAAGAGCGAATGCCACTAGAGTTCTGAGTTGAGTTAAGATTCCATATATCTTTTCAGTTTTTGGCTAAAGAGTGATTCCATTTCCATTTTGAATGCCGTTGAGTTGCGTTTAACAATAGTGCTTAAAATTAGTACCTTTGACTAAGTTTTTTTTTCGACTAAGATTTGGTTTTAATTAATTTATAATATATATCTTGAGTGTTTCATCTTTTCTTTCTTGAACATCTTTAAACATATATAGAGAGAGTGTCTTTCCGTCCACAACTTACTTGATGATGACTCGCATTAGAAAGTGGTATTCGTATTCGTTCCTTGTTATTTTGTGCTCAATATCTGGATCTTGAGGATGTTACTATAACAGAAACAAGGAAGGGAGTCAACACGCGTAAGCTTCCTACAAGTCTCTAGGGTGTAAATTAGGGATTACGGATGCGATTTCCGCTACAAGATCTGTATTGCTTTTGCTTTTTTTCATTTCAAAAGTTTATCCTGCCCGGAGCAGCACCAGTTTTCGTATAAAGCTACACCTAAGAGCCATCGTTAGGTAATAACCATCGACTCGCAGCATCGTTTCGATTTCTCACAACGACTTCTCTTTGCTATTCAACATTCATTTACTATGTGAGACTTCATGGGTAGAGAGAGTGTTGCTGTGTGGGGGTGTAATCTGTGTTGGAGAGAAACAGACATTTAAAGAGGGCGCACTGCAGACTTCCGGTTCCTGTCCCGGCTCCGGCCAGATCTGCAGGCATTTGCACAACCTTATTGGCTTCAAAACGCGAAGGTGCCTTCAGAAAAACGACGAACATTGTCGCCTTTGCTTCGTTCGTTTGTTTTGGTGTAAAAGTATAAAAGTGTAGCGTTAATTAGGCCTTTCACTTCTTTAGTTTAAAATTTGTGGTAACTTCTCGTTTTCTTGTTTTTTTTAATTGGTAAGTTTTTTTTTTCACTTGCTTTTTTGAGATCCTTTCGTCCCAATACACTGGTATCATCCTTTGTTTTCAAGATATGCGCTTTGTTTTCTATATACTGTCCTCGTCACTCTTGTTAAATGTTAACATTATTGCGTTTACCATGTAAAAATTATAAATTTGCCTCGTCCATTCGTTTGTTTCTTTAGTTTAGTCGATTCTTTAGTCTTTTCTGCACGCTTAGTTTTACTCTCTGGTGACCGGTAATCGATCCCCTTTGGGAATTTGAATTCTTACGTACATACATATGTCCCGTCTCTTCATTTCTCAGTTTCGGTTTCGGTTTCGTTTTGTATATTATTGTGCGGTGTTTTTGTTCGTTACCATACCCATTAAGTTTTTTATAATATGTATATATAATATATTGTATATATAGTGTTCATGTATATATTTAAATTTTTAAAATACTTTCTTGGTTTTCTTGCGTTTTTTGTTTCCTGTTTTTCTTTATATTTATCATTTATAAAACATTTCCCTCTTAAAAAATGTATATAATCGATTGCTTTTTGGTTGTTGTTCATGCTTATCATTCACTGTTTTCAATCAATTGCCAATTGCAATTGCCATTGCGCCTGTGTTTGTTTGCCTGGAGTCTTCATTTTAGCTAAACATATTCCTCTGTGCCACACAAATATGCACAAAAAACTGTGCCTCAACTCCTCCTACATTTGTTGTATAAAAATCGTTTCATCTTGGTGTTTGTTCTCTTTATAGAATATTATTTTCTTTCCATTGTGTTGAACTTGCTTTGTTGAGATTTACTGGAAGGTATTATTATTCCTAATTTACCGCTTAAAAGCCAGAATTTCTATGTAAGTGTTCAGTCAAGCTTTTGCGCACACTAGTGTGAGTATGGGAGTTCGGAGCAAGGATCTGCCTCGGAGTCCTTGGCTCGCACGCAGTTGGTAGGAGAGAGATTACGTTAAAGTTGGGAGTTGGGAAGATTAAGCCGCCACTGGAGCTTTAATTACTACACACATACATACCTAATAATCGTAATCGTAACGCTTTATGCTGTATGTATATATAATTTGTTCTTGGTAATTAGCTTTAAATAGTATATGCAATAAATTTACTTGACGTATACATGAAAATGGATTCTCCTTTTATGTTAATGCTTGCCGTGAATAAGTTAAGTTTCCATCATAATTTTCTTGGTATGTATGTATAAACATTTAAAATTTGCAATACACAACATCAATATATTGTTAATCATATGTAATAGTTTTTTTTAATATAAATAGTTATAGCTTTTATATATTGAAAGATATAGCATAGTTCATGTGGTGATAACACTGCGATATTTCCTTATCTCAATTACGGGTGTGTTCAAATAGAACTGAAATTAATAATCCGCTATTAAACGTATTCGAATATTGATTAATTAATTGCTAAAATAAAAGATTGTGTGTTCAGAAGGTTCATGCTTAAATATGATTTGTTTATTCTTTAGGGATTATTTTGCAAGTTAATCCCTTTTTGTTTCGAAGGAAATCTGTGAAGCACCAATCTTATCTCATTCTTTACTCTTTCCGTTTCCACCGGCATTCAATCAACTCAATTCTTTCGTTTGAAATTCATAGCTGTCAATTTATGCATTTTAAAATTTGTATTATATTTAGTTTGGCAATTTGTTTAACTTGTTTTCATTTTCATTAGTTTAGGTTATTGCTGTGAGTTTGGGCTTAAACAAATTCGTTAGGCTGAAACGCGCGTTTTTTGATCTATGTTACGTACATCTCGCTTTGATTTCATAATTTTTTCTAAGGGAGGGACTTGTTCTGATCTTTCGTCTTCAGTTCTTCATTAACTTCGATTTGAGTGGCGGCGTGCTTAGATATCTTAGCTGGATTTTGGATAAGCCTTACACAATCGTTGATACATCTCATCTATTTTTATTCTCTCAATTTCTCATTAGTTTTCATTAAATTTTTCTTAAACATTTATTCGTTGTATTTGAAAAATTCTAATGGATGCTGTTGCCATCATCTCTCAGCTCTGCTTGTTGCCCTTCATATTTTGCTCACTCAATTTCGCTCTTCTCTGGCACTTTACCAAGATTTAGAGAGTCTATCAGTTATTTATTTTTTTTTTTTTACTAAAGGACAAGTGAAGGACAGGGGTCACAGAAATGGCTGAAGTTTTAAAATCTATTGAAGAGGTGTCCAAAAGTATGCAATGAACTGTATAATGTTGTAACTTTTTGAAACACTCTTTTGAACATTGTGTGAATTGAAAATGTAAATCCACAGCGAGTTCTGTGACACTCCTGAATGAGTAACATATGTGTATACTGAACACTAGGCGTGAGTTTTACTGGGAACAATGTTTAACAAATGTCTAGATAAGAATAAAAAGGTTCGATTATAATATTTTATATGCATACATCATTTATTTTTAGCAAAAGTTTTACATTAAATATATAGAAAACATAAACATATATATTATGCATGTCTTGTTTGTTTTTTTGCTTTGTGTATGATTTCTTTTTCTATTCTGCAATGTCTATTTGCAAAATTTACGCATCATTCAGTTCTGTTTCGCTTCTCATTTTTATACATCTTTATTTATAGCTTAAATATTTGTCATGTTTGTTTTCATTTCTTTGGTGGATTCTTGGCTCTTCAAATGCCTTCAAATTATTTGTATTTTATTCTCTGTTTAAAAATATCCGTAGTGTGTACGTTCTTTTTTCTACATCAAACAAAAACTTAACTACAGCTGTTTACCGTTTCTGTTTCCTATTATCTTTCTTTCTGGAAGCTATTCTCTTTCCGAGAGGCGACTAGACGTGTTCTTAAAGTCATACATAAACGAAAAAGAATTATAAGCTACAGTTTTAAACATGGCCGTATAACTAAAGGATAAACATTGGAAAAAATTTAAGATTTTGATGATGAATTAACAAAAGTGAAGGCGCTTCTTCTGAAATTTGTATTTAACTCACAAATTAAACAAAATTAAAAGCTACAAAATTGAAATGAACTCAAAGGGTTCGCATGATTGTTTAACAAACTGGACCTAATTTTACAAAGGATTAATGACTCATGGGCATGGGCTGATGAAAAACCAAAGCGAAGCCTTTAAAAGAAATAATTGGACCAGGAGGGCATATAACCATTGCTGTTGCTACTGTTTTTATTGCCAGAAACACCACCAGCTGGGGTATTGGCGTTCATTCCGAGTCCTCCGTTGCGCTGGTTCATCGAGCTGTTGGCGGTGCTGCTGTTGTTGGACGTACCCGTGCCTCCGGCAGCGCTGTTGGCCACATTGGTCAGGAATTGCGCGAACTCCTGCTGCAACTGCAACTGCTGCTGCAGCAGCTCGTAGTGATTCTGCGGCTTGTTGTAAATGAACTTCGTGGATGTCTTCAAGATGTTGCTCGACGACGAGGAAGAAGCGGCATCGCCGTTGGACAGCGTGTTACTGCTGCTACTGCTGTTGTTGGGAGGAGTTGCAATGGCCATATCTGCTGCTGCTACCGTTGTTGCAGAGTTGCTGGCTAATCTCTTAGGTGGCGGCATTATTGATTGTTGCTTGTTGCTGGTCGAGGTCGCTTGCTTGCTTAGCTGCTTGCTCAAATTGCTATTGTTGCTGTTGGTGCTGGTGTTGTGCTGTCTGTTGTGGTATTTGCCAAATTGATAGCTATTGTTGTTGTTGATGTTTATGTTGCTAGCGATGCTGCCTTGGTTGTGGTGGTGATGATGATTGTGTAGGACCAAACCATTGGCCGCCAACGCCGCCGCCGCCGCATTGGCATTGACAACAGCAGCCAACTTGGTTAATAATTACGTTTGCTTGTTCTTGTTGGTCTTGAAGCTGACCTGAAGAACCCGATTGCCCAGAGTGTAGCCATTCAGCGATTGTATGGCCAGCACAGCCTCCTCGTAGTTTGTCATGGTAACAAAGCCGAAGCCCTTGCATTTGTTGCTTTGCAGGTCCCGAATCACCTGTGATGAGATTGAAAAATTTAAATATTAATAACTAAATTCTTTCTGCCAGTTTCGATAAGGGGTATGAACCGAGCGACAAAAATATCGCGCTTAGAACTATTTTGGACATATTGTAGATTTGATAATCAAATTTACAAAATATTTAATTTCGCTATTTTCGAAAAATAGCATCAAAAGCTATACTATAGCTATTACAACTCGAATATAGTGTTTCTCACTGTTGCATTATTAGAAAATACTTTAAATAACCCTTTCCCGCACTGTCTTCACCTTCACTGACTGCACGGCACCGAATGGTCCAAATAACTGCCACAGCACATTCTCCTCGGTCTCGGGTGCCAAATTATAGACAAAAATGCACCAGCCAGAGCTGGCAATAGTGTTGCCTTGGATCATGCCATTTGTTATTAGGTCGCTGGTCAAAGGGGAGTAGCGGGAGATCACAGAGCTGCAGAAATTGGACGATAAAACAAGTTTTATTGCTTTTTAGTAAGCCTGTCATTAAGTCAATCATATTTATCCATCTAAAGGTTACAACAAAAGTTTATAGATATGGATTTAGTGCCTTCTTTCTCACCTATAACGCCCTGCATTTGGATGAATGGCGGCTGCCGCGGCGGCCGCTGCTGCTCCAGCTGCAGCATTAGTGGGAAACGCTCTGCCGCCTCGGGTATTTTGGGGTGCTATATAGGCTGCCAAAGGCTGCATGCTGTTCTTGTTGCTGCTGGGATTATTGGCGAACTTGACGGTTATCGGTTCGGTGGAATTCTTCGGTGTGGTGCCGTTCAGTTCCTTGATGGCTCGATCGGCCTCGAATCGCTGATCGAAGCGTATAAAGCCCACGCCCTTGGAGAGACCTAAAATAACGACGGAAGTGTGTTATTAAATGTACATTAATTTTGTATCAAGAGAAGCAAAGAGTTTTCTAGCTGCTGTCATGCATTAGGGATGATTGTGTTTAGTGAAAAGATGCATAGGATATTTATTTATTGAAGCAAGCGAAAAGTTTTGTTTTTTAGGCGAATGCAACTGTTTATGATCGATGAACAGCATAAGGAAATAGTTAAACATAAGAAAATTATAATACGAAACATACCCGGCGCATGTTCATCTTATTTTTTGGTATTACATGTAATAAACAAAATTGAAAATAAAATGTTGGATTAATTATAAATGTACTAAGAAAACGGAGAATAATATATTGTGGAGCACCAGCAATTTTCGAAATAAAATTATGCAGGCTATTCAAAAAAAATGTATATCCTTTTAAGACATGCTTAAAACTAAAACAAATACATTATACAAAACTGGAGGAGAGTCAAATATAAATCTGATTTATTTTCGAACTGCCCTAAATAGGTGTTTTAAGTATTGAGATAACTACCATATATATTCTCCCTTTTTTAGTCACTGCTTATAACACTCACCAGTGATATTATCACAAAGAATACGCGAAGTTATGATCTTGCCGTATGGACTGAACAATGATTCCAGATCGGATTGTGTCATGTTCTTTGGAAGACCAGATACATAGAGATTGGCACCTTTAATGCTCTCGGAACTGGGTCGGGCAATGGAGACCTTAATGGTTTTGTTCTGCAGCCGCAGGCCGTTTAACGCATTAATTGCCTTTTCCGCGTCCTCCTGTTTGACATAGTTAACGAAACCATAGCCCAGGCTCTGGCCTGAAAAAAATAGAAAGAGAATTAATTAAGTGTACAATATTTCTTGGTTCAGATAATTATAAACTAAAATGAATTAAGATTCCTGTCTCTGATTGCAGAAGCGCCACATAAATCGCTATTCATTTAAAATGAATTACAAATAAATAAATTTATATATTCTGTGGTATCCCTATGTGATTGTATTATCCGAGTTCCTTTACTTATGTGCTCACCTGTCACCTTGTCACGGATTAACTTGCAGCTCTCCACCTCACCGAAACTAACGAACAGCGAGCGAATCTCGTCCTGTGACATCGTTTGCGGCAAATAGTTCACAATCAAATTTGTTTTGGGATCTGGTTCATTGTTGTTATTGTTATTATTATTATTCGCTGTTGAGTTGTTGTTGTTGTTGTTGTTATTATTATTGTTGTTGTTGTTATTGTTGCTAGCGGACGCATTGTTTGCGGTAGCCTGGCCAGCTGCAGCAGCGGAGTTTGTTGTGGCCCCGGCACCCGCTCCCGCTGCCGCCGACGCAGATGGGGCTGATGTGGTGGTGCCTCCATTCGTCTGAGCCTGGCTGTTGGTCACGTTGGCAGTCACAGCCGCCGATCCGCCGCCAGATCCAGTGGTGCTGCTTCCAGCTCCGCTCGACTGCTGTTGCTGCTGCTGCTGCACGGCTGTTTGACCCTCGACCATTGTAAGGAGGTTGCTGCTGCAGAAAAAGGCAGAATATAAGCTTAAGGATTTGCATTTAATGTATGTAGATGCGGTCAAAATAACTTTGCAAATACATATTGTATTCTTTAATTTATCAGAATTTGAGTTAACTATAACCGCAAATACATTTGTATATGTAGTAATACTTACGGCTTTCTTCTTTGGAAACTAGTTCGAGCGAGTAACAGATATAGATGGGGGAAGATAGATAGTTGTATATGTCGCTGTAAATATAATACTGCTGCTGTGAAGTCTGCAAGCAAATAAACTCGATTAGTGATTAGTGATTGGTTCTGCCGCTGACTTCCGGCTTAGCTTACCCTATTCAGAGATGCACACGCCGCGAAATCGCAGTGGATGAATATAGCTTTTACTATAGCCTAGTTAAAAGCGCCTTGCCACGTTTGTATACGTTATTTGTGTGGGTCCGAAAGTTGTTGCTGCAAACCGAATGGAAGAAGAACAAATGGCGAAATTGGTATAAAAATCAATTATTTTAATTAAATTTAAATGAAATACGGGCTATCTTCCGCCTGTCCACTGTCTGCCCCAGCGTCGTTTTCCATGGAAACGGCGGAAATAACAAAAGTAAACTTTTTAATGAAGCCACACAAATATCCGAGGCTCTTTGTTTCTGCGGTCTGTGCAAATTTGCTGGTTGGCTGCCAAACCGAAATACTGAATGGATGTCGATGGATGGTACATAAGTAAAAATAGGGCAAAATGTGACTGAAAATCGATACAATTCAAAGAAGGATCGCTATTTGAATAGTTAAGGCTGGAGATAATCAATATGAATGTCTCCTTAGCAGTTAAGTGTTACAAATTACAAATAATTGAATATTATTTAGAGTTAAACGTTCTCTTTATAGATCTCAAGTTCAACTACGAGCAAATGAAATATTGCTGTTTCACTTATAGTTTCTGGTCTTTCAGGAAACTTATGGTTGTGCAATAAAATACTTTGTTTATAGACCAGATACAAATACTCTGTTACTCTAAAATGTCTGATATTTACCTTGTGATATAAATATGTTTATTTAGATTATATCCAAAATTTCATTCTTTCTGCTCTTTTTATTGAAACAGAAGTCCAAAAAGACCCACATTCAAATTGAACTTTTTGATTGCGGAATGCAATTAGTAAGTACCATGTACATTTATAAATACATGTATATCTATATCACTCACTTCTCGGTGACATAGAACACGGATTTCAATGTAAATATTGGCACATAGAGTGTTTAGAGCAATTCGAAACCCTTGAATAATCAAGCCATATTGTTTGTAAAATTGTAAATACAATGAAAGTAGCTTAAATGGGTTTGTTATTACTTTTACTTTACATTTGAAAGAGCCACATACATATATTAAAATATAATATATATTATTCTGTTTAACCTCTTGGATATATAGGTGTATCTCAATGGCAATGACTGGCAAGAGAGATCAAGAACAGAATTTTGCACCTTTTGGTCAGAAATGTGCGTTCAATTCGCTTTGCTAGTCCGATGGCAGTTGGTTGCATTCAACGCCGCAAATCGTGCGAAAAACTAATATTTTAAAAATAAACAAACAAATGGGCGTGATGAGTGCGAGGAGAACCGCGCCGCTGAGGAGCCGGCAAGATTATATTTTCGAAAATATTTTTAAAACAAAAAACACAGCGCAGCTGATGGCGGACGAGAGCTGGGCGATGATGCTGACGTATGTACATAGATGCTGCCGCTTATTAGCGCGTGTTTGAGGTTAAGTAGCTTTTTACCCAAATGAATTTTGGGGGGATCTCCAAATATTGAACTCTTCTTCAAATTACGTAAGCCCCGATAAAAGTAGGGCAAGCCTGTGGTTACCTTTAGTCTCTAAATCATGAGTACATCGAATATAACTTGTGGTTTGGGTTGTTTCTAGATTTCAACGCGATTACGAAACAATTTTCAGGGGATGTGTTTGCTTTATTTATATTTAATAATAACCGAACGAACCGAAACCAAACGGAAGGAAAGCGCTCCCGAAAAACAAAACGACAAACGGAAAATCGTACTTATACAAATATAACCGAACCGAACAAATAACTTTTGGAATATTATTTATCGAATGGTAATGATAAGAATAATAAACCAAGCCGAACTGAACCGAAGAGTGTGAAACTAATTCGTAATAATAATAATAATAAGGAAATAAAACCGAACGGAAAGTAGAAAAGAACGTGTTCCTGCAACTCAACAGAACAGAAATAAACTGAATTGGCGAGCGGCGTGGAAATTATTTTTATGCCCCTCGGCGAAGGCGACTACTAATGTGTCCAAGACGCGGAGAGCAGCGAGTGGAGCACCGAGAGAGTGGCGGCGGCTTCTTGGCCAGAACGCGTCCCCTGCTCTTGCTCGTATCGCGGGCGCGAGGCAAGAGAGAGTGGATCCAACTATAGGGTCTCCAACTACACTAGCGCTTGTGCCTGGTACTATATGTTCACTAGATGGAGGCACGAGATGGTCGCTGGCGGAGGTATGTATGTACATATTTTATAATTGGATTTTGCACAAGCGTTTACCATTTCGTACACTGAGTATTACGGACACATATCGTCATATACAGGATTACATGTAAATATTCAAGTGTTTTGGGTAACTTTGAAAGGCTGGAGTTTCTGGCCGACAGAAACAGCTGTGACAGAACCTGGTATCCGCAATGCAAATGCAATAATCAATTACTGTTACTATTCTTTTCAGCTGCGTAAAACATAAATATGGGCATTACGAACTAGTCATTCGCTCGATCATCGAAAATGGAAGTCAAAGAAGTAAATGTATTACAACTTAGAGCCAATCAAGAATGTAAAATACAGAAGAAGGTATTCTGAAGCCGGAGCTTAAACTTTAGGGTTTATACAATAAAGTTCTTAAAACCCCTTTCTCAGATTCTTCTACTTCCCCATATGTATACATTTAGTATAATGGGTTTATTGTTTTAATACCCCTTTAGTTTCTGGAATTATTATTTTCGACCCTTTAACAATATATGTATATCATTGATCAGCATCAGCAGACAAGACGAACTAGCTAGTCCGTGGGAAAAATGTTACTCCACATTTAAGAATTTTAAAGGGGGTTATTTCTTATAAGAATCATTTAATCGAAGAGCAAGAACTATTACCGTAAAACAAATCGTGATATTTTAGGGTATTGTCAGAAAATATATTGATTAAAAATGTTATTGAAAATCACAATGAAGTATAAATAAACCCTTACACAGACTTATATTATTCAGTTTTAAGTTTGGGTCAAATTTCAAAGGAACAGTACTCTTGCCAAAAAGGGTATAACCGATAGTGTAGTTTTTATACACAGTAATTACAAAATCCACAAGTACTAGATATGTAAATAGTGTTTGCAAAGATTCCAGAATCCTTGGGTGGCAGGAGAAAGAAATATCTAAGTATGTCTTAAAGAAACATTTCCAGCGCAACACTTCCTTGATTTCAACTTATGTTCAAGACTAGGAAAAATGCAAGTGAATTTAAGCCATTAGCATGACTGGTAGCCCATGACAATAATTAAAATATAAAGTTTAAGTAAAAAATTAATTAGACCAATACACATAAAGAACAAATAAATAAATTTGTTTCCGCCAACCTATATTTTATTTTCTAGATCCAGGGACAATCTCCCACAATCATAAGGAGTTATTCGGGTATTTCGAATTATAAAAATTCGAAACAAAATTAAACCAATATTCCGCAGAATTAAAAATCATGTTACATTTGAAATAAGTCTGCATTACACTTCTTAGTATTTTTGATTTGAAGTCGAACCCTAAAATTCACTTAGCCAATTAAAAACTTTAGTGGGATAGTCTGATGGCTTAGCACACCTTCGGGAATGGACCCTTCCTGCATTCTCCCCAACAAATGCCCGCAAATAGTGGGGTGCAAACCATTAATTTTCATTCATAAATTGTTTAAATCGCTTCCTGCTAATTGATGGATGCACCGATTGCACCGACACAATACCTTTGCAGACTCACACACACATTGACACACGAGGGGAGTCTCTCCGTGTATTCGCATGCCGGAGCAGAAGACGTACTCAAAGAGCAGGAACAAAACAAAAAAGTGACACACCTTGCCAAAGGGTAAGAGGAGAGAGAGAAAAAGCACGAGAAAGTGCACAGAAAAGGAACGAGCAAGAAAATAGAGTAGCATCTAAGGCTAACGGATGGAGGCCGCTTGCATTTGGGTGCGGCAAAAATAAACAGCAGAGAGAGCGAGAGAGACCCAAGCTCAAGAGAGCGCAACCTGCAGCGAAAGCGCGCCACAAGATATGCAATGGTCAGAGCGCGAGAGTGTGGGAGCCAGCCGAGCTCGGAGAGCGAGCTTAGCCGAAAGCTGCAGTTGATTGCGCTGCCAACGCAGGGGCGGAGAAAAGGGGGGCGCCTAGATCAGTGGCTCAAATACTATAACGTTAATCTGGAACAAAACCATTTATAACATATAACCCTCATGTGGTTTTATCTAAGAAAAAGATTCTAATGACAAAACATGTCTTTTAATTGTTCAAGTTTCAGGAAGGGGTTTAATGAAGTATTAGAAATGGTGGATAGCTGACCCCCTTGGGGGACGCGCTCCTGGGTTGCGTCGTTTTTTAGGTTAAACTGCGGCTGCAGGCAGCGAATTGAAAACTGCGATGCCGGCGCTGCACGAAACGCAGCTGCATGAGCTTGCGAGTGTGAGGGAGAGTGTAAGCGTCAGTGTGAGTGTAGGCGGCAAATATACACCAGAGTGTAGAGAAATTGCGATTCTGCCGACTGCGAGCCGCCCCATTGAGCCCCGTTTTACTATTCGCTTCTCCATCGCACACACAGCCCCTGGTTCGGGTGCATGTATGTATGCAAAGCGAAAAATCGACTTTGGGTGTGGGCACCTTGCACAGTGCATGCAAAATAAAATGCCGTAACTATTTCTGTTAGCTTACTTTTATTTGCCAGCGCCGCAAAATATCCTATGCTAATTTGCACAGCTTTCGTTTCCTCCGTTTCACTGGCGATGCTTTGAAAACGCGAGCAATTCGTAAGATGCAAATTAGTTTTAGAACTTAGTTGAGCACGCACACGCACACACTTGGGGTTTTCGAACTGATTCTTTTAGATGTTTAACTTAGCACTGTGTGCAAATGGGCACACGGACGTACATGTGTGGGCGCAGTGGTGAGAGTATGCAAGATGTGTGTACTTTGATACCGATATACAACAATTCAGGAACGACGACAATACGACGAGAATCAAAAAACACAACTTGCTGCCGGAGAGTGCAAGAACTAAATGATTAAAGTGTTCGATTGCCGCCAGGACAACTGCAGCCAGGACCCGCGCCAGCTCTGCTGCGCCGCAGTCAGCGGCGGCAGCGTCTCCTTCTCCTCCTCCCATCGATGTACAGTTGAGCACGCTCCGTGAGAGTGGGAGTGGGTCGGAGGAGGGGGCGGGAGAGAGTTGGGCAGTGCACTGGGCGGACGGGGGGAGGGTTGTTGACGGAAGACGAATGCATAGCATAACTGCGTAGTTTTGCACTGGCATGCACAGTGGGGCAAATGCAAGCCTTTTATTACAATCGAATATAAAGCTTAATTTCAATGACCCCTGAGAGGATCTTTAAATATGGAATCGAATTGGTTAAGGAGCTTATTTAGTAATTAGCATCAGGCTTATGGTACAAAAATAAAATAAATTAAAATAAAGGTAATCTTGCAATTTATCATCTTATCATCAAATTGACTTTTAACGAAATCGAAAACCAAATTATTTTATTTTCCGGATTTTAGCCAGTTTTACTTCGAATTGTGACATTGTATTAATGGAAGAGGAAGAGGAAAAGCAGGATGGTAGGAAAGAAGATGTCAAAGGGACTGCAAACAACGACAAGTTCCAACAATTCACAAAAAGCTGCAGTCGAAAGTTGCGCAGGCTGCAACAGCTTCGGCAACATAACGGTGCCCAACACAACACTCTCCGCGGCTCTCTCGGCCATGAGTACCCTACATTCGCTCGCAAAACATAAACAAGGAAATGCAGCCGTGAACACAAAACGAATTGCGGTAGGTTCCTTTCTCCATTGAGGTGGCCAGCGAGTGTGAACGAGAGACCCGAGCATCGCAAGCCGGCCGCAAAGAGAGCCGAAAAAGGCACCCAAACAAACAGTTAAACAACAACAAAAAGGGGCAAAGAGTGCCAGGCAGCTGACTGGAGCTCCGTGGAGACGGTGAGCGGAGAGCAATGGAGAGTTTGAGAGCGAAAAGAGAGAGCGAGCACGGAAGGCAAGCAAAGCCAGCAGCTCGGCGAGCTCAACTTGACATCATTTTGTCAAAAGACCATTGAACTCTGCCAGCGGAATGGCCCATCTCACCATCCTGCTGCATCCTCGCCGCCCACAAGTATGCAACAGTCCCCTCGCTCTTCCGCTTGTGGATTGTTTTGTTGCCGCTTTCACCAACAGCAACTACCAACACGCACGAATTAAGTTATGCTTAGGCGATAAATACCAAACTGTGGGTTGGTGCAATGCATCTAAAACGGTTCAGGAGTATATTTGACTGGGAAAACTCATAATTTAATTAAACTGAGTTTAAATTTAAAGCGATTAATGATGCTAGTATGAATTAGGTATATTAAAATATTAAAATAAAAAATATTGTATATTAAAATTGTATTTCAATAACCTAATAAATTATATATCATTAAGTTATAAATAAATACCTATCCATATTATATTATATTCACAGTTAAAAAAAATGTTTTTAATTTACAGTTTAACACTCTGATCATCGAATTTGAATGAAATTATAATCGTACTAATAACATGACATTCAGTAGTTATCTTTTCTATTCTATTAATTTCCTGATTGTTCCTATGACAGCTACGTATGTATTTATATAATAAAGTCGTCCGATCTGGCCATTTCCAACTGAAATACTAATAAGGATAGATATTCAGATAGCTTCAAAGCTGAAAGACGCGTTGCGCAGAAACGGACAGACGAACATGGCTAGATAGACTCGGCTGATGCTGATCAACATTATACATACATATATACTTTTATGGAGTCAGAAATTACCCCTTCACTGCATTCAAAACTTTGGACTAAAATTCAAGTACCCTGCAAAAGTATAAAAAACTGTTATATTCGGAGCTGAGAATCAAAAATTCCTGGAGTGTTATATGCATACTGTTGACTGGAAAATCTTTGTTTTTGGCTCCTGATACGCTCCAAAGATTTAAGGTTTGCCGAGTTCCTTTTATAGTGCATGATATTTTGAGTAGTACACTTAGTTGTACTTTTGACTTAGAGGTGAAAATTGAAGACGGAACTTCCATGTATGATGCACTTGCAAGGTTCCGGTGGTTTTGTCGCACAATGCCAAAGCAAAATATGAATTCAATTCTGCGAATTTGTTTTTAAGAGATACGATTGATGCCATTGTAGGCGCTCTTCTAGTTGCCACTGTTTTACATATGATTCTTCCGGGTGCTCCATGGACTTCGACGTCCATGGGACCTGACTAGTTCTTCTTTGATGTTGACGCTTTTCCTCGCAATAAAGAATTAGATCGCGCACGTGTTCATCAAATACGTGCGTCTGCAATGGTAGGTATATTTCGGCCAAATGATCGCAGCTAACGACATAACCCTCGCTTCTTATCACGCTTAAGCAAATCAACATACGCCAACACAATTAGAGGCAACTTACATTCGTTATATCAACAGCTGACACCGGCAATTAATAATATTTAAAGGGATCGTCACAAAAACTAAAAACTTTCTGAGGTGTTGGAAATCGCGAACAGAGGATCGTTAAGCTGTATGGCAGCGCTGCGCACGATCGGCGATGACGCGGTTGACCAACACTAATCTATCGAAGGTGGAAACCAAACGAAAAATATCTTTTGCATTATGATAATACATGTACTGAATCATATTTAAATTAACATTTTCGACTTAATTTAAGTATTTTAAATCACATATTAGATATCAACTGCAATATATAAGCCATTGGCCAAGCAAGTGAAGAAGCTAAATTTATATTTTCATAGAGGCGACGAAACCGGAAATTTAAGGTTAGTGTTTTTTTTTTTAAACTTAGAAAAAACTGCAAGGGAAGAAAAATGTATTGGTCTCTTTAATAGTCTGTTGATTTGTCAGAGTTTTGAGAATTTTACGATAGATATCGATATATATTCCACAGACGTTATCTCAAAGACCAATATAGATTATTCAAATTTTATAAACGGAAAACCGTGATGATCGTTAACAAAATCTTGAAGTTACAGCTCCTCAAATGTACCAGTTTTATACATTTGCAGGGTTGCAGTTTGTAAGGCTACGAAGAAGCCATTTCCTTCCCTATTAATCTTAAATTCTTGATCACCATCAAAAGGCGAGTCGATCTAGCTATCCTCGGTAGAAAAAAATGTACCAATTTTATTAACATTTTATAAGGTTACATCGTTAAAAATGTTAAAATTTGGCAATAAATTTAATTACATCGTTAAAATAGATCAAATTTGGCAACAAATTCTTTTTAATCATAAAAAAAGGATGCAGAGTTACAAACCCAATAAAAGTAGCATTGGAAAGCTTTCCAAATTAAAATAAATGTTATTTTGGCATAGTTTTAAGTTTTTTTAAACTTTGATTTATCGACAAAATTGTCGTATAAAACTATGATAAATTTATATTCCAAGAACGCAAGTATTTTTATCTTAGTTATGTTTTTATTATACCTTTCCGTGTATTCTAATTTCAGTCAGATGTTTGCAACGCAGTGAAGGAGGCACCTCCGACCATATAAAGTATATACATATATTCTTGATCAGGATCAACAGCCAAATCGATCTAGCCATGTCCGTCTGTCCGTTTCTTGCAAACTTGTCTCTTAGGTTTGAAGCTATCTGAATGAAACTTTGTAGTTAGTCTTCTATATACTCTCACTCGTAAATATGTCGGAACGGGCCGGATCGGACGACTATATCATATAGCTGCCATAGAAACGATCGAGAAATTAATACAATTAGAACTTTTCAGTTTTCAACAGAATTTAATTAAATTTGAGATATAGCCATTTTATATTATTCTACAATTTTGTGTAAAAATTTATGAAAATCGGACTACTATATCATATAGCTCCCATAGGAACGATCGAGAATAATATTTATTAAATAATACAATTAAAATTATAACTTTTCCAGTTTTCAAAAGATTTTCCTCAAATTTGAGTTATAACCATTTTGTGAAATTTTGTGACAAATTTTAAATCGGACGATTATATCATATAGGTGTCATCGATCGTTAAATGTAGAGGAAAAATGCTAACCTGTGAATGTAAAATTATAAATATAATATGTATAGGTGAATGAAATGAAAGCAGGTATATTTTTTAACATAAATATATAAAATTTATATTGCATGAATTCCTAGCCATCGAAGTTCTATCTGAAAGAGTGCCGAAGTTAACTTCCTTTCTTGTTTTTAAATTAAAATATCCTAAAAACCTAACGTATGGGACGTATTCTGATTTGTATTCCCCATTTGGTTTTAAAATTTAAAATTGTAAATTTAGTTTTAACACTTGAAAGCCATATTTTTTTTTAATAAAACTACAAATAATATTTAAATGTTACAATTTTTTGATGTTTTATTCGTTTGATTTATCAACTACTTTACGGTAATTGCATATTAAATTGGTTGTTTCGGTTTGTTGTTGTTGCTTAAACTTTAATAAGTGTACTTGGTTTTAGCTGCGGCTGATTTGAATTATATTTGTACAAAATATATATATTTACTTTAGTTTTGTTAATGAACCATTTCGTGTTGTCATTCTAATGCCCAGCTTAAAACGTAATTCATTTGGTTTTCTTGCAGTTCGTTCTGTCCTTCTGTTTGCTTTATTTAATTTGTTTTTTCTTTTCTTTTCTATAATAACGCTTAACAAAATATAATTATTAACTATGTATTTCTAGGCGCGTTTCGTTTGTTATTTGTTGTTACTGTTGTTGTTTTCGGTTGCTTATTGCTGCAAGTTGTTGATCTTGTCGTTTTGAAAAAATTTAACTATGACTTCTACCGTTGTTTAGTTGTATTTCATCGTGTATATATATAAAAATATATATATGTGTATATCTTCATATATACCAATATATAAGTGGTGTATATGTATGTATGTATTAATGTATATGTATGTACGTATGTCCTAATAGCATTCCGTGTCTCCAGTGTCTACA